TTCCATATGATCTACGTTGCAGAAATGGCACTGTCTAGGGATGAGCCAGTAGAGGTTTTGTCACGGAGCACCTGGGGAATTAATAGTCTCCGCCAAGTACCCGATGAATCGGACATTTGTATGATATACATGCTTTTATATCATGTAAATGTGTGCCTAAGGTTCCAGATTTATGGAATGATCCTGCACATAGTCCAAATTTCCCACGCGAAACATTGTCCCAAAGTCAGAGGTCATTAAATGAGAATGAGGTGCTGAGGCATTCGCTGCAACTCAAAATGCTACTTTTCGTTGAAACTGAAATGCAGCACCACGGTCATTCCGAGTCGTATTTGTTTACTCGTGTACAAAATGTGATAAATAGCTGTGAAAGAGTCGGATTTAGATTTGTTGGACTGGTTTATTTGTGATGATGTAGTCAGGGTATTAAATGTTACACGTGACCAGTATTAGTGAGGAACATTATTGCAAATACATTGTTAGCATTCCGCCCCTTCTTATTCCAGTAAAAATGTCAGATTTCAGACGAATCGATGGAATATTGTCTCATTGGAATGTCCCAGCCGCACCCACTCATTCCTCTCGTGGTAGAGCGACGGTTGGGGCTGGGTTCGAAGGCGGTTTGGTAGCGACTGTAAAATTTTTGCGAGGAGTAGTGATTGATGGATGTAAATACGGGAAACTGGGTTTTTCAAAGCGATAGAAGGTACGCGAGGTGGCACATCAGCATTAAAGTCACAGCGCGGCAATACTGAAGAAATTCAAGCAAGAAAATAGAGTTTGCTCCTTTCCCTCAGATTACAGTACTACCAAAGGCGAAAACCAGACCTGAATTGAACCAAAAAATCTTGCATCTGTGGGATGACCGTTGATCGTCTAAGGACCACCCAGTTTCTACCGAACGAGCGGTTCTTCTTCAGCGCCTATGCGATGAAATTCCTGTAAAGGCCTGGCCAGAAACTGGTGAGAGGCATGTCACTTCGGGTGCAGGCAGTGGAAAAGCAAAAGGTGGAAGCTTATTTTAAAGAGATCCAGTTCTATGTCAGTAATTTACGTATTAGTTAACATTTGATGGCTCACATTATTTGCACAACCTTTTCTCATTTCAGCGAAGATATCAATAGATGTGAAGGCATAATGTAAACACCTAATTTAACATTGTTTGCACCATAGCCTCGTAGATATCAAACACTATGATGTCTGGATGCTGTGCTGACTGCAATGCCATGGAACAGGTGAAGACCGCTACCATTTTCACAACTTCCCACGCCTTGAAGTCGATGTGAAGTAAAAGGGAAATTCAATTTCAAGGCGAGTCGACCTTTCCTTTCATTCTCCCACATATTCGGTTTCGGAAACATTGGGATGGGGAGTCGCCCGCAGCGGAACAGCTGTGTGATCTGCATTCCATGAATTGGTTTTGTCTCAGCAGCTACAGACAGCAACCAAGTAAGGTAAGCAACAGAGTGGTGCATTCCGTTGTGAGCCTTCTCGTTGACGTCCGTCCCTGCTGGTTGTTTTCTGCGAGGCAATAAATCCAACGCGAATCCGTCAAAGGACATCATTGCAATGTCTTAATCAATCTCTGTTAAAATCCGTTTTTCTCACGCTTTGAAGGGCACAATATAATATCACGGGGAAGGTCCCCAATCCTGGATATTACGTCTTCCTCGTCCACTATTATCAGCCTCAGTATCCAGGTCTGAGCTCTGACCTTCCTAAGCATTTTTTTTCCTACACTTTCTTTCCCTCCCATTTGTCAGGAGAGTTCCACTCTCATCCCAGCTTCTCTCTCCAAGGCACTCCGGGTGCACACCCGGAGGCAGAAGGAAATAGGCAGAATAGGGCATTCTACCTATTTCACCGAATTCAGTGTCTCGTCAACTTCGACACAAGTCTCGTGCCGCTCGTTTCACGCTCTGAAGTCTAAGACCGAGTTCATACTCCAGCTGTGCTGCATTGCACAGCATGCCGGACACTCTCGATGACAGGACAGCAGTCCGTCAACGGGCATCAAAACTGCACGCTGCATTCAGCAGGTGCAGCACTGCGTCTGCTGTAACCCATGTTTTACTGTATCCCCAACAGATAGGAACGGTTTCCATTCGATCTATCATGATTGTTGTCGGACAGCATGCGGGATCCAATTGCTGTACAGCATATTTATTGATGCTAAGAACATAGTATATCAGCCTACAGTTGACTCAACATATTAGGATACCACTTAATGGAAAACCATTATGTTGTCCCGATTTTTTTTAAATCCATGAGATTCATTATGAAAAACTTCGCATAAAGGAATACGGTTATCAGTATAACCCGCATAAAGGAATGAACTTTTTGAATGATGAAATAACTTTTTCCAGATCTTTGAAAACAATTTCTTTTCTTCCTTTCTCTCGTTCTCTGGCGTCCTGCCAGTCCCACCCTCGCTCCATTGAACCAAGGTCATGTGCAGCTGCCGCGTCACTTTTTTTTTATTTAAAAGAACTTCTTGAAAGCTAACGGAGAAATATAAAGGAATTTTTAAAAATCGAAAAATTATTAACAGTACACAGAAAAGAGTGGATGTAAAGAGAAAAAAACATTGAAAAGCGCACAAAAGGTACCGTATATACAGTAGAAAATGAAAGAAACACGAATGCACAAAAACGGAGACATATGAAAAAATTGGGGGGGGGAAGGGAAACTACGAGTGCGAAAAAATTGCAAAAAAGCATTTTTTGCTATTTTTTTAGTCATTTTAAATAATGACGAATGCACAAAAACGAGTACCTAAAAAGTCGTCTGAGGTACGAAGAAATACAGCGAGATAGTTTTGGTCATTGGAATGCTTTGGATTATGAATAAAAGTTCGCTGGTAACTAAAGAATTCCATTAAGCGGAGTTGACTGTACAGAATGCACCATAAGTCTGGAACCATGGTAATGTATTTTCTTCGTATTCCATATGATCTACGTTGCAGAAATGGCACTGTCTAGGGATGAGCCAGTAGAGGTTTTGTCACGGAGCACCTGGGGAATTAATAGTCTCCGCCAAGTACCCGATGAATCGGACATTTGTATGATATGCATGCTTTTATATCATGTAAATGTGTGCCTAAGGTTCCAGATTTATGGAATGATCCTGCACAAAGTCCAAATTTCCCACGCGAAACATTGTCCCAAAGTCAGAGGTCATTAAATGAGAATGAGGTGCTGAGGCATTCGCTGCAACTCAAAATGCTACTTTTCGTTGAAACTGAAATGCAGCACCACGTTCATTCCGAGTCGTATTTGTTTACTCATGTACAAAATGTGATAAACAGCTGTGAAAGAGTCGGATTTAGATTTGTTGGACTGGTTTATTCGTGATGATGTATACATCGTCACTAATCCTGACTATAGTCAGGGTATTAAATGTTACACATGGCCAATATTAGTGAGGAACATTATTGCAAATACATTGATAAGCATTCTGCCCCTTCTTATTCCAATAAAAATATCAGATTTCAGACGAATCGATGGAATATTGTCTCATTGGAATGTCCCAGCCGCACCCACTCATTCCACTCGTGGTAGAGCGACGGTTGGGGCTGGGTTCGAAGGCGGTTTGGTAGCGACTGTAAACCTTTTGCGAGGAGTAGTGATTGATGGATGTAAATACGGGAAACTGGGTTTTTCAAAGCGATAGAAGGTACGCGAGGTGGCACATCGGCATTAAGTCACAGCGCGGCAATACTGAAGAAATTCAAGCAAGAAAATAGAGTTCGCTCCTTTCCCTCTGATTACAGTGCTGCCAAAGGCAAAAACCAGACTTGAATCCCATCTTGCATCTGTGGGATGACCGTTAACCGTCTAAGGACCACTCAGATTCTACCGAACTAGCGGTTCTTCTTCTTCAGCGCCTATGCGATGAAATTCCTGCAAAGGCCTGCCAGAAACTGGTGAGAGGCATGTCACTTCGGGTGTAGGCAGTGGAAAAGCAAAAGGTGGAAGCTTATTTTAAAGAGATCCAGTTCTGTGCCAGTAATTTACGTATTAGTTAACATTTGATGGCTCACATTACCTGCACAACCTTTTATCATTTCAGCGAAGTTATCAATAGATGTGAAGGCATAATGTAAACACCTAATTTAACATTGTTTGCACCATGGCCTCGTAGATATCAAACACTATGATGTCTGGATGCTGTGCTGACTGCAATGCCATGGAACAGGTGAAGACCGCTAACATTTTCACAACTTCCCACGCCTTGAAGTAAAAGGGAAATTCAATTTCAAGGCGAGTCGACCTTTCCTTTCATTCTCCCACATATTCGGTTTCGGAAACATTGGGATGGGGAGTCGCCCGCAGCGGAACAGCTATGTGATCTGCATTCCATGAATTGGTTTTGTCTCAGCAGCTACAGACAGCAACCAAGTAAGGTAAGCAACAGAGTGATGCATTCCGTTGTGAGCCTTCTCGTTGACGTCCCTGCTGGTTGTTTTCTGCGAGGCAATAAATCCAACGCGAATCCGTCAAAGGACATCATTGCAATGTCTTAATCAATCTCTGTTAAAATCCGTTTTTCTCACGCTTTGAAGGGCACAATATAAGACATGATGAGTATGACTATTATTTTTTTCCCTCACGAGGAAAGGCACATGAAACAAATGTGACACTTCGTGATTAATAGAGATGAAGGTTTTCGTCCGAAAACTCATAAACGCGGAGCAAATTATTTATCGACAACCCATTCCATTATTGATCGCTTCCCATTTTCGCACCTTCGAAGGACGTCGAAAAAGAGGCAGAATATTTTATGAGGAAGAACAAGCGAAATACAGCTCTCCATGAAAGGAATACTGTGTCGTGGCAGCATTGAACTCAGTCAGACCCGAGCTCTTCCAAGGCGTGCTTCATCTGCAGCGTCCAAGGTAGATGGGGCTGAGGTCTTCTCCACACGCCTGACCTGGAAGTCCCCAACACTTTCCCTGGATCCGCGGGGAAGGGTGCTGTTCCCAATTCCGCTGAAACACCAAAGCAAGCAACTCTTTTCAATGACCGTTTCGTCGTGGCGGATGGGAACGAATTAAACGATAGATGATGTTCTCTTTTCTGGGAATGTCATTTACCCAGTAATGCGCTGTCTTTCCTCCTTTGGGGTTTCGAGGTGCATCCCGAAGCGATGGCCCTCGCCAAGTTTCGTCTGCTGTCGGTCACATGTTGCCCATCGAGAAAAGCTGACGCACGTCGAGGAAGGGAAAGTGAAACCCATTTTTAGGGAACTTCCTCATCGATCATAACCCGAACCAGCTGGAGTCCTCACCGAGATGGTGCAGGGATGCGAGAATCCCCGTTGTATAGTGCCTTCCAACCGATCTTTCCAGCGGGTTCCCATTCAACGAAAGGTTTTGCAACGATGGAAAAGATATCAAATGCTTGAGGGTTTCCTCGAAATCTTCCAGTTCATTGTGGCTGGCATCCAAGAATGTAAGATTCTGAAATCCTTTAACCCCTGCCAGAGAAGTTATTCGGTTCTTGGAGATATCTAAAATTTCCAGGGTACCCTGTCGAGAGAAACGAGGCGAGTACTCTTCTACTGCTTCATAGCGTAGAAGCGAGCTCGTAAATTCGCAAGAGAAATTACCTGAAGCCCCCTGACAGTGCGGGGATCAAACACGAGCTGCTCCCCTTCCTGCAAGGCTTGACTTCGTAAGTGCAGTTCCCTGAGACTCTTCAAACATTCCAATCCCTCCACGATCCGGATTCGATTGCAGTTCAAGTACCTGGACCCGATCGAGAAAAGATCAAGTCACCTCGGGAAAGTTTCAGACCGAAAATAACCGAATCACTGCACCATTCATGTCCTTGCCGAATCCGACCGAAGCGACTCACAATTTTTCCAACTTGACGAACCTCCCAATGAGCGTGAGATCCTCGACACAGTTGAAATCCAGGTAGAGGAGAGTGAGGGTATCAGCATGCGCACCGAGGCTGTCCACCCCGGAGAGAGCGTTCTCGTGGAGATACGCAACGCGAATCCTCCTTCCCCTCGGCACTTCCGGCTGTACGAACACCCAGACACATGCACGTCCGTGGATCCTCGTGGAATGGCTGCGATGGATGGAGAGCGTCACTCACCAGTGTTTTCAGATTTCGCTTTTGCAATCGGAGATGGCTTGATTTGTGAGACATCGCTACCCAGAATGGCCTGTTAGATCGATAGCACGTGATAGGTTTCCAGGCACGCTGTTACCATGTAGTAATCGATGACACGACTCGGTTACTACCCATCAAGTTCACTTCGTTATCTCGTTTGAATGTGTTGATAGACGTTAATGAAGCAGATGATAAAGTTCTTGATTTCATTCATTAATTCTAGAAAGGAGGCTCAGATCGGTTATTCTTGAATAATGCAATACCTTCAATTGAAAAAAAAGTGGGAGACATCGTGAAGGACTGATGATTTCGACAAGCTGGAGCGTGGGTGTTTCCCGCACCTTCACATCTGGCATCACTGCGAATCTCGCCAGGAAAAGGGGGAGACTAATATATATCATTCATAATCCCTTTCGAAGTGACCGCTGCTATCAGGGCTCTATCTCAAAGCATTGGCCTTAGCAGTAACGTGAACGATGCATTGCGATTGGCTCTCGGCATTGGGGTAACAGGAGGTCGTACTGGCCAAATGCACAATAAAGAAGGCAGAAGCAGTTCTTCATAAGCGATAATTACTCCTAATCCGATGCATGCCAGAGGTAAAGTCTCAGGAAGTGGGCACCAGCTAGAAAAAATACTTGAAAATTTATTTAATGTTTTTTTTCTAAAGCTCTATATGAGGATCCATCAAAAAGTTCCAGGACCGACTCTCGTGTGTGCGAATGGCACAAACGATTTCGCAAAGGCGGTGAATCAATTGAAGATGACGAGCGGAGTGGCCAGCCATCGTAATGAGGCCGCTCTCAGCGCTCTTGCCGAACTCGTTCGCAGTGACCGTCAATTCATTATTGCCATGGCTGCGAGGCTGGGAATCTCGTCTGGATCCTGTCAAGCGATGATAACCGAAGATTTGAACATGCGTCGCGTAGCCGCACGGCTTGTTCCGAAAACTCTAACCGACGATCAAAAGCAGCATCACCTTGACACTTGCAGAGATCTGAAAGCAACTACCGATGAAGATCTCACATTCTTGCAGCGAATCATCACCGGGAATGAGACGTGGGTGTACCTGTTCGACCCCGAGACGATGGCTCAGAGTTGTGTGGAAAACACCCTCGTCGCCATGCACAAAGAAATGCCGAACCGTCACGTCCCGTGAGAAGTCGATGCTCATTATTTTCTTCGATACCCAGGGCATTGTCCACCATGAATTTGTTCCTCAGGGACAAACTACCAATGCTGCCTTCTGCAGAGACATTCTCTCACGGCTCATCATAGCTGTCGGACGCAAACATACAGAATTCTTCAGACTGCGCACGTGGATCCTCCTGCACGACAATGCGCCGTGTTACACATCAAACTCGTTCGAGAATTCCTCACCAGTTACGGAATAACACTGCTACCACATCCTCCCTACTCCGCAGACCTCGTAGCTTGTGATTTCATGTTGTTCCCGGACGTGAAGAATATCCTGAAAGATCGCCGTTCCGAGGACACTGATGTCCTCCAGTCGGCTGTGACCAAGACCCTGAAGGAGGTTGAAAAGAAAGAGTTCCAGTGGGTGTTGAAGTCTCTACGGAAACGTTGGGAGAAGTGCATGGAGAGTCAGGAAGGCGATCACACGAAAACCTAAATTCGTTGAATAGGTTTGCAATGCAATGTGCAGTTCTGGAACTTTTTGATGGGTCCTCGTATAATCAAAGAATCCCTTTTCGGAGCCGCAACTTTTCGTCGTGTCGATTCTGGAGGATTTGAATGAATCCAGGGGCAGAAAGTGTGAAGAGAAACACAGAGTTCTAGGAATCACGATCTCTATTTGATATTATACTGGATACTTTGGCCCATGTAGGAAGCGTTATGAGATCATCAGAACGATCTAGCTGGATTTGTAGGGTGCTAATCACACTGACGTCCACGGACCCACACCAAACATACACACGCTCGCGCTCTCTCTATCTCGATTCGTTTTCACTTGAATTCCAGTAGTTGCAGACTGTCGCGGAGTCATCGGAGTGAACCCGGGATCATGCACTCGCGACTTTGCTTGCTTTACAGATGAATATGTAGACTCTTGGAAGACATCGCTTGGAAGACAATGGTCGAAAGATATGCACCAACACGAAGGCTACTGGCCTCTCTTGTCCGGCACTCACTGTTCATGCGAGCCAACGACTGCGAGGAAGACATGAGAGGAAGAGTTGCAAAAAGTCAAGTAAACGACTCGATAACAATCTCGCAATAGCTGGCTATACACTCGATCACTGGGCGCTAGTAGTACTGTTAAATTATTATCAGCACGAAGGAAGGAAAAAAAACAATGCCTTGTCATCATCAGTGATGATAACTCCAACATCAACAACAACAAACAGCTGGAAGACTTGTGTACTCTTGGAAGACTTGTGTTCACTTGGAAGACTTGTGTTCACTTGGAAGACTTGAGTTCACTTGGAAGACGCGCATATCACTGAGGAAACAGGAAAAATCCTATGGAAGACGACGACTTGTGGCACTTCTCTTGGAATGACGGGGCGAAATCCAGCGAACCCTGACCCTGATAGAGGAAGAACGAAGCCACGCTTCAGATGTGGATCGACGGGATGCTCTCCGTGATGACGCGATAGAGATCCACGGATGAGGTCGACATCCCGAAATAGCCGAAGAGGAGACCCAGGGCGATGACAAACCACTCGTAGACTTTGATGTACCAAGGGAGCAGATGGCCCTTGAGCTTCAGGTGGAACCAGCAGGGCAAGAGAATGGAGAGGATGGTCCCCGTGAAGCTGCCGATAAGCCCTGTGAGATCGAGGAAATGAGGAACGAAAGCCGCCAAGAGGATGGTGATGACGACAACCCCGATCCGAAGGGCGACGCCCCACACCCTCACGACCCCGTCAGGGTCGTAGCATGATGGGAACCTGGTCCTGGGACGACCCCGGAACAAGGCCGATCGCATCAGCTCCACGGCAGCAAAGTAGGGCAAGGCAAAGGAGAGAAGAGCCTTGATGACGAGGATGAAGTTGACGAAGGCCTTGAAGCCCTGGGTAGGCAAGTTGTTGGTGATCTCATCCTTGACGGCCTCGCCCCATGTCAGGAATCCCAGGAGACCGAAGAGGGACTTGAAGACAGCTGCTGCGATGTGGCTCCACTTCAGCATCGGCCAGAACTCGTTCGGGTCCCTCATGTTTCCTTCTAAAGTGGGCAGAAAGATTTGAGAGGTGTAGCTGAATACGATGTTGCCCAAGGAGATGGGAAATTTGGTGATATCCATGCCGAACTTGAGTTGGCCCCATTCCCACGATCCAGCCCTCGTCAAGCAGTAGCCCAGAATGACAACGTTGATGACTATGTGGGCCATGGTACACCAAAAGCTGAGAGTGGAGACCCGACCCAGACTCTTGAGGAATCCGCAGGGAAGCAGGAGGAGACCGCAGAGCATCATCCAACTTCGTCGATCCACTTGGGCCTCCGGAAAGCTGCCGTAGAGGAAATCCCCGCAGGTGATGATGTAGAGAATGCACGTCATGATGAGTTCGATGATTTGGGCCGTGTTGACCAAGATTCCCCCCCAACGAGGACCGAAAACGACTTGTGCGATCCCGACGTAGCTATCTCGGACACGGACGAGGACTCCATCCGCATTCTCTTCGTAGAGGCAATCCACGAGTATCTTTCCCGTGTAGCAAGTGAGTTGGGCCACTCCGATCATGGCCACCAGAGACCAGACCCCCCCGTGCAGTACGGCCAGAGGCAGCGACACCACGACCATCCCCTGCAACAAGAATCAGGGAAGAAAATTCACTTTTACTCACTCTTTCTCTTGGGCTTGCTTTCATCATGACGTGAGCCGGAGTTGTCATTTGGGAAAGGGACTTAAGGCCGGATATGGGCACTCATATATTCAACCAATGCTACAGTATTTGTAGAGTTGAAGATAGTATCTTGTATTTATGAGAAAATATTTGGGTCTCAAATCAATGGGCTGTTTCTATTTATGTCCTAAGTATCAATAGTATTTAGAGGAGAAAAAAAACACCTAAAACAGTACTTCCGTATGATTGCCTTGAAATTTAGAATGGCAGCGATGGATCAATGATGCTACAGGTGAAAAAGAGGCAAATGGGCGATGTCAACAGGGTCCGATTGTTTCAATTTCCTCAACGAAAAAGATAAAGGAAGAGCCTTCTCTCTTCTTGAGCTCCAGTGACGCACATGCGACGACTGTGTCGTCTCTGCTAAGTCGGTTCAGCAGAAGAACGCAGTTCATTTCTTTATCATTTATTGCATACCAGTGCCGAAACATATTGTAACATCATCTCGCTAATTCAAGGGGACGGTAGTTGACTAATTAAAGTAGGACAAATAAAATCGTGGGTTTCCTGCCAAATTTTTCACGGCGTTTTTTCAATGATTCTTAAGTCTCGTTGTTTTGGAGAGCCTGGAATAAGCGGCAATCTATGCTATCTCTAATTAAAATGCTTCCAATTGCTTCCAATTGAGTGCATAGGCCTCCGAGTGGATTTTGGATCCAAGAGCCTCTTCTCATTCGGAGATCTGTAATCTATTCTTCGCAGTCGTGCCTCTGAAAATCCCTATTGGAGGAATTTCACCGCCTGGATCTTGGATTGGTGACTCAACCAGACGAAATTGTCAGCGGCTGAAGCAGCTTGTAAAGCGAAGGTGGAGAGTGCTAAAAGGAAGAAGCTATCATAGATGCTATAGAATGGTTCGTGGGATTGTATTTCATCGTCGGAGAGATAAAACCACGTCGTTTTGGGCCTCATCAATCATTCCCAAAGGCTTCTAAAAGTTGTTTCTCATTTTAAAAGGATGGAAAAAGTGAGGAAATTGCGCAATCCAGTAAAGGAGTAGGATGCATGGATGTTAGCCCCTTTTTTCCATCACGCATTATGCCTGCCTCCCTTCTATCCACTTCAGCCTCCATTCTTATGATCTGACAAAGCTATATATATACTATATATATATACTCCTAGTATAGCTATATATATACTCCGTAGAGGTGCAGATGGAAATTGACATATGCACGAAAGTCAATAAAAAAAAAACGTTGCAATACAAACCTATTGAAAATGAATAGTGGGGAAATTACTTTTAGGCTTTTTTGCACTGAAGATGTTCATTTTTTGTGCTGAGGAATCAAATGGCATTTAACTTCCGTGAAAATTACCGGATTATGTTCAAGTGATTTTCCCTGCAGCCCACCGAGGGGCAAAATCGGAGTAAATGTCACACATGCACAACCTTTCCAAAAGTGAAGGCGCACCACGAGCATGGCCATGCATGACAGGAGCATGTAATAATTGAGTTTATTGCATTAGACTCTCCTGGGTACGGATGAGAACCTGAACCATACCCAGGTCAAGGAAAGTTGCCAGCATGTCCAAAAGTCCTCCTTCATGCAATGACAATCTACACCTTACCACAAACAAGCCAAAAGTATTGGAGCTCGATCGGACTACCACCACCAAATGGCCTAATGGAACCATGCCTCATTACAACGCATTAAGCTCCCGTCGCGCTGCCATCTGGCTATTAACTGATACTCCAGACAGTAGACAGGTCTTCGATGCCTGCTGCCTGGCATTCACATGGTTACTGAGGCGTCCAGTGGAATTACACTATTGTCACCATTTGCTGAGTGGGCATTGACTTTCGGCAATATACAGTAGTGTATACGACGCTATTCTGTCTGAACGAATGTCGTATCATACATGCGATACACTGTAGCATGTGCTAACATGCGATGCAGCTGAATCGTTCACGCATATCCAGTCTGTTACCCTTGAAAATATCGAGGCCAGGAAACGAGTTGATTGTACAGCTTTTGGGTTTTTCTTCGCATGGAATTTATGAAAGATTCGTAAGAGCAAAAATTCCTGGTGGAAACTCTCACAGAAATCGAGGGAACTAAATTGGCTCTTTCACTGCGTTGCCCATTTTCTGCCCCGTCTGTGTCTTGTCCTTTATTAAGAATTGAAGTGCCACAGTCGATGAAGCAAGAAAATAAACATGAAACAAGGAGTACATGGTGCTACTCCGTCTGTCTTCATTAAAGCACGACCTGTAGTTGTCATAGGCGTCGTTGAGAAATCTAAACTCAGAAGAAAAATGTAATATTGTAATGCTCTAAGATTCCCCGTCCGTTACTACGGAATAGCTCACAGTACCTCCAGTACCAGTAAAACGTCTGAAGCGATTATTACTGTGGGTGTTACATCGACTTGGGGATTCAGGGCAATTATAGACTGAAAATGCCTCTGTGGACGTGAAATTGAATGTCTTCGGAAACGCATATATATAGAATTCGCGTGTTCTATTTTCTATTTTGTAGTTTCATTTGTAGTTTCAAAGAACAGTTATTACTTTTAAATATTTTTATTTCAAATAGCTATTTTAAATAGCTACTCCTCCTTTGTTTTTAGCATCTGTCATCGAATAGTCAACCGGATTATTTCTCCCATCACTGGCCTGCATACAGTTTCACCCGAGAGGGATGTACAGGTCTGAAACCAAATAAATATGACAATTATAAGAGTTTCAGCGTTACAGGAAATGAAGATTACTGGAGATGAACAAATCAGGTAAGGGATGTTTGAGCGTTTGAGCACTCTCGCATGAGGCAGAAGGGCCTTGCTCTTCCTCAGCATCCCTCTTCTCCCATCCAGCCCAAGGATGGAGGGAAGAGAGAGGCTGGGGAATGAAGCCGATCGATCAGCTCCCATTCTCCTCCTCCTCCTCCTCCTTCCCCTCCTCTTTCTTCTGAGTCCCTTCTGGTCCGCTGTAATTTTATTCCCATCTCCACTTCAGCGTCCGGGCAGCCCGGTGAAACACGCAGATTTCCTTTGATTTACCGAAAGGAAATGCTGACGGGTAGTTATCGAATGGGAAAATGCTGGGAGGGAAAAGTCTCATGAATATTAAAGAAAGCCGAGAGGTCGATACAAGGACTGTGACGCGACTCGTTTAGCATAAATTTGTCTCGCGTCAGGCCCAGATTGAGTCACATGCACATACATGCATACAATGTGCTTCCTCTTTTAACGATCGCGCTCGTTGTTTCATCGCTGTCTCTCACCTGAATGGCATTTGTGACGTTCCAGCCGGCTTGCCAGGCCGAAATTTTCTCCTGAGGAGCTTCACCTTCGAAGCAGCCTTCATTGATTTCGAAACTAGAAAGCCGGCCGTTCATTTTGGGGCTGTCCTCGGAGGACATCCTCTGGAAAGTGCCCATTTCCGTGTCTTCGTACAGGGTGCCAGGGACGTTTCCCGCTCGGGCAAAATGCTGCCTTTCTCCGGCCGTGCTGCCCTGGAAGAGATTCGTCGGCAGGGCCTCTCGCACTTTGGCTCCCCATGTCTCCCTCACTTGGGGCCACAAGAGTCTCAGGTTCGTCCACATTCTCACTCACTCGGGGATGGTCGTAGGTGGAATATCACAGAAGAAATGCCGGACCTCGTCCGTGTTCTGAAGCTGCAGCTTCCCCCAAAGATGGGAAATGGCGGGCGGGAGATGGGAAAGATCCGCGCCTCGGAGTTTGCGCGACCCCGTTCCCTCATCATATCGACGTCCACTCCAGAGGGAAGAACCGGCGCCCCTTTCAAGACTAAAAATACTTTCCTGCGATGCAGACTCCAGGGAGACTATGATTCATCTCTCCGTCGTCTCTCATATCTACCCATTCACCGTTACGCATGATTATGCGTATATCCTCTCAGAGTGCCACTCGATAAGAAAAAACATAATACATTGACGAAAGAACCGCCGCAATAAACGCTCATGAGGGAGGAGTCACAAAAAAAAGGGGGTGGGGTGGGGTCTCACGAATCTGAAGCGTGATCAATACGACAACGTGACCCGCAACTATGGAGAAGTGTCCCCTCATCATTCAACTACAGGAGGCACTGGGTTCGTGAAACCACCGATTTCATCTCGAGATCAGAACTTCCTTTTTTGTTGTTCGGTTCTTGTCGATCTATTTGCTTTGTTATGAGTACCAATACATTATTAACGGTTGCTAAAACCTCGTGGTTGGGAGAGCAGGTCGGATCCCCGGAGTGGAAGGAATTCAACTGCAAGTTCAGAAGCCCTGCGACAAACTGTCCATAACATCCTGGGAACAACGATACTGCTGTCTCTTGCCATCGGATTTACGCAACTTCTACCTCGCACACGATGGATTCGAGCTGTCCTGGAAGTGGAAACCCAAGCAAGGTCGGCGTCTTGTTCATAGATCTCTCGTGCGAGAAGCCCAAGTTAGTGAGTGATGCCGTGTCTGTCCAGGTGAAGCGTTTCCTTTGGGTCTCATGAAGATCAATTCTCTATCGAGACTCAGACGAATCAGACACAACTACTATGGTCAGTCCGAAATGACCGAGGGGAGCGTTTACCATGATTCATCCCTCCAGCAACAGATCTCTGGTAATTTAGCGCATCTAAATTATTGGCGCCGAAAAGATCGCGTTCTTCGTAACCTCGTCGTGGTCTCGTGTCCAGAGATGACAGGATTTTCTGGAAGGTGGAAGGCCTACGAATTGGATTCTTGCAACGGGAAGGGGAAGGTGTGCCTCGTGTACGGACAGAAAGGAGAGGACCTGAAACTACCACCACCCACCGAGGCCCAGATCTGGTTCATGGACGTGTCCTACGACTGGCACTATCTTGCATCCAGCTTCACTCATTACTTTCGGATGATGCTCATGAATCTCGGCCTACCCTATTGGCAATACTCCTACACGAGTGTCGGTCAACCCGTTCAGGCACAGGTATGGCACGCGTTCGTGAAAATCCTTTGGCGAAAATTATTTCTCTGGTATGTCATCTCTTCCGAGAAATATTTCCCATGCACAGGATATGTATATTACAGAGGGTTGAGCACAAATTATTTCTTTTTGAAAAGTTCAACTTCTCAAAAAAGAAGAGGATCTGCATCAATTTTGCATATAACCAACCATGACCAACGCAAGGGTAAGAGGTAGTTAGGATACTTGGGTCATATCTCGTACATGGGAGTTTTATTGTGAAACCCAGACCAATTGTATGTTTTTCCCGTCGACATGGAATCTGGTACCTAATTTACTCGGAGATTATACCTCTTTCGAAGGAAATCATTCCCTCCCTCTAACAGTATCAAGGTGCAAATGAACACAGCTAACCTAAGGGGAACCATTTAGCACGAGTTGAGAGGTAGCCAAGCAAGTTCTCACGATCAATCGGATTTGAGGTCTTGCTAGCAAGACATCTTCACTTCACATGTCAAATTCCAAGAGGTAACACTAGAGCAGAAAAAGAAAGTAGCCATCAGCCAGTAATTGCCATTCGCGGCCAAAAAAGGGCGAAATTACTTTGTACTAGTTTAATGCAGCTAACTATCGGCGAACCCTGATATCACAATTTGCCACTGTAGGTATGGAAACACTGGCTCACTCCTCGCCTGGTGGAACACGAGTGCGAAGACTCGACTGACAACGAGGAACCTTTTCCTCCCCTCAATTTCGTCGATCCCACCATCCTTAAGTCTCGCCTCAGCAGGAGAATGAAGTGAGCGAAGCCATGGCCGCCTTTGCTACTTTGTGGGAGTCGAGTCGTCAGGCCCGAAGCTCTCTGCATTAGATGTATAATCCATAATTTTTTCCAAATGTGAAAATAAATCTTAGGCTACACATTCGTCTCGTTCTTTTTCGTATAAACTAAGTGTGAAACAGAACTCGTCATTGAATGCGAACAGTGTTGAAGAACCTGAAGGTCCTGATTTACTATAGACCGATAACTAGTGTTCGGATTTATTCGTGCGCCTGTAATCTGAGGATTCAACTTTTGATTTTCCAAATACTGTACTGCCATCTGCCGGACGAATGATTCAACCAACCCTGCCGAAGGGGAAGGAAAGATGGAGGAGAGAAGGCGCTATTAGAGGGAAGCCTAAGGGAAGGGAGGGTGAGGGGGGGAGGGGGGGGGGGAGAAGCTCCAGCAGCCTATTCACGGCCTGGCAGGGAGCAAGTCAGTCAGAGAGTGCGGGACGAGTGGGGGAGTTCGAGTGCATGGGGTGGCGTGGCTAAAAAAAATTCTCCTCCCGCCCCCAGCTTCATCTGAAAATGTACTGTCCTTTTCGGCTGCAGTTCTTTGCAGCCTTTCTCCTCGGCTTTTTACGGACTCGTGTTCTCGTTTCTGGACAACCTCTAACGCCTCCGTACTTCAATTTGGCCGAGGGGCGGCGAGTCACGGCTACCGCCACCTGTGGCGAGGGCGTGAATGAGCCCGAACTTTACTGCAAACTTGTCGGTGCCAGTGTCGAAAAGGGAGATGTCAATATTAATCTGATTCAGGGACAGGTGAGTTTCCTGCCGTTCCTTCGCCTTCGGATTCATCCCCAGCATGAAGTCGAGCGCATTTACCAGTGACGAGGGTGATCCTTTCAGGTTTGTGATTATTGTGATCCAAGCAATGGCACCCTTCTTCATTCTCCGGAGTATGCAGTGGATGGTACGGAGAGATGGTGGCAATCTCCGCCACTTTCCAGGGGACCCAAATACAACGAAGTTAACCTCACCATCGATTTGGGACAGGTCAGTTTCCCCATCGATACCGTGGTTCCCTCCGATCGTCGCCCACGCTAAGGTTTTGCGACGGTTCGAAATTGGAACAGAAGGCAGGGTCGAAGTTTGGGTTCGTGATCTACTTATTTCTAGGCCGCTTGTGTATAGCATGAATGTGTGTATGTATGTGTATGCGTGCCTACGTGTGTGTCTGTGTACGAGAGGAAGAGGTTTGGAGACAGCCTTGGAGGGGGTATGTGGGATAGAAAGGGAGGGAGGAAGCCTTCGAGGGGGAGGGGGAGCATCTGGAAGACGTTAGAGGGAGACTTGAAATGTGAGAGAGAGAGAAAAGATGCTCCCAGCTATCTTTTCCTCTTCTCTATGCCTGGATATGTGCCGATGGGCACATATCCAGGGATTCATATGAGGAAGAATATGCGAACCCACGATGGGTTTTCACTCACTCAGATATCATAATTTTTTTTTTTAACCTGAATGGACATACACGCCTTTTCGTCCAGTCATGAACCGGAAACGGGTTCGAGGACGAAGGAGTGTAAGCAATCAATCTGCCATGTGTTGATGAAGGCCGGAAGCGACCTCATTACCACTTGTTCGCCAAACGGTGAAAAAGGACGGACGAGGAGTAAACGTCCGTGGCCAAGTTTGACCCTACGGCAAGACAAAGTGAGTTTTCGCAAATCGACCGTAACGAGACAAGTCCTTAATATGTTGAGAAATCTGTAAGTTGAGGTTGCCTCGTTTTGCCCCTGTATCAGCGGAAGGGTTTCCTGCTCCTATCGTCGCCTTCCTGCTCCCATCAGCCTCCAAGCCTGGGAAGATTTCTTCTTTTACTTGACATGCCATCATATTTCCCATGCTGTCCGGCCTTCCTTTTTCCCGCCACACTTCCTCTGTTCTTCTGGGTCCTCCATATTCGATTCATCATCTGTCAAATCCTGGATATTGGGCTTTTTTTTGGAGAACTTCCAATGTTCCTTCGATGAGATGCCTCGAAGTGTTACGTGCTCTGCTGTAGGTAGTTTTCATGAGCTATGAGTAAAATTGATAGGACCAGTAGAGCGAAGTGGTGAATTTTTGCTGTTATGAATTAGTGCTTCGTTCGACTTTTAACTGTCAAGGAATTAAAATAAATCATTCCTTGGAGTGGCTCTAATGGCAGACCTCTGTAAGCATATGTCAGAGTACAGAGCATATCTGACTGACTTTTTATACATGATTTTATCTTTGCGATGTGCGCGTGCAATCTAAATATTGGGATGAGATCAACCTACTCATTTGCACACCACATATCCGGTATGGCGCATAAATACCGCCATTCTGGCAGCATTTCAACAAGTGGTGGAATTCGTTTGAGCTAAGAAGATTAATTTCTTTGCACTTTTTTTATTACTGGAGGCTGGTACTGCAGGCAACGTTTCACTCCAGGACATGATTCCTCGCGATAGCACAAGGCCCCTCGCAAAATCACTGAATTTCGGGGACCTGTAGAGCACTGGTATTAGGCCGACAGGAAGACTTTTCGAGTAGATCTTTGGAGAAACTGGTCAGGAAAAATGGCCGGAAAAGACAGGGGCGTTGTTCCCGCCACAGTCTGTGATAATCGTCCACTCCTGAGTCCTGACTTCTCCCAACCCGCACCAGATGTCTCTCTTGGGAGGCATGTAGACCTTGCCTGCATATTCACGCTTACTAAGAGAGAATGGTCACCGGGGAGCTCATGTTTCGCCATCTTCGGCTGAACCCTTTCGCTCAGAATTCTTGAATGCTCAAGCTATGAAATTCTGGAGAGGTTGAGGTTGAAGTGAAGACCGAAAGAGATGCAATTCGAGTCACCGCGGCTGTTCTAGGCTATTTTGAATTGGAGTATAGAGAAGATTAATTAAAGGATGTGGTGGAGGTGCCTGGAGCCTCTCACCCTCCCCACTGGATAAGAATTGGCACCAGGGTCACAGACTATTTGAATGAGCAAAGAGACAGCGAGAGAATAGTTACGAGCGAATCGATCTTAGAAGGCGGGAGCAAATATGTCAGGCTAACATTAATTTTTTTTTCATGCTGTCGAGGCTGATCGCTGTAATCATAACTTCACCCGTGATGATGACTCAACTTATGCCGATACATCGTCGTCCCAGAAGGCGAGACTGACATTAGTGGTAGAAGCCCGCAGAGAAGGAATCGAAGAATGAAGAATCCTCTCCCATCTTTCGCATTTCAAGCCTTCACATGCGGGCAGTTAACGGGACCGAAAACCGAGGTGTAAGATGAGGACAGATCTCTACAACAGAGACCGAACTCATCTCCGATCCTAGGGTACCAATGTATCCTCATAAGTTGACGCCTAAAATGTTCAACGCCTTCTCGTGCGGTTTCTACCCCTGCCGTCAGTTTTAGCTTACGGTGGAATGGTGTATAAATCCTATTTATGTTTAGCATGCACATTGGCAGCATTAGATAGGACTGAACTCCGTATTTAGTTCCAGTTTCCTTTGAGTTCTATTCCTCATTCGAATTTCAGTTAGCTTTTTTCCTTCAAAAAAGAAAGCACACTTACACAAACTTAGGGGAAATATACAGAGTGCCCAATATAAAACCAAAGGATTTATTTTTTATGCTTTGAAAATCATTGAGTTGCGGAGCCATGGGTATTAATGAATCCAATCTGAAATAGAAATATACATTTTATTATTTACATTCGTTTATGAAAACAACAAATCGTAATCAAGCAGCATAAATATAGATGAATACTTGTCGATAGAAAACATCATTTCGTTGTTAAAGGCGTGCTAATTGCAATCCTTTGGCTTTTTACTGGGCACCCTGTAGTTGCGGGGTCGGATCCTCGTTTCAATGAGCAATAATTTGCCATATTTTAAAATGCTCAATTGTGTTTCAAACAGTGGAGCAATCATATTTCGCTAGTTTTACTTACATTATCGCGAAGTCGATAAGGAGTTGGGACGTGCTTCCTTCAGTCAAACTAAAGTTTTAGAGAAGAAGGACGGAAAAACTGCTCTCTTCAGAGATTATATTCCGTAGCTCTTGGTCACCAAAAAGGACAAAACAGTTGACCCTCAAACTGCAAGCTCCGATGTTCTGTACAGGGGGTCCATAAAATTAAAGATTTTAAATCAGTAACTTTTAAACGGCTTCTCGTAAAACAATGAGACAAAGACTGAAAGATAATTTTAAAAAACTGAAAGTTTTTTTCTGAGTGCTAATAAGTAAGCTTTGAGCATCTCCGTGCTGTCTCTAGACAAATTTGTAAATCTCTCAAAAGACGTGCACTCAGTGTAAACAATGGCGACCGTGCAGCAGAAGGCTCAGTTTGCGCTGTGACTTGCAAAATTTGACTCTGCCGCACAAGTGCAGCGCGAGTTTTCGCGAGTTTACGAGAGAAAGCCACCTTCACGCCATGTCATCGCAAGGTGGTGCAGGCAATTTGAACCTGCATCTGATGCGCTCGGACGGGCAGTGGACTTTCCTTTTTCGACGTTTCCTCAAATTGCACCACCTTATGATGGCATTGCGTGAAAGTGGTCTTTCCTTGTAAACTCACGCCGTATTTGTGTGGCAGAGTAGCATTTTGCAAGCCACAGCACACACTGAGGCATCTGCTGCGTGGTCGGCATAGTTTACGCTGAACGCGCAGCTTTTAAAGAAATTTACATATTTTTGAAGAGATGGCACGGAGGTGTTCACATTTTTCCTTTTAGCACTCAGAAAAAATTTTCAGTTTTTTTGTCTTTCAGTCTTTATCTTATTGTTTTACGAGAAGCCGTTTAAAAGTTACTAATTTTTTTAATTGCTTCATTCTCTCATGGACACCCTGAACAGTATTTATGATGCAGCAAAATTACTCCACGCTGGACGCACCCTTGACGTTTTCACGGAGAACTTTCATTTTCACTTCATTCTTTGCATTCAAAAGTTGAAAAAGTCTGTCAGTTGCATAATTGGGGGGGGGGATACAGTACAGTATACCGAACACTCGAATGATCTCTGTCAGAGTTGCTTTTGGATTGAGGCACATAAGGTATTCAACGTAATAACGAGAAAGCTTCATGACGCAATTATGGAGCATTCGGTCATTAAAAAATAACTGACTTTTGCAACTTTTATCTCGAGCGTTCGCTCTCGGCAATCAAATCCAAAACCAAAGAGAGACTTACTTTTGGCCTGATTCCCATAGACCAGGGGTGCACAACATACGGCCTGCGAAGCCCTTGCTTGTGGCCCGCCATGATTGGTGTCATTCTAAGTGCTACTATGGCTCCTGCCCTGTTGGCCACAGCTATGGTCAGCCAGACTGCGGCCCGCAGTAGGTGAGTAAAAATCGCAAATGGCCCTCACAGCCTTTTGAGTTGTGCACCCCTGCCATAGACCAAATACTTTTCAAGTCAGAGCATTTGAACGGAAGCCCTTGTCCCATTTGTTCTTGTGCTCCAAAAGTTTGTCCCTCTGCAGTCAGGGTGAATAGAAAGTAGGACGCAGGCTTGATGAAGCCGATGAACTACTGAACCCCTGACGAGGGTTTATTGCAGTTCACAAATGAAGATTCATAGACGAAAGACAATGTGCGATTTACGTGAACATTGCAGATGCTATAATGGCAGAGTCATCTACCCGAGGGTTTACAAAAGGGGACCGTAGTGTAATGAGCTGGTCTGGAGAGAATCCCCCTCCTTCCCCCCCTCCTCCCCCCTCTCTCTTCGAAAGAAGACCTAGCCTAAATGTTTCGCAGTGCGGTACGCAGATGAGGCACCGATGGGGTCTGGCTCTGCTTCATCTTTGAAGGTAGACACTGCAGATGAAGGGGATTCGCAGGCTTCCGATAGTCTGAATCCCGCGGATAGGAAACCAAGGGTCCCCCGCTTTGCAGAAAACGAGGCAAACCACCTCTCCCCAGAGCCTTCAAAATTACAGATTCTTCGACATACGGCTTGAAGACGTCTTCAGTCCTATCTATCTTTCCAGCGTGGTTCGCAACAGCGCCTGTCGGCGAACACAAGTAACCCCGAAATTCCCAAGCGACGAAAGTAAACCAATTTGCAGACGTGTCTAAGGCCGGAATGCATAAACCTCATTTAGAAGATATAAAGGAACCTTTAAACTAAGGAGCTCTTTTTCCCTCACAGGAGTCCATGTTTTCTTAAAGGACCGTTAACTAAAGGGGGTTTCAGTGTTCGGGCTTTATTATTTGTCTTCTCGTTCTTTCGGTCAAATGGCGAACATATTCGTCTCACTTGCTCATTTAAAAAAATGGTTTGCACTTATTTCTTGTAAGACAAGTAGGGCGAAACCGGAGAGAGGCGAGAAAAAAAAGAACTATTAAAGATGAGAAAATCCAGATCCAGCTGCTGCGTGGCAGACATCTCTCAAACATGACTTAGTCAAAATAGGTGTAAAAGTAGCTGAAATTGACCAGACCTCTGAAATTACTTTTTCTTTTTACTTCCTATCGCGCATAGAAGGACTAAAAGGTTCAAAATAGCACGAATGTCAAAAGACGTGTTGCCTGTTCTATTTCAGCTTTTCCACGTGGCCTACGTATTCATCAAAATGGCCAACTCCCCTCGACCGGAAGTGTGGGTCTTGGAAAGATCAAGGGACAACGGGGAAACCTTCAAACCCTGGCAGTACTTTGCCGAGACGGAAAAGTAAGAGCGGGGCAGAGTAGTTTGGATGACGAAAGCGAGCGAGAGGCTTGTCTGCATCGGTTCCTTTCGTTCCCAGCGACTGCGAGACCTTCTTCGGACAGGAGAGCCTCCGACCCATTACGAGAGACGATTCCGTGGTCTGTGACACTCAATTCTCCAAAGTGGTTCCCTTGGAAGATGGGGAGATCGTGGTGTCCCTGCTCAACAACAGACCGTCGGCCAATAACTTCTTCAACTCCACCGTCCTTCAGGAATGGTCGCAGGCAACGAACGTGAGACTCAGATTCTTGAGGACCAAGACCCTTTTGGCTCACCTCATGTCCTTGGTGAACGAGGACCCAACCGTCACCAGAAGAGTAAGACTCCCCCAATAGAGTATAGAAAGCACGAATTTACTTTATCTAAAAGTTCTCACCCTTTTTGCTGCAGTACTTTTACTCGATTCGAGACATCAGCATTGGTGGTCGGTGCGTTTGCAACGGGCACGCCGACGTATGCGACATCACGGACCCAAATGACCCATATAAACTCCTTTGTCGGTGTCAGCATAACACATGTGGGGCTCGCTGCGAATACTGCTGCCCTGGATTTGTCCAGAAAGCCTGGAGACAGAGCACCCATACAGGAATATTTATTTGCGAACGTGAGTCCTTTATATCAGAAGGGATCTTTCCCTGTTTCTCTCTCTCTCCCTCTCTCTCTCCCTCTCTCTCTCCCTCTCTCTCTCCCTCTCTCTCACTCAGGTCTTCCTTTCATACTATGACGGTTCCTTCAATCTTTCAAAAGTCTCAAGGTCGTCCGCCCCATCCCTTTCGCCCAACTCTCCCCTCCCCCAAGCCTCCCAGACATTTTGGGAAGGAGGAAATTGAGCACGGTACGATATTATCTAACTTTTACACATTTAATCCGACACATTCCATCAATCGGTCAGAAGAGAGACTTTAGGAAAAGCATTCAGAATGCCTTTTTTCAATACCTTTCTTAATAGGTTGTATGACAACTATAATTATTATTACAACTATTATTAATAATAGTTGTCATACAAAATTTGACAAGTAAATGGAATTTTTCCTTGGCCGAGGCGTCACGGAGCGCAATTTCTGGCGTGGGTCGCGAACGTGCAACTTTGAAATCTTCAGATCTAAAGTCCCATTAGACCAGTTGCTTATCGTCGCTTCCTCACCACGACGAAACTGCATTCTGAAGTCGAGTTTCCCCAGATGCATTCCGTCGCATTCTCTGACGTCATTTTTGCGGGTAGGCCTCGACTAATGAACCTGAACCAATCTGTGCCCGATGGGGAGAGTTTTAGGACCAGACCTCAATGGCATGAAAGGAATGAGCAGCAGGCGTGCCATCTGGCAGGACTTCGAATGATCAAGGTTCTCAAGAGAGAAGTAAGATGTCGCCCAAAACGGAAAAGAAGACTAACGAATTCTCCTCTCGTGGGCTTCCTTTTGAGCTATAGATGTGTTGAGACGAGCCAACAAGTGAAACGAGTTCGTCGTTTTCTCCTTCCTCTCGACTTTCTGCGTTTCTCGTGAAACGTTAGTCACGATCGCCTATATATATTAGATATATGCAATAACTCAAGAATGGGGATGCAGAAAAGCTTGAAAATATTGTTTAAGATGGTTGGATCTTGCTTTTTGACTTATAGACTTACATTCTGAAACTTCATGGAGGATTTTTCTTTCCGAATAAATGATGGGAGCACCTTGGGAGAATGCGGCCATTAGGGGAATATGTCGCCTCGCAACGAATCCCCTAACAGACTGAATAAATAGCTTAAGCGAATTTTGAAGATACGAGGGTCACTCAATAAGTTATCTACCGGAATAAGAAAGAAACATCCGAGGGGTAAAATAACACTTTATTTTTCAATGTAGTCACCTTTTAACTCAACACACTTATTCCACTTTGATTCCAAGGACTTTTCTCTCTCTCTCCCTCTCTCTCTCCCTCTCTCTCTCCCTCTCTCTCTCCCTCTCTCTCTCCCTCTCTACCTCTCTCCCTCACTCTGCTTGTCTCTTCAGTCCTGCCCTTGACTCCTGCCTAGATAGATTTCGAACAGAAATTGGTGCACTTTAATTTTCTTTTCCTATGAAAACAGCCTGCAACTGCTTCGGACACTCGAACGAATGCTACTACGACCCGGAAGTGGACCAAAAGGGACTGTCTCTTGATGTCCAAGGGAATAACGAAGGGGGCGGGGTCTGTCAGAACTGTCGCCATTTCACGACGGGGATCAACTGCGACAAATGCCAGGATAGGTATTACAGGCCTTACGGGAAGCCTCTGGATGCCCTCGATGTTTGCCATCGTGAGTATACTTTCTCGCATGCTTTCACTTTTACTCAGAAGGACGCTCACGATACGAATTGGACTTTGCAGCTTGCCAGTGCGACAATTTTTACTCGACCGGGAACTGTGAAAACGAATCGGGACGATGTGAATGCAAGCGCCAGTTCCGACCACCCAACTGTGACGCCTGTAACGTCGGATACTATGATTTTCCCAATTGCAAGCCCTGTGATTGTCATCAGAATGGGACAAGAGGAAACGTGTGCGAAGTTGGAGCTGGGCAGTGCCCTTGCAAAGCCAACTATGCTGGCAAGAACTGCGATGCCTGTAACGAGGGATATTACAAGTTCCCTGAATGCATTCGTACGTTCAAATCCCTTGCTTTCCCGGATGGGGCACATTACAAGAAAACATTAATGCCGTCATTCCATGACTTCTGTTGCAGCCTGTGACTGCAATTCGCTGGGATCCCTGGGCCCAAGCTGTCACAACGAGACCGGCCAATGCGATTGCACCAACAGCTACGCCGGTCGAACCTGCAGCAGGTGCGAAGACGGCTATTTCGGATACCCAAACTGTGCCTGTAAGTACGAGACGAACTTTCATCTCGCCACGCATGCCAAGTGTCTTGCCTGACGTATCCGAGGACTGGTGGTGATTTTCCTTCTTCCAGTCTGTAGCTGCGATATAGCGGGGACGAAAGCGGAGATCTGCGACAAAAGCTCCGGAGCCTGCTTGTGCAAGGAGGGTTACGCCGGGGATAGGTGCGACCAGTGTGCCCCTGGATTCTTCGGGTATCCCAATTGCTTGCCGTGCAATTGCAGCCAGAGGGGGAGCGTATCGCAGGTGTGCAATCCTGCTGGGAAATGCCCCTGCATTCCATCATTTTCTGGTCGGACATGCGAGCAGTGCTCACCCGGATATCACAAATACCCCGACTGCATCCGTGAGTTCCCCCCCCCCCTCCCCCCCGATCGTATCGCATCGAATGACAGCGTGTTGGTGATGGAACGGGATATTTTTAGCCTGCAATTGTGAGAATCCTGGTTCGATCGGAGTCTCGTGCGATGACGAAGGGAAGTGTCAATGCAAGCCGAATTTCGATGGGTCCAAATGCGAGAAATGCGGGGATGGATACTATAACTACCCCCTGTGCGAAGGTAAAGACTCCAGTTCCATCGTAATCCCCTCTCCGTCTAAAAGGAAAGACTAGGTTATGAGATTCTCCTGTTGATGCTGGCAGGATGCAATTGCGACCCGGCTGGAGTGTTGGCAACGTTCGGCGGCTGCGGTACTTTGACCACGGGGGAGTTGTGCGAATGTAAGCAGCGGGTCACGGGCCGAATCTGCAACACCTGCAAAGCTCTCTTCTGGAATTTGCGAGCAGACAATCCTCTCGGCTGCGAGGGTAAGCTCCCTTAGAATGCAGCTTGCATGCACATGCTCAAATCCAGAACGGGGGAGAAAGTAAGATATCGTCGCTTGTTACAGATTGCAACTGCCATATTCCCGGAGTGCTGGGAGGACTTCGCGTCTGCGACAGCGGTTCGGGAAAGTGTCATTGCAAACCTCAAGTGACGTCACGGAGATGCGACCTATGCAAGGATGGGAGTTACCGGCTCACGGAGGCGAATCTCTTTGGATGCATCGGTCTGTTGCCCCCGTTTCACGTCTCTAAACTGTCGTTTGTAGATGAGACTCGATCATTCACACTGGAAGTGTCGCTCCTCAGACTGCGACTGCGACATCGGGGGGTCCAGTAACAACATCTGCGACAAAGTGGAAGGGAGATGCGTCTGCCGACCCCGAATTTCGGGCCGGAAATGCGACAAACCCCTGACGACTCATTATCACCCGACTCTTCATCAATACCAGTACGAGGTGGAAGATGGGTACACGGAACAGAGATCCCCAGTTCGATTTGGATACGATGAATCCCTCTTCCCCGGTTACTCGTGGAAGGGTTATGCCGTCTTCTCTGTTCTACAGGTGAGGGTTTCATTCAGAGAGAAATTTCTCCAGCTCCGACTCTCTCGTGTTGAAGTCAATCTTATTTTTCCTTTTAGAAAGAGGTGTTACAGGACATTCAAGTGGAGAACCCGTCGCTGTATCGGGTGATCCTACGTTACGTGAATCCGAGCGATGAGCCGAAATTGGCCGAAGTGAAATTGATCCCGGACTCCCCAAGGGACACGGAACAAATATTCATGGCAAGGCTTGAACCTGGAAAGAAGCCCAATTTTGTGACCGTTTCAGGACCTGTCGGCGACCTGCCTTCGCCCTACGTCATCGACAATCCCGGGCGATGGACTGTCTCCATCAAGACGTCAGAGAACGTCTTCGTCGTAAGAGATCAGCCCTTAAGAAGAAAGTTCCTTTGCGACCGCAATATTCGTCAAACTCCGAGGATTTTTTGTTATTCCAAATCAGGACTATTTCGTACTCCTGCCGCTGGCATATTACGAGGCGACGGTCCTTCAGCAACCGGCTCGGACGGCATGCAGCGTGGGAGAGGAGGAAGACATCTGCATGCATTATGCATACCCGGATGCTTCCGACTTCGCACACGTTCGAGGAGAAGCCGGCCACGTCCCCATCGACGATGACCGAAAGCCTGTTCCCCTTTTCGGCGACGCCCGAGTAAGCGGAAACATTTGGAGGTGTCTTCTTGTTTCCTCGTTCTCAGAGATCTCTGATCGAGGTGTTCTTAGATCCAGGGTATGCTTGGAACGACCGAGATGGCTCTGATGGACGAGAACTCCCAGAACGTGCACTTGGACATGAGGATTCCTTATCCGGGAAAATACGTCCTCTTGGTCTTCTATCACAGCCCCAACGCTTCCCAGCCGAGTTCCCTCACCGTCGAGGTGAACGGGCAAAGAGAACGTCACAAGGGCAAGGCCGTCCTCTATGCCTGTCCGTATACCAGCCTCTGCCGACAAGTGATAACGGACGCGGAAGGAGGCGTCGCCATGTTCAATCTCGACGACAACAACATCAACGTCGTCCTCAAGGTATGTAGGACGAAATCTCGTTTTCTCTGTTTTCCGATCGCCCAGTCGAGAGAACCGGGAGGAGAGAATCTATTCCTTTGCAGGGCGAGAAGACATCTGGGAGAGTGGGGATAGATCAGGTGGTGGCTGTGCCTGAGGAAAGATGGCACATGGATCTCATCGAGCCCGCTCCCATGTGCACCAGGCGGATGGGTCAATGTGCTCCCACTCGATTTGTCAATCCACCGAGAGGAGAATCCGTCAAGGTCTCTATTGAAATCGTTTCCCCCCGTCCTCTTTCCTTGGTTCATTTTTCATGAACTGATTCTCTTCCATGTCGCGCTCCAGGTGGAATTCGAGTCTGGAAACGAGGATAAAATGTCGAAGGTGATGCCCCCGGGGATCCAAGACGGCTCCACGGGTCTCATCTACCTGGACCATCAAGATGCCATGGTGGACATCACGGGGAAGGTCCCCAATCCTGGATATTACGTCTTCCTCGTCCACTATTATCAGCCTCAGTATCCAGGTCTGAGCTCTGACCTTCCTAAGCATTTTTTTTCCTACACTTTCTTTCCCTCCCATTCTCATTTTTTTCCTTTTCACATTGCAAGAGCTTGTTGATCCATCTTTCATTTTCGTTTCCTCAGTCTACGTGATTGCATAGTTACTTATTTAGTATAATCGTTCGAGAGACCTCAGCGAACCTCGGCGAGACGAACACGTTTCTATATTCTTGGGAAAAGGGTCATGGAGTCTGATAAGCATGACAGGCATCCCCAAACCCTGCCGGAAGATACGATCGATACATCCCCAGCTCATGAATTCGTCTCGTCAATGTTAACGAAATTAGGAACACGTGCAGGAGACTCTGGCTAACACTAATTCCGCGTCTTTCATTCTGACTGACGATTCCTCTCCGATTCCCCTACGCGGTTCTGACATGACACGTTTCTTACCCCTCAAATCCCTTTCTCTCTCTCTTTTTCCCATCAGAATTCGAAGTGGACGTCTTGATTCAGAACGGGCAATTCTACGAGGGGACTCTCCCGTTGAGACATTGCCCCTCGGCTGCCGGCTGTCGGGCTGTCATCAAAAGCCTCAACGGTGGCGACACGCAATTCCAGATCCTGGAAAATTTCGTCCTCACCCTCAAGGCGAGCATCTTGAACATCTGATGATTCCGCAAAACACGATGAAAGAATACGTCCAGAACAACTATCTTTCCATTCACAGGAGCCGAATCATAAGAGCGTATGGGTGGACTATGCATACGTCATTCCGGCCAGCATCTTCTCGGAAAAATTCCTGGATGAGCTCCCCCTCGACATGGCTGGGGAATTTATCGCTAAATGCGGTGGAAATCATTACTATCTTCCATCGACGACGGAAGGTTAGATCTGCTCATGATTCTGTATGTATACCCATTTCACGCTCGATTACGGCTTCACATGCTCTAGTCACCCATGATACGAAGATCCCCTTTTGAATTTCGAAGACGCGAGGAAACTCGGCATTTCAAATGGGATTTCATTATTTCCACAATGTCTCGGGATTCGAAAAGAACAGAAGGATGGAATGTAGAAAAGGATCAAACATGAATGTCTGGGGCTGGGCAGACGAATCTAAAATGTTAATATGCTTTTGTTCATTCGGGACAGGATTCGGGAAATTACCCATATACGTATGAACCCTCTTTAACCCGAAATCGATTTCCGATGCAGCGTAGTGTCTTTCCTTTAATTAAGGGCGTACTTTATTTCTGGCATTATTGCGAGGGCCGTACAGAAATTAAATTTCTCTTGCCTGTAACTTCGATCATTTTGAACACGAGTGATTCAAAAATTTTTTTTAAATCCATGCATCTAATAAAGTTCTCTCAGTCCTGTGATTTTCTGGTTGCTGGCAAGGCATTGCTGTTTTGGCGATTTAAAAAGATTACAGTGAGTGCCTCTGAGAAAAAAAAGACATATTTCTCAAAAGAGGGAATGCGCTCCTATATTTTTGCGAGTCTGCGTCATGAATTAATGCAGACTTGACGCGTATCATGGAAGGCTCAAGCCCTTTCACTCAGACAATTTGGACTCGGCCACGCAATTTTGACGTTAGCCAATAGAAGATGAGATTCGATCTGGGAGGCCATCTGGTACTGTGAACGATGATTCCGTGGCGAAGTGCCGCACGGAATCAAAGCCACAAATCCACGCACAGCCATTATAAATGTATAATTTGAGTTGGAATACGGCAGTGGAAGTGTTTCTAAGATCATCCGTGATTATTTGGGGATGTGAGAAATGTTTGCGCCACAAGATCAGCGATAAGAAAAAATTGGCTCGAATTGAAACTTACACAGACCACCTGGAAATGTTGGTGTCAAATGGCTCATAACGGCTCTCAGTCATGGATAAACTTCTTCATATCCAGAAAGCAACACGACACAGTGTGATCGGGTGAATGCGAGTCTCGTCCGAGAATTTTGGACCTTAGCAAGCCTGTTTGGGCTTGCTAAGATCCAAAATCTAAAATCTAAGTTTTAGGGATATCCCAAGGGAGGGTTGCAAAGCTGCATTTAAAGCATGGTTGCACAAGCTAGAAAGACATTAATTACATTAATGTCGGAGATGTCTTTTGATGGTTCATGAAGGCTTATTTGACCTTTTTGCACTGAAGTGTTTATCTTAGTCCTTTACATATTTTTCGAAACTCATTAATTTTTTCGCTCATGGTGCGAAAAAAACCTTTTTTTTTCCTCCTGTATCTGTTGAAAGAAAAGCCACTGCTAAATCATACTTAGCAAATCGCGGATGGACTCAGTTCAACGAAAACCGATCCATCTCATTGGTCAAAAATTAATATTGATTCAACATCACAATTAATGAAACGAATGCAGGGCAAGCATATTTGAAATTCTCCGGTTCTTTGAGAAGTAGTCAACATCTTGCAAAGTCAAAAATGGACGATTTTTTACAATTTTATGGAATAGCAAAGTTAACGCTGAGGACCTAAGAAATACATATTCAGCATGTCCTAAGTTTTTTTTTGCCATAACTGCATCTATTTGCGACTAAAAAAAAATCCATTAGGAGTCAGAAGCATTAAAGTTACAGACGAAGGAAAGTTACTTTCAGTGTAGCTCTAATACTTAGTCTGTAAGAGCATGCAATCATTGATGAAAATTCAAGTTTCACTAAGAGCAAAAAAAGTTATTGGAGGAAAGCTATAGCGTATACTCCAGAGCGAACTGTTTAGAACATCTGAGAAATAAAAGCGAAATTTCTGCACTACACTTTTCCAATTTCTTCCATTTTTGTGTGCTTTTGTTCATAAGGTATTCTAAAATTGGATATGAAATGACGCGATGATCCCGGATTAATGTTATCTGGCTGCAGCCGGTTGAGAGATGGATGGAAAGTCCCAAGAGATTTACGGTAGAATAATTCCAACTTAAGATGAGGGAAACGTCGAAGAATAAGTCCAGCCTGGACGAGAATGGTCCCGCAAGGAGAAAGCACAGCGGTGTATGTATTTCCGACCAGGTTTCTGCCGGCGATCCGTGTTCTCCATGACGGCGGAGTACAACAACGGGGCCCAGTCGTGCAACTGCGACTTCCAGGGTTCCTTGAGCTTCGAATGCGAGGAGATGGGCGGGCAATGCTCCTGCCGTCCCAACGTCATCGGCAGGAAATGCAACCGATGCCGCACGGGTTTCTACGGTTTTCCCTATTGTCGCTCTTGCGACTGTCCGTCCACCGCACTCTGCGATCCCTACACTGGTATGCTTGACTCTTCCCCGATGCTCTTGAAGCGGTAAACGAAACGACATCTTAGGGAAAAAAATATCTACGTTGACCAGGCGACTGCATTTGTCCTCCACGTGTGACGGGCGAGAAATGCGACAAATGCGAGCCCCTTACTTACGGATTCGACCCAATCATCGGATGTGAGGAATGCAAATGTAATCCACTGGGCGTGAAAGACAGCGTTCTTCAATGCGAACTCCTCACAGGACAATGCAGGCATGCGAAGCTCCATCGCCTCTTTTCTCGTATGATGATCAAAACCGCCATTTGCTCAATTTTCCTTATCGTTCGATGTCTAGCTGCCGAGAGAATGTCGTGGGCCGAACGTGCGATCGATGCCTTGCTGGATATTGGGCCTTTCCCCAATGCCAACTGTGCAACTGCGACTTCCGAGGCACGGCCGAAGACATCTGCGATCAGGTATGCTGCCGCGAACACCAGAGGCATCGTGTGCATAAAGGATCAGGGCATAACTCAGTGACTTTGCTTTCGAAGGAAACATCGACGTGCTTCTGTAAAGAGAATGTCTACGGTCGATCGTGTGCCAGTTGCAAGCCAGGGACTTTCAATTTGGAGGAGACAAATCCAGATGGATGTTCGAAGTGCTTCTGCTTTGGCAAGACCAGCCAATGCTCCAGCTCTTTCCTCTATTGGGATCGGGTAAGAGCTTCTACCCGCTTCTCTCTGCGCTTATTTTCCTACTTACCTCGGGATCCTCTTTCATGCGATTCTGGGAATTTCACCCGCCTTATAAACATTTCATCCTACTGTAGATCACGCATCCTTCTTTTCTCTGTCAAAAGAAGGCATGACATATACCCGTCCTCGACCTTGGGTAGTAAGAGGCATCAAACCATTAGATAACTCCCCCGCTCCTTCCATTGTCCCTATCTAGACGTATTTGTGGGATACGTGGACCATGATTATCTCGCTGACGTATTTCGCCCAATGTTGCTCACAGACATGCACACCTGGCTGTGTTTATTCCGATGAGGATCTCAAATGAGCTAGGTTGCCCGTCTCCTCGTCGGGGAGACAGCTGTGCAAAATGACCAGTATGGCTACTCCGAAATGCTAGACCCGTGGTTGACTTTCGCCATCGAGGATATTCGAGGATATTCAATTCTTTCAGTTGCAACGCTTCTTTCGGCTTCCATGATTGCTACTGAAGCAAATGCACCGGTCAGTTCGATGAATGGGTTTAATGGTGGCCCAATTTCTGTGGTTCCTCTGCATAGAAATACTGATAGTCATCTTGGTGGAAGCAACAGATAAATAATGCAGAATACCAGTAAGATATGGAAATTAGGGTATAAAGGGACGGTGGGCCACAAATGGACCTCTAGGGTAATCCGTGTTTCCAATTCTTATTAAATATGAACCATGTGGATTTTTTCTTACATAGAACCGCCGTCTATCCTTTCCGTGTGACTGTCCGTAGTGAGATCCTCTATTTTCTTCAGAGCTAGAGTTCGGGTTGGAGTTTCCTTCTTTCTTGCTATAATCCTTAATTGATCATCCTCTCTGAGAGGGAAGCAGAGAGACGGCCTTTGCCCTAGCCCCGACATGGTTGAGAGCATCCTCTTGTCATAACTCCTTCTTTCAATCAATATCTCAATATCTCTGATATTGCAAGAGTGGGGAAAATTTAAGAAAGAAAAGGGTATGTGCTACCTTGGAGTGCGTGTACTGATGGAGTACTCATTCACAGAAAGTGCTTAACATGCTACCCACTGAGTTGTCTAATTGGATCACTGTTGCAACGCCATCAATAAATCTGAATTATTATAATGAAGGGACTCGTGGACCATTAGCGCGTAGTTTCATCGAATATTCGAACTGGAGCAAGTCACAATCCCTGCGGGGTGCATATGAGACTTGGGGTCGCAATTGGAAATTGGCGTGCCTCGCGTAGGTACAAGGAGAGGCGCCGCGGGTGGTGGGAGCCTCTCCGAACAACACCTTCGTCAGTTCTTTTCTTCGGCGGCCCATTTTGATTCAAACCGAGTCGTCCAGGCACACCCTGCGAAACTTTTGATGGAGTTTCTCTTGACATATTTTCGGCTGGACGAGCACTCGTCGTGTTGAAGCGGAGGGGAAAATAAATATGCTATTTTAGATCTCGGAGATCCAGGACTGGAAAGGGACGGGCATCCGGCAAGTGGCAGGGAATTACCAGAAAGCCCCCATCGAAGCCTCCGTCACGTCGTACACGGATCTCATGAGGATGGAATTGGGTGCTACCGGCGAGGACATGGCCGTCTACTTCTCTGCTCCCGAGGTCTATCTAGGCAATAAGCTCAGTTCCTACGGAGGTCATCTCTCGTATACGCTCCTCTTTATTCAAGGGGAACTGTCGAGTGGCAAGGGAGGTGCGGAACCCTCTTAAGATTCCTTATTATCCTCACTCTCTGAGGGAAGGAGAGACTGGAGATTATTGGCCTCATTTATTGCAGGCAGGGCAAAGCCGGCTCCGGATTTAATCCTCCAAGGACATAACTTGACTCTTCTTCATTATTCTCTCGGGGATCTCTCCGCACTGGAGTCAACGTCCGTCTCGCTTGAATTGGTGGAGAGGAATTTCCGCCTCCCATCTGGCAGCCCGGCGACCAGAGAACAGCTCATGCAGGTCCTCTACAAACTCGATGGTTTGTATATCAGAGGGAACTACTGGAATCCAACTGCCGAGGCCCGGTGAGATCATTTTTCTCTCCTGTTTTTGTCTTCTTCTTCGTTCCTTCCTCGTGAATTGACAGACAAGTCCTCCCTTTTAACGAGGAAGTCATCTCTTTACATGTCTTCCCACTATTGATTACATCTGGTAACCTCATTAAGAGAGGTTGTTATAAACTTCCATGTCTGAAATTCATTAAGCCATTGATTGAGACATTTAGATGCGTGAGATTGAAGCGGAAGGGCGGATATGAAGGCCCTCCTTATTCAACGCGGGTCATAGTGGAGGCGCTAGGAGAGACTTCCATAATTCTGTACATTTCCAGCTGGCTCTTTTAGATGACAAAAAAAGAAGCAATTTCCCTTTCCCCTCCGAAACATGGAGTCCTGGGACTCGCCTTGATACATTTTTTAAAGACATCCATTTCCTTTGTAAAGGCTGAGCAACATATCTATGCCACTGGGGATAGAAGACTTCTTCGACGGGGCGGAACCAGCCTCATCAATAGAGCAGTGTCAATGTCCTCCCAGTTATCGAGTGAGAACATGAAAATTCTATCGTTCCCTTCTCCGGAAGTCTGTTCTATGCGGAGAGGGCTGAAAAGTATCCCATGTCCTCTTCATTTCAATAGGGCCTCTCGTGCGAAGAATGTGCACCCGGATATTACAGGGCTCAAACAGGGCCCTTTGGGGGCTTCTGTGTCCCTTGTCAATGCAATGGCCATTCCAACGAATGCGATCCCCTTACCGGCAAATGTCTCGTGAGTTCCTGTTTTCTTTCATTATCATCTTCATAGATGGCCCCTCGTCTCCTTTTCTTCCTGTCTTCCTGAGATCGTGAGATTCCGACCTTTCAGAATTGTCAGCACGACACAGAAGGGGACTATTGCCAGAAATGTCGAGCCGGTTACCATGGAAATGCAACTCAGGGGACGCCCAACGATTGCCTCATCTGTGCCTGTCCTTTACCGCTGGAAAGCAATAAGTATGCCATTTCGAAAACGAGACTGACTGTCACGTCGGGGGTGTTCATTGGTGGGGATATAAAATAAAATATTTTTTCCTCAACCGCCAGTTTTGCGAAATCATGCATGGTGTCAGAGGACGGACGGGCCATCAGCTGTGAATGCAAGCCAGGTTATTATGGTCCCAGATGCGAAGTCTGTGCTGCAGGGTTCTACGGTCAACCGGAAGTCCCAGGGGAAATTTGCAAACCGTGCAATTGTTCGGGGAACATCGACCCGTCGGACCGTAGGGCTTGTGATTCCGTGACGGGAGAATGCTTGAAATGTTTGGGGAATACCGGTGGGCCTGCTTGTGGCATCTGTGCTCCTCCCTGGCACTTTGGGGATGCCATCTTCTCCAAAAACTGCCAGAGTAAAATCCTTTATACTTCGGCTTTCGTTGTCCTCGTACGTGAGTGCGATATCCAGACGAAATCATGGCATCTTGCTTTTTTTCTTCCATTGTTGCAGGTTGTGACTGTGATCAATGCGGGGCGAGGAATTGCGATCACAGCACGGGAGTGTGCAACTGCAAGGAGAACGTTATCGGTGACAAATGCGACCGGTGTGCCGTCGATCATTGGGGATTCGATATCTGCCAGGTGAAATCTTGTCGTCACTTTCCCTTCCTGGACCTGTCTCAGACAGTTATACGATTTTCTCCTTTGGGATGCATGCCAGGGCTGCCGAGGCTGCAACTGTGGAGCGGCATCGATGAGCACTCGTTGCGAGGAAACTACGGGGCAATGCCGATGTCGGCCAGGTGTCGGCGGGAGAACCTGCGACCGGTGTGAGCCTGGATATTGGAACTACACTCCCAACGGCTGCGAACGTGCGTGCCTCTCACCAAAATTACTTTTGCCAGTAACCCTTGCATCTGAATAGATAAATGTGAAGAAAAATGCGGTCGATCCCAAATTGTAGGGTGCAAGTGCAACCCGAATTATGCGTTCGGGGGTGGATGCAATCCCCAGACTGGTCAGTGCGAATGTCTTCCGAACGTCATCGGTCAAAATTGCGATTCCTGTCCTCATCGATGGGTCCTCATTCCGAACAAGGGTTGCAGAGAGTGCGATACGTGCACCCACGATCTCCTAGATGTCATGGACTCTATGAAGTCCACCATTGCCCCTCTTCTCACCGAATTCGAAGTACATATACTCATCTCACCGTTCCAGTCCTTCGGCCTTTCGGATTCTCTTTCACACTGTTCCATTCCTCCCCCTCCCCCCCTTTCAGACGGTATCGCTGAGCTTCTTCACGACCAAGCGACTGATGAACATCAACTCGACAAGCGATGAGTTGAGGAAGAAGGTCGAGGACTTCGATCCAAAGTTGGTCAACCTCAGCCCCCCTTCCCTGGAGATCGACGACCTCACGGCAAAAGTCGACGATTTCGCCCTCTCTGTAGGCCTCTCTTTTGGCTACTTCCCACTCTTGGAGATCCCAATGAGTCGATATTAATCAAAGGCATTGGTTCTCCTGAAGGCGGAAGGGAATTTGCTGGAGGCTACCGACGGACTGGATAGCAGTGCCCTCATCCTGGAGAGCGGGATTAAGATGCAGAAAGAGGCAGAGAAAAACGTGAAGGAAGTGAGAGACATCGTCACCCGAGTCGGACATCTAGCGATCGGATTTGAACATGCGGCTGGCAAGTCTCCCTTCCCTTACAAGGCACGCTACGCTACCCCCACTAGGGATTTATTGGGAACGTCCTTCTGTTCTCCCAGGTCCTCAGATTTCAGACGCAGTAGCAGATGCGGACAGGATCCTTCAAGAGATCCTGAAGCAAGGCTTCCACGACTTTAGTGAGCGAGCAAACATGGAGCTGGAAGAAGCTCAACAGCTCCTAGAGAGCATGAAAGAATTCCAAGTTCCCGTTAAAGAAGATATCGGCCAACTGGAGGACCTTAGGAACAACATGACCCACATCCGAGACCGACTGGCCGAACTTCAGAATCAGAGTTCTCAGAGCCTTCAGAAGGTCTCTTCCGCTATGGATGCCATCAATAAAGTGAAGTGAGGCACCTTCACTTCTCCTCCGTCGTCGTCTTTTCACTCGAGTTCAGCAGAACGTTGAATTGAGTTTTCCTCATAGGGCGACTGATATGCAGAGGAAGCTTCAGGATGCAGGCATCAACGCGGAGGAAAGCAGGAATCGAACCATCGAGGCTGATCGAAGAACTCTGGAAGCAGAAGACTTGTTCAAGAATGCCACTACCAACTACCAAGTCCTCAGTAAGATAGATCCAAGACAGACCCTTAAAAAAGTCCACCTGCACCCACCTGGCTGAAAAACCAGGTGGTTAGGAGGTGGGTTTGGAACTAGGTGGACGTCCACCCGGTGGAAATCCACCATTCGCCATTCGCACACATGTATTTCGAGCCAGGTGGATTTTCCCTCCAGGGAATCCTCCTGGTGGACATCGCTCCAACAGGGTGGAAATACGCCTAGGGGGACATCCACCTGGTTCCAAATCCACATGGGAGGTGGGCGGTTTTTAAGGGGAGTTCCTCTATCATGAGAGAGCGAGAGAAGTAACCTATAATTATGACGTGATGGCAGATGAGAGCGTGACGCAGCTGGAGACGTTCAAACAGGAGTTGAAGAATGCAGCTGAATCCCAGAATGGAGATTTGCGACGTGTCGTGTTGGATTCCCAGCGACATGCCAGGGATCTCGAGAGAAAAGTACGTGGCATATCTTCTTTTTTCGTTCCTTGGTTGATGCCATGATGATAATGGTAGCGGTGGTGGTGATGGGCAGGCGAAGGATCTGGACAATCTGATAGCGGACACGAGGACGATGTCCGAAAATGCTGTGAATGCAGCCAATTCTAACAAAGACATCGTGAAGGCGACGGAAGAGGCAAGAGAGGCAGGCAAAGAAGCACGGAAAACAGCATTAGACACGAAAGAGAAGGTGAGCAGAGCTATCTTCGCATCGCCTTCCGTGACTCACTGCCCCTCCTCTACCCCTGAATGTTTGTGTATATTGCAGCTGGGAGGCGTGGGGAGTCGGTCGAACGAAAGCCTCGGGGTGGCGAAGGAGTTGAAGAAGGAATCGCTGAGCTCAGCTGATGCCGTACAGAATCAGCTGGCTGCCAACCTTGCCAACGGCAGATTCTTGACTGAACTCACCGCCGACACTGTGGAAACCATCAAGGCCAATCTTTCCGAGATCCAGAGGTACAGGAAGATTCATAATTCTCTCCGTAGTAAGCCTTATTACTATAGTCGATCTGATTACGTCTGTTTGGGTGTGTAGGCAGATAGGCCTGTTGCCGGCCCTGAACGACCCGGATCGGTTGAATGCAGATGATGCGTTGCAAGCATCACAGAAGGCTAACGAGACTGCCAACTCAGTCCTGAGGGAAGTGGAACGACTGAATCTCGTCGCGCTGAAAGTGAATCGAAGCTCTAAAGCCTACCAGCCGATGATGCTGTTGGCTCTCCTGGAAGACGGAGGAGGTAGGGTCTCTCAGCATCACATACTCACGTGCGATATTGTAGATGAAGGATGGGTTCATTCCTCAATCCTGCATCTGCTTCTTTTCCCGCAACCGAGTTGGACTTGAAGGCTCATCAAGGACACACTTTCCCTGCAGCTGCTCCCCCCTTACCCTATTTTCCCTGACTATGCCCCGTTCCCTTTTTCTTTTCCATTCCCACCGAAGAACTAAGTTTGGATCGATAGGGCCGACCCCATTTTTCGTAATTGCTATCATAGAGCGGGTCATCGCAATCAATGCGGAATTCTTTCCTCTTATCTCCAGAAAAGAAATACCGAGACGATCCTCCTCGAATGAGAGAACTTGCTGATCGGTTGACGTTGAAACAGGCGGAATTGAAAGCGAAAGGGGAAAAAGTAGGAATGTCCATCCACACCTTGAAGATGAAAATCGCCAAGGCTCGAGAACAGGCCAACCGGCAAGTGCTGGACATATACTTCGTATCTCTCTTCTTCAAGTTTTCCATCTATTCATGATGGAAACTTTTAACGAGTTCCCACGTCTTATACTTCTTATCACATATTTGTAGGATCAAAGTCGGCCTGCAGTTCAAGCCCGACACGACGTTGCAGTTACAGAATCCAGAAGGCCTGAATGCAGCTGCTACTTCCACCAAACTCTCGCTTTACTTCAAGACCGACAAAAAAGACGGATTCCTTGCCTATCTGGGCAATGAGGAAGGTACCCACACCAAGTTGAAGAACACCAACACCGTAAGTGCCTCGATGAATCTCTCCAGCCTTTTCTTCTAGGCGAATGACGGCAGAGATAAAGAATACATGTAAATAATGCAAGCGAGGGAGACCGTCCCAACGTGATGGAAATGAGAGGTAGGGAGTTGTAATTATACTGTGGGGACCGGGGAAAGAGGGACCCGTGAGTGATGCCATGTCCTCTGTCCCATGTAGTCGGGGTCAATTTTTCCTCATCCTCATAAAGGAGAATGCATTCTGTACACGAAGGAGAAATGAGCTCATGCCATCTCCCCTCCCTCCCATTTGACGTTGCATTCTTTGAGTACTACAAGGAGCATGACTGGGATCCGAGACATCCAACGAACAATGTCTTGATCATCATTGCATGTGAATAAGAAAGATTCCCGCCAAGTTTTAAAATATCTCAAGCAGTGATTCAAATGCAATAACTTTTCAAAGTTGAAGTATCGAAAAATAGCAGTGAACAACCAATCTGCTCAATGCTCCTTGCCAGACATCCCTTCCACGTGCTCTAACATCACTGAACACAAGTAGCAGACAGTCCCAGTGAGGAACCTGGTTTTCGACACTTCTTTTCTTAACTTGCGTTATCAAAATTAATTTGCATTCGGGTTGCGTATTTAATATTTTACTGGCATCATTTGCTGTACGTTTAAGGCAAAACTCTCCATTATTATTTTTTTGACGTCATGAATCACAGTATCAATAATTACGAAGAACGTCATGGGATTCAGGGAAGAGGACAAGCACTTGATTGAATGTTTGTGAGACGAAGGGCTGCAGTTCTGATTGGTTCATGAAGGAAATCCATGGCCGGCAACATCACAGTCGTTAGAAAAAATTGCTAAGACTATTGACTGAAACAATGTGGAAGTGGCAGGTCACACTCTACTCGGACTGTGAAAATATCAAGGCTATGGAAGAATCTGTTCTATCAAGAACAGAGCTTGGGCTCGTGCTGATGGCGAATATTTTTAGTACGAGCTCTAAGTTGTTGAAGTTGGCTGGTAAAATTTTGACAGAAATCTTCCTTCTTCATCTGATTTGTCGAGTGCAAAAGGGCATAGGGGAGCGGCACCAGTTAGCGAACAAGGAGTCAGTTAGCGAACGAGGGTCATGAATTGCGATTTAGCCTTTCGTTACTCTAGTTTCACACTCCATCTCTAGCATTAATTAATCAAACAATCCATTTTCTGCAAATACCACATGCTGGAGGGTGTTACTCGAGAAACAAAAGGACGCATTTCATGACCCTGGTTCGCTAACTGGCTCCCTGTTCGCTAACTGGTGCTGCTCCCCTAAAGCTCATAAGATATTGTAAGGAGATATTTTAAAAATACAAATAAACTGCCAATCTCTAATAATAATAAAAATTCAAAGGAGTTGTGATTTCATATGATAAAAGAGATTTACCTAAACCAATTCCATTGCCAGGACTACTTGCTGCCAGGACCGTCGTTTTGGAGCATGCCAACGTGATGCACCTGTCAAAATCGAATGTGTGCATTGCTCGTTCGCTTCAACTTTGAAAAGTCATTGCATTTGAAGCACAGGGCGAAATTATTTTATACTTGACAGGTATCTTTCTTATTCACCTGAGAAGCCCTGTGCAAAAATACATGAGTCTTGCATAATATCAGATATTCAAAGAAATAAAGTGACATACTTTTTTTTGAGACACAGTGTAGTGCTGGCCAAACTTCCCAGCATAAGACACCGCTACTGCTCTCGCGAAGAGATGGGAAACAGAGGGGAGAGGGGATTTCTTCGAGTAACTCAGTAACTTCGAGTAAAACAGAACAAGGAGAGGATTCTTGATTAACACCAGGAAAGTCTGTTGAGAGTGTTTATCCTGTCCGTACGAGTCGGTAGGTGTCAGTTGCAGGTTAGGAAGAAAAAAAAAAGGAAGAGGGAAAAACAAGAACTAGGTGGTAATCGATGAAGTCACATCCATTTTTTCATTCTTCCTCTTCGTCCCAACTGCACTCCCTCTCTTCTCCTCATGGCAGGCACGATATATTGCACGCTATAGAATGCCTACGTCTCTCGTTCACATTTCCCATTACTTCTCCTCCCATGTGATTGAAAGAAAAAAGCGTAGTACACAATACCATTGGGAAACGTGGACGAATCGAAGTTTCAATCCGATTTCTCAAATGAGAAACGGGGAAATACGAGAAGAGAGAGAAAGAGAGAGAAAAAAAGAAGCTCGGCTTCATTGCTGAGCGAAAATGAGTTCCTGCCCCGAAATGAATGCAGGACGTTCTTTCTCATTAACAGGACGATTTCTTGGCACTGGAATTGGAAGACGGATTCGCAACCCTTGTCGCGGATCTGGGCTCTGGCGTCCGTCGTATCCCCAACACCAAGAAATACGTTGCCGATGATATCTGGTACAGGGCCATCGTCGAGAGGTGAGGATAACTCTCTTCCCTATCCCAGCCGTCGACCTGGATCTTCCCTAATGCACTGAATGGTTTCAAACTAGAATTTTGAATTTAATTTTTGTCATAGTCGTCGTTTGGAGTCGTGATTCCGTTGTTTGATGACGATTCGTGAGTATGGAACCCTAAGAACCGTCATCCAACAAACGAGAGTTTCACGTGTTTGGGTTGAGTACCTTTTCTGTCGTAATCAGGTTATGGTTCAATGGTATTTGACGGATTCTGATGAGTGCTGCAGCACACATACTCGAACCACAGACGAAGCAGAACTATGAAACTGAAAAGTCTTCGTAGTTGACAGCTAACCGTTTTAGTTTCCTCACAATACGGAAGAATGGGAGGCTCTGTCAGGGTTGGTATCCATTAGTATCGATAACTCAGCAGCGGTGGGGATTAAATGAGTTTTCCCTTCAGTGCCTGACGATCGCTTAACCATTGTTACACTAAAACTGGCCGAAGGATTGCAAAATCCAGGTTGCAGCATAGTCTGGTCGTGAATCTAGTATACTGCGACGACAGGTGACATGCGTCGGAGACATTCAACCTTAAACTAACCTGATTTCATAACAAACTTTTTTGGGAATGATATTGTCTCCGTTTAACTGGCTCATATAGGAGCGTTACGAAATCAAATCAATTTATATTTAACGGACACCGTGAAGTGTCACCTGACTGAGCTAAAATCGAGGAATGGCTGTAGCTGAACTTAGACCAACTATACCAATGGCATGCCCAGAAAATCAAAATGGGGGGGGGGGGGTGGGTCGCCATATGAAACACTAATTACCTACCCTAATGAGGGAGGGGAGTAACATATGAAAAAACTGATAACCCACTCCGTATTTGTGTCCAAATAAAAATATTTTTGAGAATCGAACCTGTAAAATTGATCCCAAGGGACCCCCAAACCCCCCCCCCCTTGGGTACGCCACTGAACTATACAACCAAACTATAAATTCGAAACCAAGTATTTTATGATGAATTAATGGGCTTAGGGTGGGGAAGACGGTGGAGCTGAAGATCGTGGAAGAAGGGCCGAATCAGGAGGAGATAGTTCACAGTGTGACGGGGAAGACTGCAGGACCCAAGAGTGTCCTTAACCTGGATCAGGAAAAGAGCTCTCTCTACGTCGGTGGATTCCCCGGTGATGCCAAAGTAGCTTCATTCTCTTCCTCCATCCCTTTCTCCTCCTCTCCTGAAGAGATGGATGGGATGTTCAGGCATGGGTTCATCATTATTGTCGTAGGTGCAACAGAACGTGCGATATAAGTCCTTCGATGGAAGCATCGAGGGAGTGGAGGTGAACGATCAACCTGTCGGCCTTTGGAACTTCAAGCAAGCCAACAACAACGTCCATGCAGAAATCGAAAGGTGCCCCTCCTGCTCTCATCCGATTCCAGAATCTCGTTGCGGCTCCGACTTTTTTGCTATCGTTTTATTTGTTTCCCTCACGTAGAGATAGGTTGAAGACGGTAAAGCCGTCCACAGGGTTGCAGTTCGAAGGGAAGGGATATGCAGCCATAGATCGGAAAGCCCATCAGTTCCGGAATAAGTTCTTCATCAAGATGAACTTCAAGACATATGCGGACAACGGTCTCCTGCTCTTGGTCGGCAAGAATAAACGATTCCTGTCTTTGGAACTCCGTGATGGACGAATCATGTATCAGGTGAGGTGATTTCAGAGTCACTCCCTCCACGATTGGAGCCAGAGAGGTTCAAATATGTGATGCCTTCCAGAGTGGGTTTCATCTGCCTCTGGAAAACCGTCCACGAGATTTTCACTTTTCTTTTCTTAAATTGTCAGTACGACTTGGGAAGCGGGCCAGTGCGAAGCATCACTGATAAGACCTACAGTGATGGGGAATGGCACACCTTGCAAGCTCAACGACAGGGTAGAGAAGGACAGCTCACGGTACGCCAACTTTTCCTTTTTCTTTCCTCTAAAGTCGATTCGTGTACTGTTATTTAGGTAAAGGAACCGTTAGACACAATGAGGGCTTAGCTAAAAGGCAGTCGAAAGAGCCAACTAGAATAAAATGACCGTTTAGTGAGAGCTTGTTAAAGAATCATAAATATCCTGGTTCTTATTCTGCCTTTCAGATAAGCTAAAAGCCCGTTACAGCTGTAAGGGGGGACATTCTTACCCAGGGTTAGATATAAAAAAGGGGGGTAATTGAAAGTCTCTTAACAGCTAAAAGATGGAAGAATCGGGTTTCAATCTTTCTCGTTTCTTTCTCCGCTGTCTTTTCCAGGTGGACGGGGAGAACATGGAGCGAATTACCTCCCCAGGCCAAGAAATGAATCTCCGGGTCTCCGACTATATTTACTTCGGAGGCTATCCGGGAACCCACGGATACGTCGACGTCACCAACATCGGCTTCGATGGTTGCATCGACGACGTGGGAATCTCCAACACCCCTGTTGACCTGAGTCAGAATCGAGAAGCCATCGGAGTGTCCCATGGATGCCCAGTCCGGGTAAAAAACCATCGTTTATCCTTCCCCTTTTTTTGCCAGCATGATAGGAAGCCGAACACTGCCCAGTGGCAACAAACACAAAAGAGCTCGCAAAAAAATATGAACCCTTGATGGGTTGGAGGATTGACTTGACGAGTGGAAGGATCAGCAGAAAGACCCAGTAGACTACTACATACACTGATCTCTGATGATACCCATTGAGAGTTGATCCCCGACTTGCTTCTTCCTCCTTTTGTCTTCTTGCCCACAAAGCCCAGTCAGTCCAGTTCATTTTTTTTTTCCGTTCCGCTCTGTTGTCCTGGCGACCCGTTCAGACAATTTTAGCCGAGGATAAAGGGGATATCAAGCAGGGTATTCCTCAACGGAGACCGTCCTTTTCCCATAATCGTATCTGGAGATTACGGTCACGGTCCCTTTCACCGGGGTGGAAATCCTTGCATGCCCTATATGGTCTTCTTTTTCTCTTCCGTCTTCTCTCTCTCCCCAATCTCAATCTCGATCACCTCTTCATTCTTCATCTCCTTAGGAGTGTCCCTCTCCCTTTCCCTCCTTTTCCCATTTCATCAATCATCCCTTCCATGGAATGAAATAGGACGATTCTTATTGTCCACCTTGTTGCCGTGCCACCAGATGAAAATCCGCGGAGGATTCCCAATGAAGAATGTGAACGCATCCGTCCGAGGGAGAGAGGTCTTTTCTTTTTGCAAAAAGTTTTCAGGGAAGCTGCTGTGATGGGAAAGTTCAAGTGTACAGAGGGAGTGGAAAGTCCCTGCACACCCTATGATGGTTCATAAGAGATGCTCTGGGTGTCTCATGGAGCTCCGCAGCAACCTCTCAGAAGGATCGATGGCTTCCATCAAAAAGAAAGGGGTGACAAGACTAATTCAATGCGTTCCTGTAGTGTGTACACTTTGCTCCACTGGTACTATCCTCCGCAATCACACTTGCAATCGTCTCCAGTCCCATCCAATCTCCAAAGAGAATACTCATATGTAAGAGTCACTGGGTGTGCAGTGACTTTCTAACCACCCTATATAGCCCCCTGAAGCGGGGAGATCGTGCAGGAACCATTATATAACCTTTTCCTTATCGAATGTTTGACCATGGGCAATCTTGCTATTCCTTGATGAAATAGGGTTGTCCAGGATCGTTCAGGACTTGCCGTAGTGCTATGACCTCTTTAAAGCCCAAGAAAAATTCATGACATTCGTGATCGAGTCCTGATCGAGCGACTTTATATGTTATTTATGGTGTGGGTTAAAACGGTAAGAAAATAAAGACAGCATCGTATAATACTTGAGCTATACTATATGCCATCATCATCGATGCTCCCACACAATCTTCGCAATTGCATTGTATGAGACGCATGATGATAAGGATGGGGGAGGAGGATGGATGAAAGTCACTATATCATAGCACCTCACCCTCAACTCATGCAATTGATTCTTTGATCCCCGTGGAACGATTCCAGACGGCGAGAACGGTGTCGTTCGACTCCAGTGCCCCAGGTTACGTGGCCATTCCAAAGGCTCCAATAGGAGACGATCTCCAGGTCACGTTCAAATTCAAGACCCTTAAAAACGACGGAGTGCTCTTCCATGCCGGAAATGAAGGGGCCAAAGACTACGTGTCCATCTCCTTGTCCAAGGGGGGTCTCGTCATGGAAACCCCTGAATATCGACTCGACACCGGGCCCGACCATGAGCTCAACGATGAACATTGGCATTATGTCACGGCAACCAAGGACTCTAAGGGATTGAGGATCGATCTCGATGACTTCCGCGTCTACGAGTCAGTCTCTAGCGTGTAGAGCTAGCACAGTTCCAGTCCAGGAAACGATTGCTTCGTTTTTTTCGTCTTGCAGGCTAAATTTCACCGAGGAAAAGCGCGGTGCGAAGTTGACAACGCCGTTGTTCTTCGGTGGGGTGCCAGGGACATATTCCCCAGGGACGTATCCGCGGTCCCGATTCGTCGGTTGCATCGCAGACACGACCGTCAATGGGGATTTAGTGAACTTCGCTAACAGCACCGAGGGTTTCGGCGCCCAATTGGAGTCATGCCCCATCGCAGATCCCGTCGCCGCCAAATCTCCTCTCCCCACGGGTAATCGCTCCGTGGATCTTATCCTTCTTGACGCAGAGTAGAATCTCGCTCGACCTCCCTCCCCCCTCTTCGACGAAATCCGCTTATACCCGACGAAGAGTTCCGTGGGTGCGAGGCCAGATGTTCAGAGATTCACTCTGTCTCTTCCTGTTCCAGCTCCCAGTTTCCCAGAGATCTTCGACGTAGAAGTGACATTCCCATTCGAAGATAGAGGGAGAGAGGGAACGACGGCTGCTCCCACTTTCCCTGTTCCTTCACCAGGTAGGGATGAAGGACGATTGTGAATCTTCTATTTTCTCTTTCTTATTTTTCCTATTTTTTTCGTTCTCGTTCCTGCAGGTGCTTACGAGGAAGACGATTATTACGACGACCTTATTGTTGACGGAGTGGAGTCAACAGGGACGACGAAGAAGCCGGCCCCGACGCTTCCTCCACACGCCTGTGCCCTTCCCCAGAACCCCGCTGTAGACTCAGAGCTCAACGAACACAGCGGACAACGATTCGGTAAAACACGAGGAAATGCCATTGTTTAAGAGATAGGGGGGCTCCAGGGAATCCTGCTCTTCCATATTTCATCACTTTTCTTCGTTGCCTCATCGTCCCCTCGTGTTGACTTCATCATGTCTTTCCTTCTTTTTTTATTGCCCCGGAGGCGGGAACCCGGAGAGCCGTCAGGAATTCGATTCGCTTCCTTACAAAGTTCATACAGACTCGGAATTCTCGGTGGAATTCAAAAGCGATAGCAAGGACGGAGTCATCTTTTACGTATCGGACAACAATCACATCGATTTCATAGCCCTCTACGTCAAGAACGGCCAGGTAAGACGGCAGGAGTACCTCAAAACTCACTATCTCCAAGTACTTTTTTTTTCTTCAAGTAAGTGATACTACTCGATCCCGTCTGGCATGGGGCAGGTGTATTATGCCTTCAACTGCGGCTCGGGAGCGGCAGTGTTGTCGAGTGAGAGGAGTTACAGTGACGGGAAATGGCACGAAGTGAGTTTCAACCGAGAAGAGAACAGGGGGATCCTCATGATCGACGACCAAACCGTTGCCGAAGGGGAAAGTCAAGGCAATACCAAGAGCATCAACGTGAATCCTCCCTATTTCCTAGGCGGTCTCTCGCAAGAAGCCCAAAATGACTCCAAGAAGAATCTCCAGGTATCACTCATTCCCCTTCCCATCGGCCCTAATGACTCGCATATCTTATATATCCCCAATATGAAGGAGTAATGAACTGTTGTGGACCCAGGTCGCTCATCTTCTTAATGATTCCCCTTCGATGAGCCCTTGTAATTATTGTGCTGCCACGAAGCCCACGGACCCTTCTTCGTGGTCTGGTGTAATTACGGTCTCCTAAATCAATATCCCTCCACCTGATTCTCAAGCACGAATCTTTCCCGTCACATGCGCGCGTCAAGTCGACGTCACTGTCCAAGGAGGAACAGTGTTTGTGCTATCGATACCGTTTTCTCCTCGGGAGAGATGAAGGGATGGTGTTGCAGAATGACGGCGACAGGAATAGCGCCGACGCGGAACTAAGTTGTCAGCCAAACGGGACCGGAATTACGACGAATTTACCCCGACACGGAATTATGACAGAAATAACGCAGACATGGAAGAACGACGGCACGGAATTACGGCGACACGGAATTACGACGACACCGAGAAAACCCTCAAAACTGGAAATGCTATGACAGGAACAGCTCACAAAGCAATATCGAAGACATGGAAGTGCTTTGACAAGGAACAAAGACGTCACAGAATAGCGTCGACACAATAAGACCCGGACACCATTTCTGAAAATGCAGGTTCACAGTACAAGGCGAATGGAGCGAAGTCACTCCACTTGTCGTAACATGCGCCTCAAATGAAATCTGAAATCAGATACTGAGCATTTATTTTCCAAACGATTTCATCTGTTTGAATTTTTAACGAGGAACTGGCAAGGAACGACAGATCTGTTTATTTGAGAGATGAGAACAAATAAATCTTTTGCCAAGGGAGAAAATTCCTTTCTCTCTGTACCATAATTTTTTTTTTTTTACTATGAGCGCTGGATTTTCCAAATGCTTAAGAAATTGAGTTGGATGCTCACATTTTTGCTCGGTTGCCTTCTCTAAACAGTGTCTTGAAGAAAATCCCAAGAAATAATTTAGGGAGAGTGAAGTTATGCGACCTTTTGGATCACTTAGTGGGATCACCTTCATCAAATCAACAGCCATAAAATTTAGCATCTGGGAGCAGACGCAGTTGCCTTTGGTAACTTGGTGGAGTTCAAGACGTACGTTCCAATTTTGCAACGTATGGCAACAGCACATGATTCAGCCAGAAGTTAGTTTAGGGCCTCTGTCTCGAAAAACGCGATCGATGGTGTAGTTTGTTTTCTTGTGAGGCGAACGTTCCCCCCCCCCCCCTCCCCCTCCCCCGTAGGCTATAACGAGGTAATAACTTATGAATAACCCTGCACATCGTATTTGCAAACATGCTCTTCGCAATGTATGTGAAAGCGTCGAACCATATCACCATCAACGTCGTACAACGTTATACACTGTATAATTACTTCTAATATGCCTTGTACATGGTTACGCCCATAACAATTGTATTTATTCCTTTCGTCATCTAAGGAACTAAACGTTCCCGTCCACTCAGGTCTATGTTACACTCATGGCTTTACTGCATTATCGACGTCATTCCGTGTCGATGTTATTCCTGTCTTCGTTTGTCCCTCTCGCCCCTATTCCTTGCCGACGTCGATGTAGTTTTTCGTGTCAACGTAATCCATATCGACGTTGGTCCCCAAGGGATCTTGTGACTCGGTGTCGATCGCGAGGGGAGCCATCTCACAAGAGTGACAAGCCCTTTTCGAGCTTCTCGACCGAAAGGTTTCTTCAGACCTATCCCTGGGATGAATGGATTTATTTATGTTCGGGTCAAACTGCGTCGCAGATCCATTGTCCTGCGTCGTATTGGTATCTACTGCGTTGTCCCTCTCGGGAAAGGGTAAAAAGTGGGTTTCGATCGACAGAGGAGTCGGAACCGATGAATGCGCCTCTCTCGATGAGGGTTTTTTCTCGTCGGGATTCGTGTCCCATTCCTTTTTTCTGATTCCTTTTCTTTCCCAGGGGATATCGATGGGCTTCGCAGGGTGTCTTCGGAATTTCCGAATGAAAGGCCGATCTTTGGGTGAACCAAAGTCATCGGTAGAAGTCGTACCGTGCTCAGAGAAGGTGGAGGCCGGCGTTTTCTTCTATTCTGAGCCAGGCTACGCAATTGCAGGTATGACACTTCTTTTCACTTCGGGAATTTCATTCTTTCTGTCGTCTGAAAAATAATGATTGAAACCCCTGGCTATGGGAGCAAATTTGATCAAGTACCGTTTCTGTTCAAAGTTGATACGTCGAAAAAATATATTATAATAACCAGATAGCATGACATTTTCTGGGTGCTCTAGCGGCAGCCGTTCTAGTGGGTATGCAAAAAAAGTTCACTATTTTTCCTTCGATTACTACATCCATGAGAACAAAGACAAAATGTGAAACCTTGATTTATTTTCTTTCGCATGCTACTGCAAACATCCTTCGGACAGTGACTGACTTAGCTGACGGCGTTTGTCGAAGCAGGAGAGGAGGGCACATTCACCATCCCTTTCGATGATTACATAACATTTTAATTCTAACCTGTATTTATTTTTTACTATCTGAGCTTTAAAAAAATTACTAATCGAAAAAATATTAAGGATCTTCGTCTAGCATGTTAACGTACACCCATCGCCAAAAAAAAGCAACACCAAAAAAGAGCAGAACGATCTGGGTGACATTTGGTACACCAGCTCGCAGCCACGTGCAATAAAATCGATTAGTGCTTAAAGGGTGCAAGATGAATATTCATGCGGAAAACTTGCCAAGTACTCCAATGTAAAGGAGGCGGGAGGGACCGTATGAATTTTCCAAAACGATTACCCCTGAGGGAGTTTATCAATGAAATGAGAAACGGGAACTCTCAATGATGATATCGAGCGAAGTTTCAAGGTCATAGGATGAAGCGAGGCAGACGAATCTTGACGAACACCGTGGAAAAGAGGAAGTAGGCGGCGTCACTGATAACGTCTATTTCCTTTTCTTCTCTCCTCAAGCCCCTTCGCTATTGAGCCATTGTTGAGTGTCTATAGCGTAGTCAGGCCGAAGCAAAGCCTCCGAAGGCAATTTTGCCGACTTGGTCAAGCGCTCGATAGACGTAGGCTAATTGGGTTGCACGCATCTGCTTGTTGCATATGTCTGATGCATGTTAAGCACCCTGCACCCTTGAAGCTGTAATCTATTCCAAGGCACATTGCTCTGAGATTGTGTACATCAAGTCGCACAACTCCTTGGAGTTGCTTTCTTTGGAGATGAGTGTAATGCACGCGCAACTGAGATTCTTTATCTTGTGCGTTTAAATATGTATTGAATAGAAAACATTGGTCTAATTCCTTTAAATTAGACCAGGGAAGAAGAGTTCCATTCATCCTCCAAATTGCATGACCCTGTCCTAATTAGTATCGATGTAACAACCTAGTGAAAAAGGGTGAACTTTTTTTGCAGAGTGGCTAGGTCACACCTTAATTTTACTCAGTAATGGTGGCACACTTCCACCAATGTAGCAATGCGCAAAATGTAGCGCCTTCAAGTTTGAACATATGGTCCCGACCTTGGTTCAATATAGGTAGTTTCTTGTAATCTATACCAGCTCAATAAAGCTGTGCTATTGAGGAACTCCTTTTCTTCGCTCTTCTTTCAAGTGCTGAAACACTATCCCTTCATTGAATTCTCTCGGTTCTGTCTCACCAGACGAAACTTTCCACGTCGGAAAGTCGATCAAGTTGAAGCTTCAAATAAAACCACGGACGACGTCGGGGGTCCTGCTGTCCGTCACGAACCCCGAGGTGAAGGACTTCATGACGCTGGAGATGATCAACGGGAGTGTGAAATTCACTGTGGATAACGGCGCTGGGCCATTCTGGGCCACGTACACGAGCCCCGAGGAATACGGACTTTGCGATGGGGAATGGCATACGATCTCCATGGTGAAGACGGGGAATCTGGTCACGTTGTCCGTGGACGACGTGTTCACAAACCCTGGAATCGGGCAACCGGGGATCACCGTCACGAATACGAATCATCCCTTGTATGTTGGGGGTCATCCCTGGAAGAATTCCAATATCGTGGAACACTTTGCCACCTCGGCCCAATATGTAGGCTGCATCCGAAACGTGGTCGTCAATGAATCCCCGCTTCCCTTGAACCGAGTCGTTGGCAAAGCCACCGTCAACACCTGCCCTACCATCTAACCATATTAGGCTTTTTTTTTGCGTCTGTTACGCTTACATGTCCGTCTGTCTGTTTGTCTCTGCCATTCAATCATTAGGATTCCCATCCCAGCCATCTCTTCCCGCTCACTCCACCTCTTCTCTCTCTTTCCCTCTCTCCGTTTCCTTCACCTAGACTATTTGAAATAAAGTTATTCGTTCCGATTTTTCTAAGCGTTCCAAGTACTTTCGTTGGAATCATTCTTCCTCTGTTGTTATCGCAGAAACATCAAGAGACATTTCTTTGACTCTGCTCCTCTCATGGATGTCCTGACACAGGCACGCATGGAAGCATACCTACACGCAGGAAAATATGATGATTTCAAGGAAGGCAAGATGGCACAATAGTGGCAAACCTTTCACCTCTCAAGGTCCTCAACTTCTGGCTTCAAGTAAATCCAGCGAGTAAGACCTTGTCACCACGTGCGTACTCTTACATGCGCGAAAGACAATAATCCCGATGAAAGGGTCCGGAGTTAACTAGCTTCACACGCCTAGAAACACTAGTTAGATGCAGAATAAATACATTTTGCTTTGTCAGTCACGTGTACATAATGTGCCGTCGTTGTTCCCATTCTAGGATCCTTCATTTTTGCTAGCTCTTTGCTGACTTTGAACCTCAACGTTGACACGGGAAAGCGCAACCATTTCTAAAGACACAGCCTCAACAAGAGATTCATCCATTGAATGCGGCCACGTCTGCAGATCCTTGTTCATCATCAGACTCCAGAAGTCAGGAAGATATAGTCAACCCGCGTAGTGCATTCGCAATGCTGGAGATGAATACCCAGATTAGAGGACGGTAAATGAGCAAGGGACTTATCCTCGTCGAACCGCCTCCTACTGGGTCGTTCGGATTATTCACGTATTAATCATTGCGCATGTAATGCATTCGTAACGAGAGCAGGGCCGAATTTGGTAAAACATGATATTTACATGGTGGGCATCGAGGCGAAACTGGCTTTGGTTCCCGTCGCTCTATCGTTTAGTTGAACAAACAGAGGCTTCAAGAAACTCCAATGCGTCAGAAAGATCCTTTATTATCCTCCACTTCAAATGTAGAAAATAAAAATCCTTTCTCACGTATTCATGATCTCATCCGCCAGGGGATGCATATCGAAATGCAAATATGAATGTAAATTTTTCATGCGAGAATCGATCATGGCACGTGTACTCTTGAACGAAAGCGTATCATAGACGTTGAGACACATGAAAAATGCTTCATAGGGGAATCACAAGCAGAGGGGTCTTGAAATTCATTTTCTAATCAGAGGGATGTCATCCTTCCAACAGAATGGAGAAATTGAGGGGAAGAAATCTAACGAGATCTTCGTCGTTCCACGACAGAACTAGTGAGGCATTCAAAAACACCTGGAGATGGAGTGACAGGTAAAGAGGAAACCTGGGTATAAGAGAATCTTCGATCCACGCTTAGATATCAGGGAAGCATGAACGTCCTGACTCATTTGCTGTCGAAAATTCGGGGGCTGAGGGAATCCAAACTCAGATCGGGAAGACTTGCAAGAAGCAATCTTCTTCCATTGGGAAGGAGAAAGGAAAATCAACAGGTGAGCTGCTCTCTAGAAAGGCTTCCTCCTACATTCAATCCCAGACAAATACCTGCTTCTCATGTAGATCTTATCGATTCATGGGGAGTCGAGACTTGGAGGGGGACGGGGGGGACGGTGAGGAGGGATAGGGGAGGATCCGCGGTCGGCCGAAACGCTGCCTCATTACTGATCGATGGCAGGAAAGGCGCAATTTTGGAATACGAAGGAGTAGAAAGAAAGAGGGGATCCAGGTGGGCGGGAAGGAAAAGGGCCGCCTAAATTGCCTTAAACGTCTGACCTTTTCCAGCGGCCTCGACAAACCTGATATAGGTCCATTCCGAAGAGCAAGACTCGGGAAGAGTATGATTTGAAGGATATGCAAGGGATTGATCCCACAGAATAGGAAGGAGATATTTTGAGCAATCACACGAAGAAGCAGAGGGGATTAAAGAACGTGGAGATTCTCGCAGGATTTGGACTTCCCATTTCGGCCGCACACGGAGGAGATGAAACCCCGGACCCTTAAGCTGCCGCCACAACGTCGTGAGCCCCGACGTCGACGTCTGGTCCAGTGCGGCCCTGGCGTCTGCTTCAATCGAATCTGTCTCAATATTCCCACCAACAGCTCGTCCACGTTCAGGTCCAGACCAACCGAGGTTTCGATGAACTTGCACTCGTATTCTCGAGCCATCTTCTTCCCCTCTGTGACGGAAAAATGCCTTTCAGTGACGACCGAGCCTGGAAGATAGGGTCGACAATCGACATGCATTCACGCAAAAGGCTCCTCACCGTCAGACGTGACGATCCTGGATCGTTCCAGGTCCGCCTTATTCGCGACCAAGATGACGGCCCTGGTCCCGAGGCAGCCGAGCCTCCACAGTTGCTGCAGTATGCTCTCCGCCCATTCCACACTGGATCCATCCGTGACACTGTACACCACGATGTAGCCGTCGGAGTCCTGGCAAACAAAACATGTTTCGTCTCGTGAGACCTGGCAACGGACCCGCATATCGCAGATCGGAAGAGAACAGAAGAGGCGAAGGAAGAAATAAAGGGAAAAGGTTGGGGCTCATCGGCGGACACAGCCAGGATGCCAGAGGATTATCGGGCTGACATGCCACTTGGAGGGAATCCAAACCTCTCACGTCATTTCCCAGCAGGAACCCCCAAGCTTGTTTGCTCTCTTCTTTCGCTAGTATAAATAATTGATGCAAGGATTTAGGAAGAAGGGCATGTGAGCGCGGGATCGAGTAACAAGTCCAGGTTTTCTGCTCACGCTCAACGCCACATGAAGGTTGGAGCATGCGATGCCACGGTTTCAGATCGTGCATGTGAGAGATTCCAGGAGGCAATTAAGAGGAGATAGATTTCCCAAGAGTGAGGAGGAACGGGATTCCTTCATTCGGCCCAGATCATTAAGGCCAGCGGCCGGGATATGCAGTGTAATCGCCTAGTCAGTCACGCACGGTCTCCCTAAATCGCAGGCCCGGCTACGAATGTCCCGAGTCGCGCATGCGAAATAATAGAGATATTTGCAAGTGCGTAGAATCGCGCCCGGCTCGTAGCTCTCGTAGCGGCTCGTAGGTCTCATCATTTGATTTCCCTGTGTCCACGGGAGCATACTCAAGCAGAAGATAAAGTATGGCTCGGGCGAAAACGAAATTCAATCCACGGCGTATTTCACTCTAAATAGACTTTAACCGAGAAAATCTGGCTAAAAGAAGGGAGACATGTGAGATGATGAAATGGAACAGCCGAAGGGCTGAAACCCAATTTTACTACCTCTTTCTCTCTTCTTCTCCTTAGCGCTTGAAGCTCCTTTTAGGATAATGATTGACAAGACAGGAAAAGGAATACGGAGTACAGAGGAGGCAGAAAAAAAGATGGGGGAAAATGGGAGAGGATAGAATCTCTGGGAGCGATGACTAAGCAGATCACCATCTCATCAGTGAGCACGCTAGAGTGACTGCGAATCCTGTCGTAATGGACTTGGAAAAAATCCTCATAACACGGTTGGAGTCCTCCACAATCGCTTCCCAGGAAAGTCAGGAAACTTTCTGTATTGGTAAAAGAGGGAAGCCTTTGATGGCCAGGGTTTCTAATTTCCTCCATCACAGGGAGCCGATGCAACTCCCTTTTCTTTCATTTATCTATCTCTTTCTTTATTTATCGCTTCTCCACCTCATCTCTTGTTTCGAGCTTCCGTGCGCTATATCTCTGGTTCTTTCTAAGAGCAGTGCTTCTCAAACGCGATACTACGCCAAAAAAAACATTGACGGGGAAAAGAAAATGCAGGAAAAATGCAAGCGCTTTCGAAGACAAAGAAAATTCGCCAGACGAAGCCCAGTCCTCAAGCGAGCCTCCTTTGAGCTCACTAACACACATGGCACAAGCTGAATAATCAGTCCAGAAAAGTCCAGAGTGGAGGAGAATGCTCGCGCTGCACGTTCGCTCAGACCTTTTGGGAGTCAAATTTGCGCGGTGTTTCGCGGATGGTGCATCGCGGATTCGGATTCGGATTCGGATTCGGATTCTTTCGGAAAGATCAGAGTGATCGACAGAGTGCTGTCGATCACGTCTTCGCGAGGACAAGCAATAAAGATACAAAGAAGACGAGAGGCTGTAAATTAAGGCTGAAAAACCACGAAGATGTTGGTCCGCTCAACCCCAGATTCCGGCCGCCACAATCTCCCCCCTAAACTCTCATGTCCAGACGTATTTATCATGTCGAATCCCACTCGGATCCGGCTTTCACGTCTGGATTGACCTTAGACGAGGATGCCTGGAGACAGTGTCAAAGACAAGGGACAGTCATCCGCTTCAATCTGTTTTAGTTTTACCAAATTTTTAATTTTAAAATATTTTATTTGTTAAGGGATGAATATTTTCGCTAACCATTACAATAGATGTTAAGTTCATCACGTTTTCGGATTGCGGTGATACTTTTTTGTGAAAGTAAACGTTGACTAAAGCGACACAGACACACACATACCCACCTATTCAGGCGACTACATTAAGAGCCTGTTCTTCCCTAAAGGCTTCCCAATAACGGCAAGAACTAAATCGATGCGATTGCAGACTCCCTGGTGTTCCTATTATTTCCGTATCGTGATGATCGTCATTAACGGTTTATAATTTCGTTACTGAGGAGGGTAAAAAAAAAAGAAAAAAGTGTACGAAACTCTGTTCTAGCGAGGTTTCATTGAAGTAGCCAGAGAGGCCAGCCATTTAAAAGTCACAAGAAACGAGACAGACGAGCTCAAGAGTCTCTCATGAGGCAGAGGTGAGTTCGGATTTATATAATTCGATCGTTAGCATTTATATAATCCGATCCGCCTCGAATTGCATCCCCTCAGATTCAAACCGATTCAGTGAGCAAGGAAAAATCCAATCCGAACCGAATCCGACCACTTCGTCACGCGTATCCGATCGAATCCAATCAGATCCGCGGTTATCCGATATTCGACTAGCGTCTTACTTCTGCGGATAGTTCGTCTTCTACGAAATGTTCGTATTCCCACGAATGACATCGCGAAATCCAAGTTGCATACAAATAGCGAGCGAGTCCTGAGCCTTGAGCTGAAATGCGAACCGCGGAGAGCTTGCCCTCCGCTTCACTCCCGGTTCGAGGCCCAGGCGACGATGAGTTTTCGAAGTTCCAACCTGAAAACTCGTAGGCACGAAACTCTCGGCCACAAATCGTATGTGCTGTCATCATAAAACAATCTTTCCCGCTCGAATTTATCACCATGGAAGCATCAGCCCAAGATGTTCTAATTAAAATTTTTTTTTTAGTACTCAGAGATACCTTATATTCTCCGGTCTGCGTAAAGCAACCGGTAACGGCTTTAAAGGGGCTCCGATTCTTCCTGAATTTGCCTCGGGATCCAACTGGTTCGGTTTAACAACGCGACATACTTTCCGGCATCTTCAATCCTGAAATTGTCATGTCAGAGTTTCTATGCCCTCTATCCATGACCGCTGATGGACTCTCACCGTTCCACTCCATATTGACTCTGAGGTTATTTTCAGGGTAACGTCGGCACCATTTTTCCATCCCTTCAGCGAAGACTTCAAAGAAGCTATCCTAGGATGTAAAAATTTTTTAATGAACCAATTTCTCATCCCGAACACCTGCTTGGTGTTAGGCTGGTATTAACCGTTAGGCACGGAAAATTGGCTCATTAAAAAGTGTTCAAAGAATCTTGGAAGGCGGCAAAAAAACGAGTGGATAGTATAAGATGAGAAGTAAGGAATGGATACATTTGCATACCAGATATCTTGGGGTAATGAACCTTGAGTTTCTCTCGGATTTTTCTCTCGGATTTTCTGATTTTTCGATGCGCTCGACCCAACCGTATCCGATCGCTCTAGTTGCGAAACCGCGACGGACCCAATCCGAGCCTTTCATATCAGGAAATGGACGGAATCCGCGTTACAGTGTCGGATCCGAATCCGAACCCACTACGGAAAATGAATCGTGGGAAAAGCTTGCGGCCACCACATGAGACAGGTGCGACTGTTCGTCCTAGTGAATCGATTCCCACGCCTCGAATGCTCCGCGTCCCGCGTCCCCTCAGTTGGGGGTCGCTCCGTGGGTTCGTTCTGCACGGCGTCGACTTCGATCGAGATATTTTCGCACCCACATCAGTAGAGAATCTTTCTTTTCGGAGGGATTGGGTTGGCCGGATTATGGGAAACAAGTCTTGCATTGTGCCATATAAACAAAAACCTTCGTTCAAAACTGTACCCTCTGTCTATGCCTGGGGTCATACAGTGACAGTTCGCATCGTCCTATGAGTTCACCTTATGCGACGTCATTTCTGTTGGATATGACGTCACATCTGGCTCTAAAGGACCCAGCTCACGCTATGGAGACCACACCATGGAAGGGCACTTTCGACACGGATTCCCTTGTCGATAGTGAGCGACGAACGCATGGCAGTGAGAGGCAAAACCCGGGACGGGCGGGCACAGACACACACGACTCAAACCGAACAGCACGATCTAAATGGGGCAACACGACAGCCTTTCCTCTTTCGGAGAGGAATAGGTCGTCGTCGATCGCTTGAAGCAGAAACGAAAACGTTTCGAGAAACCCGCACCTAAGAGGATCGGAGGAATATTCGCAGCCTGTGGGATTGCTCGCCCGCTGCACCGCATCCACAGGCGGTCAGTGGAGGAAACATGTTTGCGGGGGATCGAGTGGCTCATGAGGCTCTTTCTTATGCACGTTATTCCATTAGGCAAATGGATGGAATCGTATTGTTGTCTCTCCCCTCGTGGAAGTAGTTCATTATTCGTGCTGTCGCATTCGCTTCGCAGAAGAAGCATCGTGGGGGAGGGGGAAGGGAGCAGAAGGTGTTGGAGCCCCTGGATGAGCCGAATCGATGTTATCTGCGCCACATACACCCAACAATGGCGATGACTGATCTTCCGCCGGAAGACATGCGAGGCGACAAGAGTTGGCGCTCATTCTGTTTGGGAGCATCACGCAAGGGCCCTCTTCCCTTGCAATCGAACGGGAACTTTCATTTCGCGGAGATGAGGACGGGTCCTTGTGGAATTGATAAATCGATGACCGGAGGAAGCCTGACTCACCGGAGTCTCCTCGCTGGAGCATTCGGAGAAAATCACTTCGGATTCTTCGTTATCGAGTAAAACCGACACGCTCTTCTCTGCCGACTCGTCGTCTGCAAGTAAGAAAATAACGCCGTCGTCAAAGCGTATCCAGTCGTCACATCCGTTGCTGCTGCATCTCTGTCGCGAAAAAAAAAATTGCAAAGCCACAAAGACAAACTAGATCGTGTCCCATCCTGAAACCATCAGCACGAGACGCATGGTCCGGCCACTGTAATTGAGAGTGAGTTTAGGTGGAAGATGTCTGTCAAAGTAAGAATTAGACCCAAGTCGACCCTGCTATTCTGACACTGGGAGACTTTTGAATGTTTATTCTACAGCAGAGGTTTTGTTACCTTCGCATGCTGTCCAGAAGAATCTTCACGACTTAAGCCAAAAAGGTCTACAACATGAAGCGGTTTCATAATTCCATCCTTGACTCATCTCATGATTGAATCCTGACTTCAAGTTAGTCAGAATTGACGGAAATTACGAGTCGTGTCGCATCTTAACTATCGATTCGTCCCATCGTTTTGACCCCCCCCCCCCACGCTTGTAAGGCATATGGCGTCAGCGATGTTATTTGTAGATAAAGGGGGGGAAGGGGAGGGGGGAGAAGAATTGTCATGCAGGGATGGATGTTCTCGTAATGGGGTTTGAGAGTCACTAGAATGGAATGAGGGGAGACAAGAAGAGGGGAATAATCAGGGGGAAATCTATCAAGGAAGAGGAGGAAACGCGGCAACGCTTCCTCCGGCCTCACCACATTACTCGGGAGACTTGCAGATTACCTATAAAGTGGACGGGAGAGCTCCGTCACTCCCCCTATCTCGGAACCACAGAAGAAAAACGACTAAGGGACGCATGTTGCGACCGCTCTTATCGGATCGCGCCCAGATCCCCTCTTCTTTCTCGGGAACACCTGCATAAACCGTTTCTTCGAGCTCCTCAATGCCCGTGGGACCGTCTCTTCTGCCCGCAAAGTGCAAATCTCTCGCCTTGAGAGGTCTTATTGGATTTAGATACTTTCTTGGCGTCGAAAGCAGAGAAGATTTCTGCCCTTGCTCTTTCTATAGGGTTCCGTCGTTATGGTAGCGAAAGAGGGCGAAGACCCTTCCCTCATCCCTCTCGCTTTTTCCCCATCCCCAATTTCACATCCCCCTCTCCCTCTCCAAAATCCTCGATAGAATGCGATTCCCTGAGGAACGAGGCAGATTCATCCGAATTTCCCGAGGTGATGGAGGGGAGGAATGCCCTGCGGTTTTACCTCTTAGGCCCCTTTACATCCCTTCAAAGCCATTTTTCTTTCTCCTCGGTTAAATATGATGGAGATTTGGAATGTTCCACGGGGGTGGAATGCCATTGCTCTCGGCTCATTTTTTCTTCTTTTTTCTTCCGTACTATTCTTTTTCTTCACCCCCTTCGTCGTCTTACGGCAGATTCACTTACTCTAATCCAATTAATTACCGTCCATGGAGCTGAAAGGGATAAGTCGGAGAGCGACATGCTCCATGGAGACAATCAGGCTCACTTCATCGAGCATCTTCCGGAAAGGACACCGCAGGAAGATAGCAAAAAAGGGAGGGGAGATCGCAGTAGGAAATTTTTTCCCAACACGAATGTCAGAGGGGGAAGAGATGGGAAGATGACTAGGTTGGCAAGCATCGATCAAACATAATTCATGCAGATGCGGGCACGGAGCGGATGAAAGCATGGAAAGTGGAACACCTCACCCAAAGAATTGTCATACGCGTTGATATAGTCGGACGTGAGGGACTGAGAGATGAGAGCCGTTTTCCCCACGCCCGGAGACCCCAACACCGACACCCGGAACGCCACGCTTCGACCCTCTGACACCGACGGCGAATTCTCCCCGCTGCAAAGAGGCAGGGAAGGGAATTAGAAGAGATGGGGAAAGAAATAAGAAGAAGAGAAAGAATGTAGCTGTCATTCGATTTGTCTCTGTCGAGTATCGGAAAACTGACTTTGACGCGCGTAGGCGCAGAGGGAGAAGGATCCATATCATTTTCTTAATATATTTTTTATATGGTTAGGGACAGGTCGAGCGCAGGAAGTCGAAGGGTAGAGAGAGAGAGACCTTTCATGCAAATAATGCAGAAGGGATGAAGTGCGATGATTTTTTCCTGTGTTCTCCCCTCCAATCCCATTACACGGCCGGAGAGGACTCGTGTCACTCTAGATGCAAATCCATGCAATTACAGCTCCTTTCTTGTTTCCCGTTCGATCTTCATCCGCTTTGTACTGCTTCCCAGATGTCCTTGCTCGTCGGGTGCGTCGTGCTCGGATCCCCCGATTCCCGCTCAGAACTCGATGTGAGGGGTGACGAAGGGGGATCTATCATAATAGGAATGGCCTGCTCCCCTTCCTACGCATCCTGTATTTTTAATAACCCTTCCGGAAAGTCGATGTGGGGACACTTATTGCCATGCCCGTATGGCTTCCTCTGAATTCATGAATACGACGAGGGAGTTCCACCTCACGAGAGGTGCTAATGTCATTCAATGGCTATGGTTTCGTGTGATTAATGCAATAGATTTATGACCGCCTCCGATATCCTGCGTTATGTTTCTTCGATTTGTCATCGGGTCCTCATGCATCATTCACGGGGGCCACGATACTCTCACGAATAGCTCAGATAGCTACGCTTAGTGGATAAGGAGAGATCGGAGGATAGATATCACCTATTGCTCACGGGGGGCTAAGGGGCAGATCGACTTCTTTCCGACAGGTGCCTTACCATATCCAAATCAATAAATTGTGGCAAAAAAAAAATCTTAGCAATCAAACAACCGGGCGCCAGTAAAACAGTGTAAGATATTCGCCTGAAATGAAATGTCGTGCATTCACGAATATGGCCTAATAGTTGATAAATCCTGCCGTACAGCACGCTGGACGCAGTAGAGCAGCAGTCCATTCACGGACAGCAAAAGCGCACTCTGCAGATGCAGCAATACATCTGGTGTACTGCATGCTCCACAGCAATTTCGGGCATTGAAATCGTTTCTATTCACCCTAGCTTTTTATAATGCAGACTTTTTGCCGGATGGCATGCTGCATCCGGTTGTTTTACAGCAACTTTCATGCTGAATTTGATTATTTTTTTAGCACAACATGCAATTATAGCATCCAGCAAGCTGTACAGCCCGAGTAGGAACTAGGCCTAAGAATAGATTATTATTATGTCCTCACCAGAAAGTTTGCCTGCATAGATAATGAAGGAATATTACAAGGAAAGTTCTTCGAGAGAAAATTTTCGCATATATATTCAAGAGCATCAAAAATCGAAGAAACTTTGAAAGACATCATCCAGGAAATTTTCTCTGCAAGCCGACTTGCAAAGAAAAGCCTCAGAAAAAGCTTTCTGGCGTGGAAGAAACCTAACTGAATCTTGTTTCATTTAATCCATTAAATGTCGAATTTGGAGAATCCTTTTTAAACCCTTATTTCGATTTAAAAAACACACGCAGACAAAAAGGCACAATTTCGCAACATTAACTTATGCGATGATTAGTACTTTTCAAAACTGACCAATACCCGATGAAATACCTGAAACATGCGGAACTATTTGAACGTGCATCACAACGAGACCGTCTCGTATGTCTACACTTCGGCCCACAAATAGTACTACGAGGCGGCCTCACATGTCACCCAGCATAAGTCTATACATACGACATCACAAACTTCCGGATGTACAGTATATATGGTGAGTGCTGCGAATGTCGGCACTCTAAGCACATTCTGCACCTTGCTTGCTGGTTTTCGTAATGGAGCTTCCTCGTTCATATTGGATCTGGTGATACCTTTATCGTAAACCTTCTTGTACCGCAAACCTCGAGTGCCCCAGGCCTTTCTTTTCTGAGGGCCTGGGTCAGAGGTGAAGTTGGGTCAGATGTTGGCAATCTCGGCACACTTGCTGGTATAGACGGCACCACCCTGTCGGGGATCTCCGCACACTTATGTATCACTGTGGTTTACAACGGATCCAAAAATGAATGCACTGACCTGATAAAACAATACCTAATGTGGAAGAGATGAACGGAACGTGCTAAAGCTTAGCAAAATCACAAGATTTCGCAGGATTTTCGGAGTGCGCTTAGAGAAAGTGGCCACTGCGAGAAAACTACAACAGAAAATATGGCTGTTCCAAGCACATGTTAACAACATTGGTCCTACCGTCTGAGAATACTTATCTACCCGTGCCTAGGGGACAAGTAGTGGAAGCAGAACTTTGACGATTGCAAAGTGCAGAGATTACCCCCAGTGCCGACATTCGCAGCACTTACCCTATTGCCTAGTAAAGGGAAGGTCTGAGTCGAATTACCTGCAACTGGAATGCGTGGAATTGGACCTGGATCGACGAGAACATAAGAGATCTCCCTCGTTGACGACTTTCTTCCCGGTGATGGAAAATTGGCGGAGTCGATAGAGTTCGTCCCGGCCGAGGACCCTCGCAGGCAGTTCACCGGGCAGGGAAGTCCCACGTGGTCGTTCGGGCACTTTCAGGTCGGCTCGACTCGGTCGTCGACTGGCTTTCAGCGAGAGGGACCGAGAGTGGTGCGGGACTCGGGGCTGACTGCACAGGAACATTTCCGAGGGGCTGACCCTGCCCTGGCTGTCGTGATCGCAGCCGGGGCTGGATTTGGTGACGACGACGGGTACGACGGAGGGGACACGGCCGCCCGAGATGGGGAACGACATGTATAAATCGGGTGAACCTGAAACCGCTGGAGCCATGGCCGCGGAATGACTCCGTCGCCGAACGTTTCGCATCGCGGGAACGAAGACCAAGAAGCGATCGAGAGTGAGTGAGTGTAATCGGAGGGTAGGGGAGCTGTTATGAAGGGAGGATGAGGGACGCAGGCGCCTTGGACCTTTCGTTCTTTCCCTTCTTAAACCATTCCTTCTCTTCTATAGTCAATCATTCTCGAGCCCCGGAGAAGGTGTGCCCCTATGGACGCACATCTCTTTTATCCTTCTCACACACACACACACACACTCACTCTCTCTCTTTCCCTTTGTACTCTATACGGTAATAGTCCCCCACTGACGCGGAGTCGGCAAATGTAACGAGTTGGGAAGATCCGTCCCTCTCCCTCGCCATCTCGAATTTCCACTTCCCTATTTACAGGTGAACGTGAACAAATCTATATCAGAAAGTAAATCAACAGCAGCGTAGCCGTGGAGTGTGAGGGGAGGGGCCAAGACTCCCATTTGACCTTTCTTTACCCTCCAACAGGAAATAGGGGCGAGGTTCAATATCCAAGACACAATCATCCGGGTCTTGCCATCCCAAGGGAAATGTGCTTTCCTCCGGTATTTGGCCGGTAGTGAGGAAATTAGCCCGTATTGGGAAATCATGGGTGTGTTGGATGATATATTTTTAAAATGATGTTCAATTTTTAGTTCTCTAAACGGGTCTAATATAAAAGCCTACAATTAACTTTAATACCTCGATGTTTTTGGTTTTCAAGTCCATAGCAATCCCCCCCTCTCTCTATAGAACTTCTTCGATCTAAGAAATGCGGCCCTGGCAACGCCGCTGATACGTGGAATGAGGAGAAACAAATGCCTTGCGTTCTCGCAGAGATCGATTCCTTCCACCTACATCGCTGAATGGGCTGTCATGCGTTCATTCCATCGCGCTGTATGCTTGAGCTTGGATTAATGGGTGCGGCCGACGCATGCAACCTGTAGAACTCCGGTTAGCGTTGGACTTCCGTGATGAGCCCCCTTTCCGCTTTGATACACTGGGGAGGGACAAAAGAGAAAAATAGAACGTTGAGGGCGGCAAGATTTCAGACGGAAATCGTTGCTGCTCTTCCGTGACAAGCAAACCAGGAAATGACAGATCTGGTGACCCTGAGATGAGACCTTTACGTCATTGGAAGGATATCACATCAGTTAAAAATGGAGAGTACGAAGCGGTGCGTTGGAGAACAGGAAGAAGAGCAAAATCCAATCCCGTTTTTTCAGGCCCAGTTGCCGTAAAAGACTCCACTAAAAAGGCTGATGTCCGAGCACCTGGACAAAGAGGGTCGCTAAGTCTTCGTCCATCAATAAACTCACCTATTTTAACTATTCTTTCACGAAGAAGAGCCGAGGCAAGGAAGGAGAGAGTTGAATCCGAATTTAGATGTGAAAGTTGTTGTTTCCCTCGAGGGAACACATTTCCATAGCCGTGGAAGCGCGGGAAACAAACCCATAATCAGCTTTTCCTCCGGGGAAACGAAAATCACTTGTTCGATTGAGTTTGGCGCTGATTCCATTCCCTCGCTTTGACGTCGAAATCGAAATCGAAAACCGATACAGATCGGATCTTTCTTTGACGAGATCACCATACGAGGAAAACCCGAACGGCTTCGCAAACCGACTAGAGAGGGAAGGCCACCGCAACTGCAAGCTCGTTCTTGCAAGCTCCACCTCGTATATAAGATACACGAACCTCCTTCCCATTCGAAGAGAGCCAAGGAGAAACACTGGAGTCTTCGGTCATCCGCTCGAGCACCTTCTTCCAGGAATCGCAGCGACGTCAATGATGATCACCGAGCGATGGATTCTTCGCTCCCTTCGTCGTGAAAAAACTCTAAAGAACCCCCCCCCCCTCTCCCTGCTCAGGTTGCGTCAATGCTAATGCGGCAGACTTATTCCAAAGGGGAGGGCTGAATTTGCATGTTAGCCCTTTGAGTGTTTTTTTTTTCTTCTCAAGATTGGCCCTTCTTATGCAAAAGAGTCTTACTTGAAGACAGATATATTGTTTTTTTAAATTTATTATGACGTGGTAGAGTTTGAATGCACCCACCAATGCAAACGGGTCTTAAACGAAGACAAGGTTACTTCTGAGATAGTTAAAATATGTAAAAGTATTCAAACTGCGTATTGGTCCCGAGAACGAAAGTAATGGTGATAATGGAATGAAAAATGTATGCATGAGAGTGTTGAGAAAACAAAGACTCTGTCCCTCAGTAGTTTACGTCGACGGAGTGCATACAGCCCTCGTGAATGAAATATGGAAACCTCGCCCAGATCAACGATAGCCAGTTTTTAGCTGCTTTATATGCTAATGAGATGGGGTGAAGAAGCTCTCCAATCCATCCGTATTTTGGAACATACGCATTAGAGAGCTGTGTAATTGTATCCCACTTGCCTCTAATGAATTGCAATCGAATTGAAAACCATAATCTAATTCATACCATGTGCTTCCTTGTACCGGCCACGGTACAAGGAAGGCTCGGCCACGATTCCCGCTGCCAGACAAGCTGGATCCAATGAAGTTTTTTCGAGACACTCTGTCAGGGAAACGTCAGATGCAAACAAGTAATGCAAACAAGTCGATGAGACGGGAAAAGTGCCTTTCAATCACGATCGGCTCAGCAAGGAAAGCAGTTTCAGTAACAAGAATGGATCTCTCCATTTTTAAATGGAATGCTCCATCCTAAATTTAACAAGATTTTCTTAGAAATCAGTTGGGATGAACCCGTTTTACCCAGGAACCCCAGTTGCACTTCAAAAGTCCGGAAGATCGATACTGAACGTCTGCCTCGACGAAGCCCAGAAAAAATACCCATCTCTCTACAGTAGAGCGTGAGCAGTCTCCGGCATGAGAAGGTTCCGCTTTACGCTGAAATCGCTCACCTTGAGGCCAGAGATCAGAGAGGCTTGACTGCCTCTATCAGCCATGTTCTGCACGTATTCGCTGGCCATCGTACGATTCATTCGATTTGCTGCCTTCCCCATGCATCAATTATGCCGGCCATTTACGTTGCAGATTTAGGCATGTTCTCATCTAAACGACCGGCAACGAAGAAAGTGGCATTCACCTCCTCTTCCTTGCTATTCCTTGATCGGGCCGAGGAACGCGACTTCATGAATCTTCCCAAGACGCCGGGAAAGGCGTCTCGTGAAGACGCCTTGTCTCTGCCTTGTCTTGTCTTGTGGAGGCGTCTTGCGAGATGCAAGTAATTTAAGTCTCCCCTGTCCCCTTTCTCCATCAGTCCCCATTCTCCATGCTGCTACTCTCGTCGGGACTCGTGAACGGTGGGCACCATTTATGAGTGCTGGCTACGCTCTTTCTTCTTCTCCCTTCCAGGCCAAATCACGTTCATCTAGTCTCGATCGGGGTCGTCTTCTCTGATAACCTGATAACCTCGGAGGACGTGTTTCTCTGCTCTCCAGCTTCAGGCCGGAGTCCAGGGAGTGGTCAGAAAGGAGCTTCGTAAAGTGCCAGCAATGATCTTTTCCTTTTCGAGAAGCATTAATTAAAATAAAAAATAAAAACTATTCTGCCTCTGTTCTTGTTGTCAGTCAGATCTACTTGTATGACAAATTTCATCACTCAATTCAATGTACGTGACTTCCACAAATTTAATCGGGAGTTTCAATTGATTGTGTCCAAATGCAGTGGAGATAACTGATTAATGTAATTGAAATAGATTCAGCAATTTATATGTACTGTTTTCTTTTGTTGCAGGTGCATGCTGAACCATGTCGAGCCTAGAGAAACGAATTCAGATGCTACTTCTGACGGCCAAATGGGAATCACCTACGTCAACCAGGTTGCTGGAGGCGACCAAGACAGTTACGCGAGATGACCCTCACTGTAACTGTCACGGTTACATAAGGGTAGTGGCATTGAGCAAAATGTGCTCGAAAGTCTGCTGAATCGATTCCCAAGTAACATAGTTCGGTATTCTCTATTACGTCTGAAGACGTGACTTGCTGAAATCTCCAATATTTGTGGACACCCTGTAGTGTGCTTTAATTTTTCGAATATCCGTCCAACCCCATATGCGAGAAGAAAATTAAAGCATAATTCCATCTATCGCGTCGACGAAGCGCACGCGACTAGGTTCGAAGAGTAGTCTCAGACCTCAAATCGGAACTTTTCAGCACGAAACATTCCATCTAGCTACCATCGTTTGCGCGCCTTAGGCGAACTTGAGTCCCTCGTCGATGACATCCTTCTACCGTTGCCTCCCCGATCATCCTCGTCAGATGCATTCAGACACCCATCGTTATTATGGCCAAGGTGAAGCAACTCTTGTTGAAATTCATTCTTTACTCAACTCGCACAAAATCCATCTCGGCTCTCACCTCATCCCCCGTTCCCCATGATGGAGAAACCTACTTTCGGACCGTTAGTAAATTTACTGATTTCCCCAAGAAGACCTTGATCTAAATCATCGATTCAAACGGGAAGAAAAGCGGTCATCTGATCTCGCCCTGAGAGACTCCGACTCGCTTCCCCATTCCTAATTACTTTGCCCTCTTCCCGACTGCCAGTTACCCAGATAATAATCCTACGTAGAACCCATGTACCCCCATTTCATCCGCAACGCCTTGTGAAGAAAGCTATCGAAAGTATCAAGGGCTAAATATACGATATTGACGGGATTCCTTCTATCGAGTCCTTTACCCATTCTTAAGATTCTGAGAAATTGATGAGACTTGGCCGTCTCGCAGCCGAGCTCAGATTCCCAGATGAGCGATTTCCCCTCGAGAAATTCTAGGATAAGATCCCATAGAATGCTTTCCTTGATCTTTCCCGAAGCGCTCGTGAGACCTACCGGCCGATAATTCCCGGGATCGCTCTAATCTCTCTTCTCGAAGATAGCTACAACGTTCGCTCATTTCCAGTTCCCTGGAACATAAGCACGCAATACGCTCTTCTCGGAAAATATTTCTGATGGCTCCGCTCGACCTCTCGACCGTGTTCGTCGAGGACGGGAGCTGGAGTCCCGTCGGGACCCGTTGCATTTCCCACTTTCAGCTCCCCTATCTTACTTTTAATTTCCTTTGCAATGACTATATCTTCGAGACAAGCGACGGTGGTCTCGGCCAATGCCTGTACTTCATCTGATAATCCTGAGAATGGGAGCAAATAAATAATTCAAGACCTTGGTCACGTCTAGGGTATTCCTACTAACCCTCCCTTATCGTTCAGGCCTCGATCTGATGTTGACTCCGAGCGCTTGCATTGGCTTATCGATAAAAAAATATATAACCTTAGCATTAATCATTAGCCAGATCTCTCGGTCGTGCTTCCATGACCTACTTTCCGGTTTCAATCACCTTGTAGCGATTCGAATTCTTCATATTCCAATTATTTTTTTCCGTGCACCCCTACAAACCCCCTTTTTTCGCATTTTGGACCCAATCAAGGATCTCCTGTCACGCATAAACCAAACTGGCAGACTCGGCAATCTCTTTGATTATTTGGGGACGCACTCCATGAACACAAAAGAACCGTTTCGAATAGCTCCCAATTCTCGCTTGCCGATAGAATGGCAATCTTTCCCACCCGGTCCAGATCCGAAACCAATCCTCTTCACGAAATGAAATCCGCTTTCCTAAAGTCTTACAAAGCTTCCGTCGGACTGTCGTTGCGTCTCGTTCGTTAGATATCCCATGCGGTGACGATATGCTTCGAGTACCCAAATTTACCTCGAATTTCAACGAACGCCAGATCGTCATTCGTTAGAAAAACTAAATCTAATCTAATAACGAGAAATTTCTGGTCCGTTCCTCGACGAGATACAGAAAAAGAGAATCCTTGGATTGCCAACTCCCTTTCCCTATGAGACTTTCCTCACGCTGGACAGACATCCCAGGCTCGTCTTCAATCGGATGAATAGTCCCAGTGTATCCAGTGAAGGTTTGATTAGGGAATTCTAATCATACCTTCGGTCGAATTATTTTCGATAATCCAGGAAAATATTCTATAAGACAACATAATCTCGAAATATCCCAATCTGATTTCTTTCAACAAGAAGCAATTATCCTTTGGATATCTCCCCAGCAAGACGTTTCCATTATCGTAAGATGTCCTTGAAAGTCATCCCTGATACTTCTTCCTTGTCTCCAGGGGATTATCATTGGAACGTCCCCGAGACTAGACATTCAGATGACCCTGTGATGTCCCTTAAAGTCTTCTGTAGGACTTCTGTAGGACTAGGACAGGGGTGCTCAAACATTTTGTCATTGAGCCCGCAAAATCGAAAACCTGTGCTGTATGTGTGCTTGTAGGCCAAGGCCAGTGCCGAGGCGCGGTTGCTAGGTGAGGGAGTGATGGGGAGTTACTGGGCGATGGGGTGAAGTACCGAAGCTTCCTTCCCCCTCCCTCCTCTGCGTCCGCTGCTATTTTTCATTTTTGTCTTTATCTCATCTCCAGTATTTAATTTTTTTCCCTCAAATGCCATCCCGAGCGGCTCAGAAGCTTTCCGTGGGACGCATTTTGGGCACCCTTTTCCACTTATGGTAATGGTTCTCGACCGGTGAGCCCACCGAACACATGGATGTTCTATGGGAGTAAGAGGGAGGTTGAAAACCACCACCCTGGAGCATGACTCTGGAAAAAACTTGGGGATGTACTTGTGCATAATGGAAGGCACAATGAAATCTTCAAATAGCAAATTCTTCTTAGGCCTCGCCAATACACCAATCCAAAAAAATAACAGTAGTAGAGATGCATTGGATGAGACGAACCCTTCCGTCTTTCCTCAAATGCCCAGTCGAAACCCCTGCAAGAGTCGTCATGGATTGAATACTGAATCCATGGGGACAGAGAAAGCTTTCTCACTATAGGCGACGACGACGATTCATAGGGGGCTCGGCTCCCCCCTCCCCTCCCCCCGGGGAAAAAAAAAACAAACAAAACGATTTAGCAGAAGGGGCTCACCCCCCTCAATAATTCCTGACAATTTTATTTTTGTAGTTGTCGTTTATAGCTTCGTTGAACCTGAGAATCTTAGCATAGAAAAATAGTTCATGAGACTGAGGCTCATAGGGCCGACCTACGCCCTAGGAGAGCGTTATCGATTATTTTCTCCACATGGATGATACTTGGACGGCAAGGAATGAAAATTGCGAACATCAATAAATCTAGCTGTGTAGAAGACGAGCTGCCGATTGCTTACAACTTCATGGTGTTTTAGCATATAAACGTTCGACTGCTTCAAGTTGGCCTTTGCAGTTGTTGCTGGTACAGTTGAGGTCTTGGTTTAGAACCCTGGCACAGTTGACCGAAAACCACTGTTCAAGATCAAGCCTAAATCTTTCTCAGAGGACGGGGATGGAGGGGGGGCGACCAGGACACGAGTATAAGGAATACTTGCAAAGGAGTACTGTCTCTGAGCCGTCCTATGTTTCCATTATATGGAACTCTTCAGGGTTGCGCCACGGAATTTCGAGCAATGAACAAGAAAAGAGGGGTTACATTCATTCGGACGATCAATTCTTCTGGGAATGGTATATTACTTATTAACACATCATTTTCTCGAGGAGTAATTGACGGCCCACAGCTGATTCCCAAGAAGATCCCCCCCGTCGCTCCACTCTTAGGTACTCAACTATCCCACAGTTAACCGAGGGGAGATCCTTGCTAATGCACTCACCCAATTTAATTTTAGTATATGAAATGACTCCTGCGGCCTCCCCCTAAGCCTATCTCAAGGCAAATCTGACATGGCGTAGTCGTCTTTGTCATAGTCAATTCATCATCTCGGAATGGATTCTTGGGAAGCAACACTGAATTGAAACCCTGGATGATGAGCCATCTCAGCTCACTCCATCAGAATGAGACAATTCATCACAGTCCCATTATGCAGAAGCGAGGATTGGGGTTCATTCTTCCCTGCTGATGAGTATGCAAAATGCATGCGAAGATCATCTGCATTAGCTGGAATGATATGGATGAACATGTTTTCAGTCAAATTCCTCTGCTGCACTCAAATGCAAGTGCATGACAACATATTGTTGACAATGTTTCACCATTATGAATTCAAGAGTCCTCTGATAATAGTGCGTTTTCATTCTTACAAATCAAGCATGACTAGTTACAGCATCAATCGCAAAAAAGGAATGCATTTTTCATGCAATGGCATGAACTGTACCAGCAAAATAACTCAGAAGAGGTAATAACAATATGCAAAGACAATACTTTCTCTTCTCAGTTTAGAAATACCAGAGGGACAAAAGATGGTGTCGGAGGAACAAAACAACTCCTCTGCAAACATAATGAAAATCTTTGAAGTAGCATCACTGCAAGAATATGTATCCCCAGTTGGTGAATGCAGTGTTTCATCTTTCACTTTGCCATCCATGCAAATGCAATATTCCTGTAATACAAACCATGGAAAAAAAAAAGTAATTTTTGGAGATTTCCTTAAGGACCAGATTTCATGAAATTTAAAAAGTGAAAGCAGAACTGGGTTGAGTCTCACCTGAATGAGCATGGAGGAAGTGTGGAAGTCTTGTACCAAAGAGCACAAATTAACAGTGCTGTCCATAAATGGAGTGGACCAGCCAGAAAGTGAAGAATTCCAAACTCAAACAAGGAAAAAAGAGCCACAACAAATAAGGAGATTACAATAAGCAGAAGTGGGAGACTTCGAGCAAGAGTCAGCTTGAAAGTAGTTCCTCTCCCTCTTTGCACAGCCCTATACCTGTTCACAATAATTAATAAAACTTAGAAGTATGCATCCTCACTTTCATTTTACATATACTGTACACATTGAGCAGTAGATCATTGAATATAGCTTTTGAGACATTAGCAAGTATGGAAAGACCACAATCTAAGAAAGAGAATGTACATGAAAAAAAACACACAATTCCTATGGATGAAAATTCAGAAACCTTCGAAACAATCTTGCTTGTTGTTTCAAACCATCATCCAAGAAGAAAAATGCATAAAACAAATAAAAACTTCTGTGAAGGATGCTGATGAAGACAAACTAGTAATATATAGGTACGAGAAAGTCAAAATGAACACTAGAGGAAACGGTCCAATGCCTCACCTTAGGTATGCTTGATCAGCCAAGGTAAGAATCAAAGGAACTTGAACTATGGCCACCTGAAAAATTCAGAAGGGGAAGTCACTGAGAATTATGGTGCAATGGCTGAGTACAATCACTGATTTGATTACTTGAAGAAACCAACAGTTGAAGATTCTTATTTATGGTAATATTATTGAGTGAACAGGACATTTGATATTGTCAAGACTCAACAGGAGCAACAGCAGAGCAAGAAACAAAGAGCTGGTGTAAGAGATGGAACTTACATGCAGGAATCCTATTGTGAAGCTCTGGGATCCAGGAACATACCATGGTCCAACATAAATGCCCCAAGCAAATCCCACTCCATAATATCCTTCTATAAGTTCTCCTCCAAAGATAGGGCCTGCAACACATCAAAGCTCATAGAAGGAACAACAGAGAACTTGAAACAAGCAATCATTTCATTGAAGATATCTATTTGAGCTCCCATTTAAGCAAGACAGCTTTCTATTAACTATGCCCCTTGAATACCACATGTTTCTTATGGAACAAGTGTTCTGCTGGTTGTCTATCAACACAAGATTGCCATGTATCACAGATATGTACTCATGCTTTTGACGAGTGTTCTTATTTCAACGCATTTTTTGCACCCAGTGCACAACTTCCTCAGACCGAGCAATTTCATTCACTGCTCTAGAGACACAATCTGGTCTTTCAGTCAATGCAGTATAATTCCATTGTACAGGGCATTTCCTTTAAATTGTACATCTTTGAATGCTCATATTTCTGAGAGGGTGCAACCAATCTTGATGAAAAGCAAGATGAGAGAGCAAAGCCATTTTAGCCAATTAGTTAATACAGAGTACTACTAGCTTGCACCTTGATTCACATTTCTGAAGCCAACTTTTTGTGAGAAATACTGCTATACTACAGTACATGTACAGTGCCCTGCCAGAATAAAATGAACACCCCAGATACTGAATAAATTTTCATTTACTTTCACAAGTCAAAGGACCACATATTTTGAATGCAGGCAGAGGATACACCACGAAATACTAATATATGAGTATGTGGTCCTTTGGATTGTAATTGTATCACAGATTAGTAAATGAAAATTTATTCAGTATCTGGGGTGTTCATTTCTTTCTGCTAGGGCATTGTATTATTGAACCCTGAGGCAGTCATAAATTAGGGGTACCAAGTTCAATTCTGATATACTCACCCTGGCACCCTGTGTTCTTGCAAGTCACTTTGCAAGTACAAACCACCTTGGTATAGGTTCCATAGTGTACTTGTGACAGCAGTACAGCATAAAATGATAATACAAATTCCACAAACATGGTCATAGGATGTCAATGGAATGTATCACATGGGAGCTTATGCTTTCACCATGACTAAGATAAGAAGCGGTTGTCAAAGACAATGCCTCATGGTACTATGACTGACAAGCAGTTGCATGAGTTTTGGAATAGGTATCTTCTGATACACAAACTAAGTTATCTGCAAAAACACACCACCTCAAGACATCATCACATAACTGTCCCACAAAAACACCTCAGTATCCATACCAGGGAACCTGGTACCTATAGTTGATGCTTGCAAAAATACATCTCTAATTACCTTGAGTTGATCCAAAAAGTTTATTTACTTTTTGAACCTATTGAACTCAGTGCTGAGTACCTCCACACCCATGAGTATCATGGATGAAAAATCCTTATGTCTTTCCATCCCATCAAAATTATTCATAAACTCCATTGATTCCCTCTCAAAAACCCATGTTTTTTGGAGAGAATCAATGGACCTATTACCAATAAGGTAACCATTCAAATAGAGTCAACCACTGTTGGATGTAGTGTTCAATTCTGCTCATAACTATTACATATTGAAATAGGAAAATTTAAAGCACTTGTAGTTTTACTTGCTGGCACAGGTTTATGAAACATGATATAGATTTTTGCAAGAACTTGCTTCAACACAGAGGGGTGATGTCAACCACCATGCTATTGTCAACCAACCTTTTACCACCATGCATGCCATTTATAATTAAGTGCATAGTGCCTCCAATCATAGAGTTAGGAGTCTAGCTGGTGTTGCATATGTTGGATAAAAGATGGTGAGCAACTCTTAAGACTGAAAGTAATGTCACTCAGGGAAAGTAGAGAGGTCTTTGGAAATGATTAAATAATAGCACACATGGCCATTAAAAACATACTGGAACACAATGGAAAACAGCAAATACAGAGAATTCAAGCATCAAGACAACATAGAGTGATCAGTATCTGGCTACTCAGAGAGGTGTATCGCAGCATCAGTTGTACAATCTTGAATCTTGGTATAGCAACTAACAGTGGCATGGGGGAAAGAATTGTAGGTCAGCATCATCTGAAGGGGACACTTGGTTAGTAGTAGCTATAAAAAAAAAGCATGTTGCAGTTGACACTCATGCCAGTTGCTTGTGAAAGTGAAACTGTCAACAGCAATGCTTTCCTTGCAGCAGCACCAATGTTACTGCTTTTACAACTCCAATGCTCTAGTCAGCTCTCAATCATCTGCTCCCATGAGTGCTCCCTTGAGGCTTGAGAGTCAAGGAAAAAAATATTGGGCATTTTCAACAGTTACAAAACTGGCACCTATACCAAATTATATGTGGCACCTTTTATAGGGGATGATTCTATATAATGAACTACTCCACCAATATTCAAGGTCCTTCAACCCATAAAAGGCAAAATTCACCTCTCTGGGTAGCCAAACCAAGCGATTGGTTACCCTGTATAATACATATATCAACTCTCATGTTAATAGAAACAAGAATCTACTCAATGAAGAGACTGCAGCCAAGAGGAGATGGGAATTTACAATACTCAAACACTTGCCTTCAGTCTCTTCACTGAATAAGTTTTTTCCAGACTCAAAGGTGAAAAAATAAGCAAACACCAAAACAGAAAAAACCTAACTAGAATTCCATTTCATTTACACATTGCTAATAGGAAGAAACTTTCTACTCTTCAAGACATAAACTATATCAGGGTACAGCCACAACCACAACCAAGGGAACAGTCCTGGAGAAAACAGCAATGACCTGGAACTGGTAGGGTAGGGGAGGAAGTGGGTGCTACTAAAATCAAGTCAGGATTTGCAACAGTAAAGAATTGCATTTTATATTTTTACCCCTACCATAACCCTTTAATGCATGACGTAGCAGATATGCTACATTTGAAATAAAATATTTAACATGTGTAGGCAGCAAGCTCTAGCAGTAAGGTAGTTCAGAGTAGATGTGCAACAGTCCAGTCCTTGCACCTAGTACCCCAGTGGTTGCTAAGTGCCCTACACTCCTGGTGGCAAACAAATTAAAAATGCATAGCTTCATCAAACTGACATTGTTGGTGCAATTATTTTCAACTTTACGCTAATCCAGGGTCTAGGTTCATCCATATTTTTACATTTTCTTTTGCGTTGAGGTATACACTAATGTTGACTGACCGACTGAGCTATCTAGCCTCCATGCAGCATGGGTTAAAAAGCTGAAAATGTTGTTTGTAGCAAATGTGCAACAATAACATTTTTGGGCCTACTACATATAAATTAGAGGAAATAATTTTTTCTCCACTTTTCCCATGTTCTATTACCTAAGGAAAACCTACTAGATATTTTTTGCTGAAAATGAAAAAATAATGTATTAAAGGGTTAAGCTGGAAACAGTAATTACTTGTTCCTTTTTAGGACAATCCACTTTCCCCTCAATTTTTGTAACACTCCTGCAGGAATCCCAATTTGAAAAATGTACCAACACAACATAAAAGTATCAGTATGTCATTCGGACTCAACTCAACTCCTGGTCACAACTTACCTATAGCAGTGTAGAGAAGCAATATAACAAGAGGATAGAAGATCATGTTCAATGTAGTCATAAGCCAAATCTTCCTCAGCCACTGGCCACAACAATATGGTCGAAACGAAGGAACTGATACCCATCTCCCTGGAAGATCCAAAGGCCAGCCAATACATAATAGATAAATATATCAATATATTGGGCTATAGCTACAACTTCATGAAGGGTGAGTTGCAGAAACGAGGATATGAGTATACATGATGCAATGTCCAAATTTCTAGCTTCAGATACCAGCCTTCAATGAACTTACTCACTACCATTTGATGAAAGATCCTCATGAAACAAAGCAGTAAAATCAAGGAGCCCACGCATGAATAAAATAGGACTTGGACCTAGAAGAGAAAGGGATGCAAGTGAGAGCTTGATAATAATATTTGACAGTAAATATGTATGTTACTTGTTGATGCTAGTGAACTGACCATTTTAAGCATGTTGGTTCGAAGAACAAAGCGTGCACCAAAACTAGTCTGTGAATATGTTCCATCCAAAGAGAATGGTTGAGAGACAGTCCTAGAATTCCCATCCTTCTCTACCGCTTCCACGTGGAGGAGTAACGTCCCCTTCACAGACTGGTTCCACAAAAGTAAATCCCATGGAACTACATACAGTGGGCCATTGGTGTGCACTGCTGTGACCCACGAGCCACTGGCCACTTTGACACGAATTCTTTCAACCCCTTGCAGTGAAAACACTAGGACCCTGAAAATGAATTAATGAGGTTATTTGCATGACTGTCCATCAGTTCCAGCTTTAACAAAAAGCCACTGCAGCAACATTTCAAAGTCATACACAATTGAAAATGAATGCCATCAGAAAAGCATGGCTTACCGAACATGTGTTGAGTTCTGCATCAAATGTAAAGGTTCTTTCAAGGGTGAAGAAAGTGAATTATCTTTAGGATTCGTCACAAGGATGATGGGCCATTCACTCATTGTGTGATCCACAAAGGAGAATAATCCATGATCTATAGCTGCCACCCTGAACCTGGAATGAAAATATAGGAAGAGATTCCATTCTTCATTGATTATGTAGACTCATTTCAGCTCATGGAATTTCAAAAGAAAATTTGTATTAGTAACAGGTCAAATGACAAAATGCAAAAATCTTTAAAGATGATGATCCTGGAATCTATAAAAAGTCAGAATGATCAAAGATTAGTTTGATCTGCTATTAATGGTTGGCACTCTAGGTCAGCAATCACTAGTATTACCATTCCATGATCACTCACAGCATACCATTTTCACTTTCCTTATTTTGATTATTATGTACTGTATTCATCACTGTGACAGCCAAGTACTGACATGGCACCCAGGGGCTAAGACAATATTAAATTTTCAGATTCCCTCACAAGCTTCCATGAAGAGTAGACCCATCGCCTGAATGCACCCCGCCTACTATCACAAGAAATTTCTGGTTCCCCTTGATATGCTAATGTCAACATGGCACCTAGGTATTGCTAACCATTCATTCATGTTTCCAATATAAAGAAGAACTCAGGAGCATGTGTTCAAGTGATAATAGCATGTCATTGAATGCATAGTCTCAAATATCAGCAAGTGAGTCAAAAACTAACATTAATGAGTTACAATGGTTAGGGCAAGATTAGCATGCTGCATAATTAACTTAATCTAGGCTAATTCATTCATTAATTTTTAAATTCTACTTTCTCTGAGTGCAAACATTACATCACTTTTTTTTAAAAGACAATCCAGGCTTTCTGTACTGGGCTGAGACCAGATACCCAGCCATTTGAGGGTTAAAAATTGAATTATTCAGAGGGAGTTACTTGGAAAAAAAAAGACTCCAGCAAGCAAAACCTTACCAAGCAGGTTCCTATAGGGGATTTATTTTCTTGAATGATCATCATTTCTGAGCGGATTTAATAGCAAGTCATGCCAGTTGGTGAATGACTGTCATGTACTTCAGCTCACCTTCGAGAGAATTTCCAATCAGCAAGTTCCAGCTCTAAGTTTCCAAGAGGTTGGAGAGCATACATATGATGAATCAAGCCTCCTAAGGTATGCAAATGCCCACAAAGGTATACCAATCCCTTACTCAAGAGAGACTGTATGCCAGGACTAGGAGAGACAATGACAGATGATGGGTAATGCCCAAAGAATATCTTGTATGCATCTTTGGGTATCTCACTTTCCAATGTCAACACTTTCTGCCATTCATCGGGGGCAATTATTCCAAAGAAGTTATGTGGGCTCTTTAATCCAGGGAACATGGCTGCATCTACAGCAAGGAATGCATATTGGTCGCCATTTGCTTCCACAACATGTGAGTAAGACCTTGGATTCTTCTGCCCTTGCACAGAATACCGACGATGGTAGTTTTTGTGAGAGTTCACATGGGAGACATCAAAGGAATCTGTGGAAATATATGAGTTATGACATCACTGTGAATATTTCAAAATTTAACCAGACAGGAAAACACTTCAAACTATTGAGGTTTCCAAACAGAACAACTCCCTTTTATAAAAGAATATCAAAGAGACTTCTTAAGATGTGTTGAGTTCAACAAAATAGGATAGGCATAGGTAAGTGGGGCAGTGGAGTAAGTTGGGGCCCTCCCCCAATCAAATTTTCCCTGATAAGGATATTGCTTTGAAAGTTACTTGGTATGTTCATCCAGGTACCTGTCAAACATAATACTAATTGTACATACATTGGACGAAGCAGAATGATTCTGCTGGGAGAAAATTCTCAATGTGCCCAAAACTGTCTTTTTATAGGTTCACTATTAGTCTATCTCAACAAAAGTTCCTGGTCCAATCATTTCAGGGATAGGAATGGAATCTGAAATTCAGTGAACTAAAACAAATAGTATAATGACCTTAATTTGCCTTCTGCAAAAGGAAAATTAACTTTTTCTTAGCTTACAAAGGAGTGGGCTCCACCTAACAAACAGATTTCAAGGTTCAGGTCATGAGGCAATGAAGCTTGGGGCAAGAGACCCAACTTGCAACGATAATCCTTTGGTTTTATGTTTCTACATTGCTTTCCCACAGTGGCAACTGATAATGGTTAAACAAGTATAAAAAAAAAAACTTTAAAATCTGCTGCCATCACAGTTACTCAAAAAGCGATATAGATGAGGCTCTGAATTCACTTTCAATTTAAGTTTTTTGCGACACTTTATCCATGGATATTAGTGGCTTAAAGAAATTTCATTTAGTCAATAACTGAGTTATCCAACAACTTCTTTTTGCATTGAAAAAAGTAATGTGAGATGGTCTTTTCATGCCCAAAGACCTGATCAGCACCATTCACATCAGAATGACAGACCCAAAAACCCAAGACTAGTCCCACACCATTGGGAAAGTCAGAGAGTATATCAATGTCCTCTCTGACCAAAATCTGAGCTGTTGATGAATATTTATGGAATGCACACTTGCAAAGATAACAAAACACTTTTGGACCCCACTTACCCTGGCCTACCCTAATCCTAATTAAGACCAAACAAAACTTGAAAGCAAAAACAGTTCAAACATACCATGATTTCCTCTGACATCAAGGAGGGGGGCATGATCCAAGATTCCAGACCTTGTTATTGCATCTTTATAAATTTTCCACTCCTCTTCAATTTGTCTTGTGTCAGGGGAATTTCCTGACCGTGCATGTGTCAAATCCCCTAATTGGAGAGATAGAATTGGTAATATAGAAGCAATGAAAAATACTTCTGTATCAACAGTATGTAATAAACTGCTACACTCCCAGGTCCAATCAAAAATATTCTACCACATGGTCCTGAACTAAAAAGTCATCATGAATTAATTAATTACAATTAAAATAACAAAAATTGAAGACTTTGCTTTGGCTTTCTGAATATAAGTGTCTGCCATTCCAAAGACTGCCCAGGAAAAACAAAAAAAAAGTACTCTGAGAAATAGCCATGGAGATTTCCCATTCCTATCATACTAAGTAGAGCTGAACCCCATCAAACTGATCTAGGCATCTGGGATGATTTCAAGCATTGGTAAACATGTACCTGATCACCTGATCCATTAAATTCAGTTCATTAAATTGAGATTGAATGGATCCATATGGGAAACCAATCACTCAGCTGGATTAGCACCCACAGTAGCACATAATAAAATTCAGTACAATCAATTTAAATCTATTTGGTGCAAGCTCCCCATTATGCTGCAGAATCCCATAACTTACATTTTTCAGGAGGTGTAGTATCTTTGTGAAAAACAAATCAACAAAACAGACAGGGGAAAAAGGAGTAGATAAATGGTGTGGAAGTTATTTAAGAAGGGCACTAGCAGTAAGGAGGACTTCTAACAACTTTGAAGACCTGAATCAAATTAATTTGATGGATGATCCCTGATTAACAATTATAATTAACAGAATGTATAACTAAAAAAAAAAAAAATATATATATATATATTGGGTTGTTCGGAAAGTTCTGTCCGAAAATTTTGACATACTGTATTTTTCCCAATTATTTTTCTTGCTTGGTCCTATTTTTTCCTTATGTGCGTGTGCTATCGTATTTTATCAATATGCTTTTGTTTTGCTCCTATCGACTTTTTTTTAGGTTATAATGACGTCAAACCGTGAGCACCTCCTGCACTGTTTGCTTTATGAGCACGATCTAGGAAGCTCTGCAGTAGAGGCTCATCGCCGCATATGCCAAGCTATGGGCCAGGACGGGTCGTCAGCGAACGTACGTGTCGCAGATGGTTCGCCAGGTTTCGCGCGGGCAACAGGACCCTCCAAGATGAGCCCAGGTCTGGGCGGCCCTCCGAGGTCGATGACGATGAGTTGCGCAGACTGATCGAGGCTGATCCCAGAATGACCACCCGTTCCTTGGCGGCCAGACTTGGATGTGCCAATAGCACCGTGTATAGCCACCTCCTAGCCCTGGGTCATCCTCTGGGAGGTGCTGCCCCACAACCAGACTGTGACTGCGCAGTACTACTGCAACCAACTGCAGCGTCTCGACGACCAACTCGCTCTGGTTCGCCCGAGGCACGGCCGTGTTCTCTTCCTCCACGATAACACGCGGTTGCACACCGCGAAGTGCACACGGGACAAGCTTCTCCAGCTGGGCTATGAGGTTCTGCCCCACCCAGCTTACAGTCCGGACATAGCGCCATCAGACTACTGGCTCTTCCGCGCGCTCGACCGGCACCTACGCGAGAAGAGCTTCGCTGATGAGAACGCACTCAAGATGGAGATCGGCCACTTCTTCGACTCCCAGCCTGAGACATTCTACAAGGACGGCATCAACGCCCTGCCGGATCGCTGGCGGAGGGTTGTGGATGCCGATGGTGACTACTTAGTAGAATAAGGCGTGGTTGTTAATGAATAAACTTTGTGGAAAGAAAAGTGTGAAAAACGGACAGAACTTTCCGAACAACCCAATATATATATAACTTGCTCCATCCATGTTCCATTACCATTTTATATTTTGGTTCAATGGCCATGGGAAAGCAATATGCTTTGTCTCTAAATTATCCATCCATTGCTAATAAGCTTGCAATTGCAAAAACTGAATGATCATGAAGGAAAGTCTTTTTTATTTTATTACATTCCAAAACAAAAGTTTTACATGAAAAAAGAAAAAGGCATAAAAATACAAAATGTATTTTTATTAGGGCTGTCACAATAGATCGATGCATGGATACCACTATCGATGGTTGGAGGGATCGATTGTTTTTTCGACCATCGCGATATATCGGGAAATGAAAATGTCCCATTGGATTGAGGCGAGTACAGTACAAAACAGTCAGTCCGGGAGGGGAAAGGAGGAGGCAGCGTGACTCGCATGGGCTTGCAATTTCTGTCACGATCAAATTCTAGAAATGCTGGGACTGACTGTATGATAGAAGAGAAGGGGGGCAGGGGGATTAATTTCAGCGTGGACTGTCTTCACATGTCTCCTAAGAATCTGGTTTGCTGTGAACTTCTTAAATAACTGACGCTCCACTGGGGGGGGGGGGGGGGGGGGGGGGGGGGAAAACATGTTGGATCGGAGACATGAAGTGGGGAAGTAGAATATTTTAATAAAGGAGAAAAGAAAAAACGACAATATTTTTATCTTCAGTTTCAGTCTCCGGCACGATCTCATCAGGTGCATGCTGCGAAAGTCGACTGTTCTTATACTACCTTGATTTCGAAAAGTACATTGGTTAATCCCTCTCTTCATATTCCTGTTTCTCAAGTATGCAGGCTTAAGGTTTTTTTAATTTTCAACTTGTCGCAGGTCATTTTACCTCTTTACTTAAGGTGAATCCAAGTGAACTTTTTTTTACATGGACGTTGCTTATTCTATGGCTGTACCGATGTTTCGGCGACCGCCGGTATGGCACGATCGGCAGGTTTTCAATCTGTCGGTGCCGATTTCCAAAGAAGACCGCGTATAACGAAGAAAAAAAACTACGTGAACGGGCTTGGCAACTGATTCTCAACGACAATTTTAAAAAATTAAGGCTGTTCAGATGCATCCATCGATGAATGGATGTCAGCTTCAATAGTTGGATGCATGGAAGGTTTTATTACTCCCTGCGAAGGTCACACCTTCCCTCCGCACACCCCGATCACAAGCGTGAGATTATGGAAGACGGATAGAGGTCTGCGCTCCGATCGAGGCAAGACACGATGGAAGACGAACCTCCGCCCGATCGCGGCGAGAAAAGATTGAATCCTTTGGCACACCCCCCCCCCCCCCCTCCCTCCCCATGCATCGATACACTATCGATAGTTCAGGGAGACGCATCGATGTTTTGAAAACTGCTGTAGTGGCAGCCCTAATTTGTATTGCCTTGCAAGGATACCAGTCCCCTATTTAACTGCTGAGTCTCACCTAATTTTTGAGTAATTTGTTGTTTATCTTCTTCACATGTATCATGAGGCAAGAAATTCGGTTGATGAGTATGTCATAGTGTTGCGGAATTTAGGGGGATTTGGAATCTTCCTAGTGATGCAGAGTTTTAATAAACCTACAGATGTGGTGAAATCGTCTCAATTTCACGCGAATGCCAATACATCCTGCAAATCAAAATCACAATCCCCCTGACTCAAAAATTGTCCTCACGGCCCGATTTGTCCAGTCACGGGCAATTCTCCTCCGTGTGTAGACAGCTTACTAAGTGTCGCGCCTGCGACGTCTGCCTCTACTGATGGGAAACGTGGAAGGCTGTGGTAGCATCGACAAAGGAACTAGTCACTGAAGGTGCCAGTACAACCCAAGCTATGACTTTTTGGGCGACTCCCGCTGGCGTCATTAGAGAGCTTGCGGGATCGCGTCCGCGGGACGGGAACGAGGACAGGAATGGGATGTTGTCCGTAGTACGGGACTGGATGTTAAGCCCCGGCTGCTTTTGTTCGCGGTCTCCTTCCACTCCCGTCCTCATTCTGCAAAATTTTTATCGACGATCGTTCTACCGGAATGCACCGAACGAGCAAGCCGTCGAGTTGCCAGATGGCGTCACTGTGTCTTTGAACTCTTCATGCCCAGAAAGAAGCTACACTAGTAGGATTGCAGGATCCATCTGCCAGTATGGGCAGCTATCACAGGGGAACTCCTGGAGCTACCTTCCAAAGCGAGAGTTTTGATTTCTTATTGTTAATTGACAGATTTATTTTCATAATGCTTCAAATGAAGTAAAATTTAAAAACTACTTTTTTTTTTCTACTACTTTCTCCTCTGGGTAAATTCAGGGCCGTATCTAGGATTTCATCTCGGGGGGGGGGGGGGGGGGGGGGGGGGGGGGGGGGGGATGAGGTCTGGCGTACGCGCTGTGGCTATTTTTTTATGTTGGTCATTGTAAGTCTTCTTGACATATCTGGATTTTCCTGTAAGTTGCAGTGTTTAATAAGTCATAAGCTATTAAAGATATAAAAGACCAAGACACCGTTTACACCGACGAATAGCGGTATGGCAACAATTTAAAGAAGAAATTTCGGGGGATTTCGGGGGTTTTCGGGGGTTTGAACCCCATGAACCTCCCCCTAAATACGGCCTTGGGTAAATTAATGATTCCGTTTCTGCTTATCTAAATGATGGAAGCAATAGCAGCAAAACCGGGAGGTTTGAAATCTCCCTAGTGATATAGATAGATATGATGGAAGAATTTCGAGGCGATTTCATTATCATTAAACCTGCTGGTTTATCGAAATTCTGCATCTCACTGGGCAGATTCCAAATTCTCCTAAATTACACAAAACTCTACGATATATACAATATTGAATATACCAGATTGAAAGAGATCCAACTTTCAAAATGTCTGAGCAAACATGCTCTCCACAGGGGTGTACAATCTCCGGCTTGCGGGCCGCATTCTGCATGCTAAATGCCTTAGAGAACATCTAGGTTGTGCACTCTTGCTCTAAAAGATGAATCATCATCCTTAACCCTTATCCGGGCAAGGTATTTTTGTGACACAAACGGGCAAGGCCAAACATTTTTAGAATTTTTTCCTTAAAAGCAAATCCAAACTTTAAAAATTAAATTTTGAATCTATGGATGACTGTCTATGAAACCCATATCAAATTTGAAGAATATTTTGAAAAAATTGCGAAGAGTAATGAAATGAAATATACCCTGCCCGGATAAGGGTTAACTGAATGAAAAATGGTTTTAATGCTTAAAAAACATGTTCAACATGGCTTATGGTGATTTTAAAACTAACTGTATAATAAAAAAAAGCACCTTATTAGTTATTATCTCATGTACCAGGTAATATAGCATTTGCATAAAGCAGGCCTGTAAATTTCCCTCTCACCAGCAGCGAGTAATTTTGACGAGTGGAAATTAAACAGCCTGGTGAGTGAAAATAGCATGATCTGAAGAAAAAAAGAATATCAAGAACCGTTTACTACACCCCGCCACACGTACGGATTTCCGTCTATAACTCCCCCGTGTATGAGTTTTCGCGTCACCCATCGTTATATCAGAGACACTCCTTGATATTGGGCTATCTGTGCAGGAACTACGATTTCGGCCGTCGGAAGAGCGGGAAGAGGGAAAATGCTGCCCGGCTGGTGAAAGTCGGAAGGGAAATGATCAAATCTGGCTTAAAGTAAGGTCTACCAATCTGCCTTTTTTTGCCTGGTGAGCGCTGCATACTGGAAAATCAGGTTTGCTTGCAGGAATAAAAAAAAAAAACTATTTTCCAGGAAGAATAGCCTCACACTCGAACTACCAAAAGAATTATGTAAAATATGACTGAATTGCCATGATACGTGCAATGCAATCTTTGCGCTGTTTACAAAGCAAATAAATAAATATACATATGTGTGTGTGTGTGTGCTTTGAACCTACAGTTAGGATCTTGACTTTGATATCAACTTACCATCCCTACGAGCAAAGAGTCCTCTTCTTATGGAGCTGCTGTACAGATATACTGCTCATGTGTTTTCGTTGTTGCATATTCGCATATGGAATAATGACTTTCGTTTTATTAAAAGGGTGTCAGCTTAACTCAAAATGAGCTATTTTTGGTATCGTGTTTATCATTTTCATATCACAGAAATTTGATATTCTGTTTAATTTCACATTTATTGGCATGCTACATAGAAAAAGTTGTGGAACAATTGTACCTGGCTTGCTGCACATACTGGAACATAAATAAACCCAGTGGCAGTTTAGACTTAAGCCTTGTTTCAAACAAGGGTAAATTATGAGAATTTTCTTAACCTTAAAGGAAAGATCTATCAATTCATGCATCCCAAGTCACAAAAATGTCTTCAGGATTCAAAACAACGACCCACAGAGCACCCAGGTCAGTTCCAGGACTCCACTCTAGTTGTATTGACAATCAATTTACTCCTAGGAAGATTCAGTCAGGATTAACTAAAAAATCACCATCCAGAGGGCAGTGATTTTATCTTCATTCCCAGGAATAACACATTTCATTTGGACCATAAATATTAGGTCTCTCAGACATCTTAAATAAAAACAAACTTTTCCAGGGTTTTGCATTTCAAGCATCACAGTTGAAGTTAAGACACATGCGCATAAAAACATTTTAGCATTTTAACCCTTTGGCTGCCACTTCTATTGCCAGTGATCAATTTTGCAATGTTGAGATTCTGTTCAGCAGTCTATGTGTTAAGAAAGTAATTCCACCAGAAAGACACAAAATGATTCTCATGAGCAGAAATGTAGGGGTGTCAAAATTCCAATATTAAGAGTTTAATTGGAGCTGAGAGGTGAACATTCAGAACATTTATATAAAATGAAAATTTCTCAGGTTTCTCACTGATCAAAAACTTTAAATATGAATAATCAGAGAATCAAAAGAATTAATCAAATCAAACTGTTCCTTATTCCTCCATTAAATTTGACAATGAAAACAGCAAAACCTCCAAATGGAATGACATCACAGGTGCTTTGTGGATACTGTGATTTCACTCCAGAGTCAAACAAGAAGAAGCATTGGTTCTGTTTCAGTTACATCAATATTATTTTTTCATTTCATTCATGAATATGCCACTGAAATATTTTATTTAAATAAATTTGATTCAGTCCAAATTTTATAAAGGTAAGATTGAATTTCTAAAATTTAGAATAATGCAACATTTTGCAATCCATGTCTTACCCATGGCATTTTTTCTCAGACATTATATTTTGAGAAGAGGTCATTCACCTCTAGTAAATGACTTGAAATTCAAGACAAAATTCAAACTTCAATTAAAATTTTGTGCTACTCCTAGTCTGCTGTGCTCTCAAGTGTACTACAGAGTGACACAGGAAAAATTTTACAAATACGCTGCCAGCTGTACCAATTTTGTATAAACTTTACCTCAGCTCCTTGTGAGGTTTGCAGGAAAGACACTAGCTGGTTAGAAGTTAGAGTTATATGATTAGAGAAAAGATTTTTCAATGTGTATTTTGTACATTTCCCTAAATGCAAGCAGGCAAAGGGGACTCAAAATTTCTTGAAAAACCAGAGGTTAAAAATAGTATGAAATCCAAAGTGAAACACCATTTACAGTCAATTATGTAAGAGAAATTTATTCAACAAGCTCTCTCCTAAAATTATCAGCAGAAAGTTCTTTCTAGTACATACTATTGAAGCCTGACAATTGCCAATCAAGTGCCATGTATGCAGCTATAAAGATCATTTGGTCATGTATATCACCAAGGTTGGGTGCATTAAGAGATTTTTCCTTAAGTGACTTCATGTCAAAAACTGCTCTGCACATTAATGTATATGGAAGATGTAGGAACTTCTTTTGACTCTATTTTTTTCTTCTTGTCATAGGCCTTATTTTAACTTTATTAGATGGATACTAATTTGTATACATTCAAAAGGAATTCACAGATAATGCTTATGTTTCCATACAGTTATACCATAACCAGTGTCATTCCTTAATTGCCAAATTTACACTAAAAAAAAAATCAAATTAATGTATATAACTGTCATCCTAAATCCAAGTCCTGTGAATAGGCCTACCATTCAGATATTATTCCTCAAAATTGATATTCCAAGGAATAAAGGCTTTTCACTTTACTTAACTTTTAGAAAGTTAGGCATGGCAATGGAAACATGATTGAACAGAGAAAAGCCAAAGGGGAAAGATTTTCATGAACATATTGACAAATGATGTTACTTACCTGACACTAATACCACACTTGGTTTGACTGCCTTTGAGATATCCCTGAGGAGCACTTCTAGATCTGGGCCTCTGTTATGTTCCCCATACACAGTGATGTGAATATCACTGACCTAAATAGAAACAGTGATACAAGCACAGAACAGCAACTATAGATGGCCCAAGGGCCACCAAATAATCAGTAAAATATAGCTTTGAAAAAATGAAATGAATCAGCATATGGGCAGAATGAAAGTTTTTCAGGAACTAACCTGAACAAACCACATCAAGTGCTCAAATTTGTCATCCAATTTGGCCAGATGTTCATAATCCCTCTGTCTGGGATTAGACTTTTTTTCGTTTGGTATCACAGAAGTAGTAGAATATGAAAAAATCAGATTTGCAATGTAGCAGCCAGAGAGAAAGACAATCACTGTCTTTAGCATTTTCTTAAGCAATGTCATGTCATCTTGAGTCTCCAGTCAGGCAGAAATTCCATGCAAAAAGACAATGGAATTGCACACTCATCCTACTCCCACCCAGTGACTGAACATCACCTAGGATGAAAATGTGAACAAAACATCAAAAGGGAATCTACAGTACCACACCCACATTGACCTTGGTCTAAGATTCTAGAAAGTCCAATTTAAAAAAATTGGAAGACATAATCAGTAAATTGAATTGGTATGGATACTTTTTTGAGTATTTCCACAATAACATGTAAGAAGACACTTTTCACTTCTAAATTCTTTTGATAATGGGGACTCAACCTATCAGAACCTAATCCTTCTGCATACCCAGAAAGAATGCATGAGGTCAAATACACCAAGCTTCTTGGTGGCATTCAATTTATATTAAAACAGTTTACGAGCCTTCATTTTCAGACAAAAATTGTATTCCCTTCCCTCCAGGGTATAACTTTTAGATAGTTCAGACTTAGTTTGATGGACATAGTTCATTTTAGGGTCCATTCAGTCTGGATTTGAACCCATGCCAAAAGCCTTGGGGGAATGTTAATGACTGATACAAAATCTTAGCTGTCCCATCCTTATCCATGCCAGTGATACAAAAAATCCTGAAGTCGCCCAGGAAAAAAATGAAGATTTTTTAAAAACTGTCTATAAAGGCCAATCATTACTTAAATCCACCAGGCTAAGCCCACACTCAAGATCTATACTTCTTAATGTGAACTTTCATAAGTTCCATACTTCCAAGGCAGAAAATAAATACTGAAAGGAAACTACAAAAGGAAAAAAGAACAAAAGGAAACGAAGAAAAAACAAAGAACAAAAGAGAAAAAAAATTGAAGGGGTGGATGACAGAGAAAGGTGGAGAGACCAACAAAAACTTGAGACGATTTTGAGCTTGACTTGCAAATATGAGTGTAGGAGAAGAGATAAACTCTTTCCGTGCCAGTTCAATCGTGAATGATTGTATCATCAGAGAGCTTGGAGTGGGTCATTCTTCTGCGGGATCAAAGTGATACTCCGTCACAAGTAAGTCTGTAATCACCCAGCTGAATTGAAGCGTTTCATTCATTATGTAAGCTGGTAGTCTGTACTATGAGATAACAGCTTCATAAATAAATAAGCCTCTGGATGCAGCAACTAGAACATGACTGACTTGCAAATGCACTTGGCCTATAGGATGGGAGGTGCGGTGATTGAATAAGAAAAATTCGATTAAATGCAAGACAATTTTTTCCCAAGTGCACTCAACTATGGAATATCAAGACTGTCTTCCGGCTGCACCCTCAATAGAAAGTCTGCACCGTGCCCCCGCACGTCAAAGGTGTACTGTTAGTAAACAGATGAAGAAATATGCCGACCACATGGTACATGCAAGCAGACATATTGGACAAGGTGGAACATGGAGCACCCAGAGAAGTCGTTGGCATTTCCCCTTCCCCCTATCGGCGGAACACATGAACTATTCGATATATCAGTTGTGACATGCATCATAAATGAGCATCGAAACTACAGTTATGCTTGGCTCGCCTCAGGCACAGAGATATATTGCAATTCAAGCCGAAGGCATACAAGTGGAAATGTCAGATGCACTTTGTTTCCATCGAGATGTAACGAATTGCGTCTCACGCGCTGTTACGACCTACCTTTATTTTTTATTATATTTACTTATTAGGTGTCATGGAATATTGTGTTTAACGTAGATGATAAGATGGAACTAATTCATGGATTATAAACGGGGGGGGATTCAGAGGTAATGTTTGTCAAGAGAGAGGGGAGCAGGAAACCGGGCCGGGCTTGCGGATCAACCGGAATTCCAAGGTCGACAAACGATGCCCGGGGCAAAGAGATGGCTGCATGGGCGCACCACTCCGGCTCTAGAAAAGCATTCCATGACCAAAAAAAAAAAAGGGCAGCAACATTTTCTGATAGAACTGTGAGCTCTGAGCTCCATATGCGTCTCAGTTAGATTCGCAGTGAGAGCTTGGCCACGAGGTAGCAGACTGCAGTGGAGCAGCGGATCTTTCGAGTCCGGTGTTCTGCTTCACAGACGCGTGACATCCAATGGGAGAAGGGGAATTCTGGTTCAAGCTCCGCCTCCTCCGTGCCGCCGTGGAACTATACAGCCACGTTGAATAGACAGTTGAATACGAAAGGTGCAACTGCGGGGCCCCCTGCGTTATTTGTGCGGCTGAGCGGTGGTTGGTGTTGGGGGTTTTTTCCGGTGGAGGCACTCACTACTGCTCATTTATGTATTCCTTGATATGTCGTCTTTCTTGGTGATACTTCACTCGGTTTCGGCTGGGCAAAACGGACTTCTTCTCGGGTCTGATGAGGAAGAAATCGTTCTCTTGGTCTTTCTGGTGTGGGATGCACAGAGGAACGAGGTGAGCCCTGTTTCGCTTCTGAGTAAACTGTACCTATTTACTTTTGCAAATCCAAGTTATCGCCCGTCCTTGACAGATGTGCTCCTTATCGATCCATTAACTTCCAAAGGTAATTATTACTTGCAAAATGCCCTGCGAAGAGCTTTTAATGAGAGTATTTCACGTCATTTAACTTTTGGTGTTTCGCTAAATCAGATTAGACCATGATCAGCAATGGTTTAGGCCTAAATGGGAACAGGTAATTCACCTTTATTTGCGATCTTTGTGTGCCAAGTGCCAATTTGCCGGGCATTCGGTGCGTTGCGTCAATTTTCTCAGGTCAGCGACACTGAACGAGAACTCCAAGGTTTAATAGTCATGAAAATGCCAGTATTTTGTAACCGGCATTTTATCCACTTGCTCGCCAATAGGTCCTTATTTTATTCATATTCTTACTTTTTGCTGCTGGATTCAATTTCAAACAAGCATTTTGGCATATGGACAATATCCCCACGTGTATGTATTGGCATGAATTGAGGAATACCAACCGGCAGACGGTGGTTTGAGGATGTCCATTGCGCAAATGACAGATATCTGGAGAGAGAAAAAAAAAAACTTTACGCAGCCGATTGCGTCGAAAGAAAGTGAATTCTCTCTTGCCTCATTGCTTATCATGTCTGACCCACCGAGTGAGTAGACAGAATCCTTGAGTCGACTGCTGGTCGTGTCCTTTAGGAAGGTGACCTTGCCTCCCCGAGGAAACCACCTACTTCGCATTCGCCATTCGAAGAACGGGTATTATTTTCCATCAGAAGACGACGAAGCATGAATTAGGGATATTTGCGTCGTTGTGAAATGGCTGGCTGAGAATTGTGCCATGTGAGGGACCGATGGGGAGGGCTTTGGCGAATGTGCCACGTGGCCCGTATCCCGTAGCCTTATCGACAACTAATAAATGCTCATACGAGGGAGAGGGAATCATAAAATGTACAGCTCCTGCTTTATCTTATCGTGAAGCTACCAGACTTGGTCAGTGCTGGAAGGGAAGCCGAGAATAAGGTGATGGCGAGAGCAAAATGCTGTCTTGCATGTGTTGACTCACTGGCTGGATATTGACCCCGTTCGAATTCAGCCCTAGGCTACTACGCATGCTTCCTTTCTCTAGCTCGCTACACCCGACTTACCTTGCCATCGAAGAAAAGCTCTTTTCTCTAACAAGTTTTCACGTCCCTTTTTTTTCCCCCCCTTCGTTTCTCTATCTCCTCCTCTCATTTCCTTCCCTTCGAGGGGCGGCCGATTAGACGGGAACATGGGAGGACAGAAACGAAACTAATTGTGGACGCGCACTCGTTGGATACGTGGCATTTAGGAAGTCAGTAGAGTCATGTCAGGTTTTCGAATGCACATTCAAGTTCAGAACCCATTTCTACTCACGTCTTTATTTTATTTCAAGTTCGTAATGGGTTGCAAACTGCTAACCCCGAGCCCGTATCCATTCTCTGTGCGCCCCCTTTGTCCAAGAAGACAATGCAGAAACCCCCTAGCAAAGATCCATTCTTTCTGGATAGGTTTGAACCTGTGGAACAAGGGCCACATTGAATGAAACCCCTCGAAGAGGTCTAGACGGCCAGAAACGGGTCTTCCTTCCAACGGGGACGACTCGGGAAACGCGCCTCCTCATCGAACCTAGTTAATATCTTGAGATCATTGGAAGCCATCCAATAATACTTGCACGTCGTACATTGAGGCTAACACCTCGGGATGTAGTTTTGACCAATTACACTTGCATTGTGGTTTTTACATCTGCATGATTGGCAGCAGTGACTATGCTTTGCTAGTCGATGTGAAATTTGCAAGCAGTATCGACGTTGAGTGATAACACTGACAAGGGACGATGTCTTCATGAAGCATGCTTGCTCCATCGAACACATTCTCCTGAACGTCTCCTTGTCCGGGAGTTCCGTGGTCGACGGAATGGAAAGCGATCAGAACAGACAAGACAGAGAAAGTGCAGACGAAGCCTTAGTCTGCAGGCAAAGAAAGAGGGGGGGGGGAGAGAGAGTCGGGAGACTTCAACGCCCGTATCATACGAATTCGATCTTACATTCCCTTCCCTCTCCGTTCACATGTACAAGATGTTCAAGAGACGGCATGAGTACGAAAATAATGAGCTCGGCCGGATCCTGACCCATGGGAGAAGTCCTATCCCGGAATGTCGTCGTGTCCTCTCGAGATATCTACGGTCTGCCCACTGAGACCTTACTCCCCTTACAATGCCTGCCCCGCTGCCGCAAGCGCCCTTCTCCCCCCCCCTTCCTCCTCCACAACACAGTGCCCACAGGCTGGCCTCGCTTCCTCCCTTCTCACTTGAAAATGGGAATGTGTGTGTGTGTGAGAAAGATATAATGGGCCATGCTTCGGCCCGCTTCCGTTTGCATGGGATAGGGATGCCATCTGCTTTCCCCACCTGTGCGAGTCCTAGCCTGGGTCATTAGAGTCTTTGAATATGAATACCCAAGTCCTTTTTTACGAAATCAAAACTGAAGCAGTGCCAGTAAAAAGAAATATTGCATGGCACTATCAATCAGCAGCGATGGCGATGAATGGCCTGTAGGTCTTCCAGCTCGTGATTCCCCAGTAATTGCCTTTCTTTCCTTTTACTGCATGCCTGTCCTGCAACTAAGAACGCTGAAGGCGACTCGGCGAAGGGGAGCGTTGCACTACCAAGTAGGCCTATATCGTATTTCTTTGGTCAGCTTCGAACGAGCAACCATGCGTAATTCTTCCGACTTCTAACAGAAAGCTAAAACTCATCCAGGAAATTTTTTTTTCTCACTCTTTCTACGGTCTGCTCCTCTTCCTTCGCCTCTGAAGCCTACACCCTTTCACCAAACAGACTATGATACTGATCTGGTCTCGGAGAGACCATAGCGTATATTACAGCGTGGTATTTTTTTGTTTTCTATTTTGAGTTATCTTTGCCTGGAACTAAAGATGAGTGACTTCTTGACGTCCCAAATTCGCATGGACTTGGTAGGAGGGAGGTCTGGGCTGATGTAACAAGTGGTTAAGTGGGACATTCATCATTCCTTCCAGTGCTGGACATTAAAATTCACCACTTGCTTCCATTGTGAACTGGATCTGTGACGACCAGGTTAACAAGAAGAGTTTTTGTATCCTGTTACGGGCAATCAGAATTTATTCGACCAGTCCGCGTCGCATCTCTTTTGTCTTCCGATTTCCTGGATGAGGTAATCGGCTGCGTGAGCTGTAGTATGCAAGTCCGCCTTCGATTCTGGTCCTCCGCAGGAACTGCGACTGGATAAATGGATCCGATGGTTTTTCTGTCAGTGAGTTGATGCGTGACGCGGGATCCTGTGAATGCGACGTGCGAAATGCCAGACACGGATCCAGGTGCTTTAGAGCGGAAAAAATGATGCCTGTTCTGTTAGCCGCGTAGAAAAACACCTTCATAGAGAAAGTTCCTAGTACTTCCTCCATTTCATCTCATCCTATATAAGTCATAATGAAGTAAAGCTAAATTTTAATTATTTACAAAAATTTTATTAGCGCTAATTTCTTTTGAGAATCAGTCGGGCGCAAAAAAAATCATGAAGTTCTGATGAGGCCATAGCATTGCGGTATAATAAATGCGGGGCACTTTATTTCCTTGACATTAACGTCTGTTTCCTTTCATACACCAGTGGGCAGCGAGGCCTTACGGTTACTTCATCGAGAATGCCTTGCTTCTAGAGAAGTATGGCCTAATTCACTGACTTACTGCCGGTGCTATTGTGCTTTACCGGCTGGCACACCCTCACTTGGGCGCATTGGAGCCCTTTAAACCTTAGATCTTGTGGATATCAAGCATCGAGATAGCAGACGAATCGAAAGATGGATATTTGAGTAGAGGAGGCGACGGCTGGCTGATGGCCTGTGTCACGACTAGACTGCCAACGTGTCCGGCTTCGATCTTTAGAAACAGGGCTGAAACTGAAGGAGGATTACGCCCGGGGCTATTTAGTGAAGGGAGGACCTGTCGACCCGAAACGTGCATCCTCGGTTCATTAATGAAGCGCGTTCCCTCAATCCGGTTTGACTACTTAGCCTATGTTCTATTCCTGACCGAAGAACGCTGTCTCGGCTGTACAAAAGGGCAGAGGTGGTATAGCCTCTCAAGATACCCCGGTCCCTTTTTTTCTCATTTCCTGGCATTGTTTATGCAATGATTGATTTTTTTTTTTCCCAGGCGGTTGCACTCAAGAGGTACCTTGTGAAGCCTCGAACTGCAGATATCAACGACAACGTATTATCAGAAGAATGCCGGAATGATTACGGGTTGAATGAAGAGAATATAAAGGATGGCGAGCTCCTGGAAACAGTTATAGAGCAGGTGAGACGTGTTTGTTCAGCCATATCTCGTAAATCCACGACTCTTCACTCTTCGCGGAAAAGGTCGATATCTCTTCTGCCCGTCGGTGTCGTAAATACGAAGAGAGGATCATGCTCATGTGATGTTTCAACGTGGAGATTCGATTTGGGGGTTGGGAAATGCCGTCTACGAGGGCATTCTCCACTATCGTATCAATGTCAAACGACTTTCTTGGCGACCGAGAAGCTAAATAGGGTAGGACTGTAGCTCTATCCTATTAAGGGAGTGGCAGACCATGGACGGGTGACTGTGGACTGAGACCCCAATGCTGTTGCCTAATCACCTCCGGTCGGTGGCCGCAGACGGAAATGCTCCAGTGCAGCTAGAGATTATATTATGTTCGTGCTCCCGACCAGAGAAAGAGTGAAAGAGCCATGCAACGTCCTACTGTATATAGAACGGAGAAGGCTACACACCCTTTTTGGGGCTCGGGTGGAACGTACCCGTTGCTCCCATTTTGTAGACAGGGTCCAGGCTTTCCTAGAATCCTCTTCCATGTGGTTTTTTTTTTTCATTCTTCCAGTTTGATGCCTGGGTTCGACAAGAGCTGAAGTCTGAAGACTTTACTCTGGTCACCGATGGCCAACTCCCCCTCCGTCAATGCCTCCATCCGGAGGCATGCAACAAGAACATCGACCTCCCTTCATACTATTTCTCATTCTTTGATCTCCGAAAGGAATTCAAGAACGGCTTCCAGGCGGAAGAAGTCCACAGCGTTGAAGAGATGCTGAGCTGTATCCTTTTGCTTTTCTTACTCTTTCCTTGATGCGTTTGTGCGAGTGTGTGAGGGGGTAGGCAGGGAATGCAGTGATTAATGTCAAGACTTTCTCGTTTCCCAGAGTAGTTCTTCGAGTGCATTGACTCAACATGGATGACTGCGTTTTCCGCTTGGAAGCACCATCAGGTGTTCCTCGTAGTCCTCACGGCTTATGGTAGACGGGCAGGGAGAGAGCGCCATGTAATTGCCTGCATGTGAAACCTTGGATGCAAATGCATTCGTTGATACAGGTGCAAAAACAGACACTGCCTTGCATCCCACATCCAATCAAGGGATATTATCTGGTTCCTTATTTATACAGCAGCCACCTGCATACTGCAATGTATGAGGTGGTCGAGGAAATGTAAGGCATCTAAGCGATAGGTGTGTCCGTGTTTCTTCTGCTTCTCTTCGTTCCTCTCATTGCAGTTCGTGTAAAGTAGGATTCGGACTCATGCAGGATTGTGCTGACGTCGCGGAAAAAATTCTGACCCCGTCATGGGGATGGGACACGTTCTCATTAGAGATCGAGAGAAAATTGCAGGGCTCTGGGATCCGCTAAGCTGTGCCATCCAGTCGTGACTCAGCCACATTTAAATCGAGGGGAGATTCGTCTTCCGTCACCCTCCTGTGCAGGTCTCTTGTAAAGGAAAGACTGAAGAGAATGATCTTCCCCACCCGGGGGAGCTTCTCAATTTTAGTCGAAGTTGTTACTCTTTTGAAGAGTTTGAGATTCACGCAAAAAGTATAGAGTAGCATTTTATATGACATGCTATTGAAAGGCAGCGCTTATCTAGGATTCAAATGATATGTAATACTGTCATCACGGAGGGGGATGACAGAGAAGGGAAAAGAGAACCGCAAATAAGGAAGCATTCTCAGGAAGAGTCCACCCTTCCTGTTTTCATTAAGGAACATGATCATCCTTAACTATTGTTTACAGTCCTGTGTTTAGAATCTGTCAAATCAACCAAGTCAGAAACCACCAGCGAAGACTTGGCATCCAGTGAGGCCAGAGATATGGCTGCTGTCGTCCAAAGACTACTCGAAGCAGGTGAGCCTCCTGCATTCATGGTTCAGTGAGAAAGGAAAATTCTTTTATGAAGCATGATGCTTTGCAGGTCTGAAATCCTTCCCTGGAACTCTGTTTCACAGATACAAATGGGGGGGGGGGGGGGTGGCGAGTGAAAGTTCGTGTGGATTTTCTCTCACGTCTCGTGATCAGGAGACGTGTGATTGTGGCAATGATGATCAATCCTGAGCGTATAATTTCTTCCCGTTCGAAATTTGTGACATGGTTTCATTGAGTTTCCTTTCCCTCGGAGTGAGTAGGAGGTTGACCATAAAATGACCCGTTTGCTTGATCGATGCATGAGACAAGTAGTTGAACAAGTTCTTACGTCACTTGTCACCGTCTTTGATCTTGTCTGGCCGCATTTGAGCTCTAGAAAAAGAGATGCTGGAGATTCAGAGATCCTTCAAGGACAGCCTTCCACCTATATAAGCATGCATTGCCTACCTCTGTCTCGTATTCTCTCCCCAACCAATGCATACAGAGCCGCGAATGCGCAAACCTCCTTAAGGGAAATAAAGGGGCCTTTAATCTAAAGAGCTCTTTTTCTCCCGTAGGAGTCCATGTATTCATATTTCACCATTCGGACCTACGTATTGATAGTTCTGTCTTTCTCGGTTTACCTATTTAAAACAACGTTGCGGACTTAATATTCTTCATGTTTCAGGCCACAAGTTTGAAGGGCCGGAGTCCGTGCAATCTCGACTGGAACCTGGTATTTGGTAAGTGCCTGTATACCGTCACGATTTTGCCTGAAGTCAGAACTTAATTTTATTGACGCACTTCATGGCAGTTAAACAGAGGTGAATGATGGAAGAATTATAGATCGAGGAAGTCGTGGGAAAGGATCCTAGTAATGCTTGCTTTCTCGTCTCAGTAACCCTAGCACATCAGTACCGGTATTCATCCTTTTAACACAGAGGCATTCGGCAAAAGAAAAGGATAACAATAGAGAGAAGAGAAATATTGCTGAAATAAAACTTGTAGACATGATACATTCTTCACGTAGGTATGCTTTCCATTGGAATCTGAAATGATGCCGACAATGGAGGCTGAACGTGGGGCTGAGAGGGGCAAAGCATAAACGCGAGAATCACAGGTAGATGTATAGACAGATAGAGAAAAGTCTGGTCCTCACCCCACGGGCGTTTCCCCTCCCATGCCCCGTTCCATAATCGTGATATCCGGTCTTTGGCCTTAGCCCTCGGCTGGTTATCAGCGACGTACTTTCGTGCATAGCCTCGATCCCAGATTGAAACGCTACCTGTACACCCCGATGCGTTGTACCGGTATTTCATCTTCCGCCATGGCTATATTTTGGACGGTTACGATGGGTCAAATATCCGGTACTTGATTGATCGCTTCCTTTCTATTCCGTTCACTATCTCTGTCGTTGGGCGAGATTGGTCAGGATTTTCTGGTTTTATTTTTCCTCTTTTATTTTCTCTATCCTGAGACTAATTTGTTTGGTTTCAGCGCCAAGTCCGAGGTGGTTGACAGTAACTGCGTTGTGAGGGCAAGGGGCTTACCCTGGCAGTCTTCCGACCAGGATATTGCCAGGTTTTTCAGGGGACTCAATGTTGCCAAGTGAGTTTATCTCCATTGCTTCGCGACTACTTCCTTATATACTATACATACAGCATAAATTCAATGCATGATCAACAAGCGCCTGGATGATTAGTTTGGAAAGAAAGGGGTGGGGGGAAGTTGAAAAGACAGAAGTTTGAGGTCTCCAGAAAGTGTCTCCGTTCTCTAAAGATTCGCTGTAGTGCATCCAGAGAAAGAAGTAAATCGTCTGGTGCGTGAGTGCGGGATGCATAGTAGTAGTAGTTAATGCGAGCATTTACTGTGTGATGGCAGAGGAGGAGTGGCTCTGTGCTTGAGCTCTCAAGGGAGGCGGAACGGAGAAGCCCTGGTCCGTTTTGAGTCTCAGGAGCATCGTGACCTGGCGCTCAAGAGGCATAAGCACCATATGGGATCTCGCTACATCGAAGTCTACCGCGCCTCGGGCGAAGACTTCGTCAACGTGGCCGGCGGTACGTTTCCATTATCCCCTCGAGGCCTCCAACCACAGGCTGGTGGATCGCGTTCCCCATCACGGCTTCAATGGAGCCGTTTATGAGTTCGGGTGAAAGGGATCATTCCCGGGGGGGAGGGGGAATGGATAAAAAGTGGACTCTGCAGACGTCATCTATCATGAGAGGTTCTCATAATTACTTTGATATCCTTGAGAAAATCTCGAAAACTTTGAATGAAAGCCCGAGACGTCGTCGATAGCCGTGTGGGGGGGGGGGGGGAATACGAGGGCGGTAGAGATAACTTCTTGGAATGGACGAGCAGGTACATAGACGTCGACATGCTCGAGATAAAAAGTAGCTCTTTGGTCAGCGTGAAGACTTAATGGATAGTGAGTTATGGGATAGGTGTAAAGAATTTCGCACGGCTCATTGGTCAAGCATCGTTACGTGTGGATCTCCCGTAAAGTCTGGCTTTCACACTTGAGTTCACTCTGCTAGTCTCGCAATCACTTCCCTGGAAGAAGCATGTGGGAATTTCGGGTTTCACTCATTTTCCCCCTCCGACTGGCCATCAAGCCGAAGAATTTCATGAAAAATTGACTTCCTGTCCTGAGGCTCCTCCCAGTTGATGGGCTTTCGGTAAGGATTCTCCAGTTAGGAAAGGAGATCCGAGAGATCAAGTTTTAGAGGCTATCTTAACAGGTACAAGTTAGATGTTTAGGGGTGAAGGAAAGCAAATTACAGTAGAAAGGGTGCATCTGAAAATCTTATATTCCCTGTAATAGGAAAAATGGGAGCACCTTCGTTGCCTGATAGCTTTTCCCTTTAAACTGTAAAGTACGATACTGTCTCATTTGCCCATGAGCTCGTTTACCTGTGAAAAGAAAATGTCTCCATCGTGTCTTCCTGAAAAAGAGGGACCAAAGCCAGAAACACCGTGTTTTCACTTCTTTTAAATTTATTCGAGATGCTCGCCGTGCTTGAAAGTTGGAAGCGAGAATGAACCTGTGAGGGAATAAAAATTAGGAACTAGGCTTTGAACAGCTGCGAAACTCTTGCATTTTCAGCAAATTTCTACTTATTTCACGGGCCTACAGAGTTTCGATAATATTGACTAGGATTGGTTCGAGTCACTTGATATGGAGCTCTTGAATAGGATCAAATGTGAAAGTACGAAGTAGTATCTCCTACGCCGGCTCAGACAATGACTGTCTATTTCTCTTGACTTGGGGTGCTAAGATCTTTCTTTTGCGGTCACACTTGATGAATGCCTTCTGTACACCCCTCAATGACGTGCTAAATTTCTCCCTATTCTGCTATCTTATTAATATGGAAGAGGCTTGTTCCGATGATTGCCGCCTCCTTCTTCAACTTAATGCCACCCCATTATCCACCAAATATCAGATAGGAGAAAAATCATTTTTGTAAAATGGTCCCAACATAGCCAACTTCAGGTGCACTCTAGCTGTTTAATTTTTTAATTTAGTATGGTAAGTCCTGTTGGTTACTGGACATATCTTTCATTGTGCCCCGCTTTCAACTGCAGGAAGTAACAATGAAGCTCAAGCCTTCTTGTCGCGCAGCGGACAGGTGATAGTTAGGATGCGAGGTCTTCCATACGACTGCACTCCCAAACAAGTGGTAAGTGTCCTCTGTCCGATGCGTTCATTAGAGGTCTTTTAACTAGCCACCCGATGATGGTGATACTCGCACCCTTACAGGTGGAGTTCTTCGCATCAGGTGAGCACCCCTGTGATGTGATGGACGGGGAAGACGGAGTGTTGTTTGTGAAGAAAACAGACGGTCGAGCAACAGGTGATGCTTTCGTGATGTTTGCCACGGAAGATAATGGTGCCCAAGCCCTAGCCAAGCATCGTGAATCCATTGGATCTCGATACATCGAACTTTTCCGCTCCACTACTGCCGAAGTTCAACAGGTAAGGAGCCGTTTCACTTCTCCATCGATGCGGAAATCTCGTGTTTCCTGATGTTCGCGGTTTCGCCTGGCAGATATTGAACCGGCCCATCGAAAGTCGCCCTCTAGAAGCTCCAGGTGGCGGTGTGGCGACGTCGAGTGCGAGTCCCTTAGTGCCACATTTGGCACCTTTACCACTCATTCCGCAACAGATCATCACGTCGGGTACAAGGAAGGATTGTGTGCGCCTCCGTGGACTTCCTTATGAAGCTCAAGTGGAGCATATCCTGGACTTCTTGGGTGAACATGCTAAGCACATTGTGTACAGGGGAGTACACATGGTTTATAATGCCCAGGTTCGAATCGGCTTTTTTCTCGAAAGGCTCCCGTCACATGAGGCCTTTGAGTTCACCAGCAGCCATCTCATAAATATAATTAAACCTGTCTCTTCGCAGCGCCAGCCGAGCGGTGAGGCTTTCATCCAGATGGACAGTGAACAAAGTGCCTATGTGGCTGCCACTGCAAAACATCATAAAAACATGACGTTCGGGAAGAAGCAGAGGTACATTGAAGTCTTCCAGTGTTCAGGACAAGATATGCAACTAGTGTTAACTGGAGGACTGCCAGCAGCCGCACCGAGCACTTCCCCGACGGCAGCAGCCGCGTCTCCTCTCCTTCCGGCAACTGGTATGTTGTTCTCTTCACCAGCACATAGTACAGGAGTCGGAAGTGGTGGGACGATAGCTACCACTGCACCCACTCCATCCCCACTTTTTTTGGCTGCCACACCTCGAGCACCTGTCCCAAGTCTTCCCACTTCTTCAACTTTGGCTGCCGCTTTTGCTCCTCAGTCCCACCTTCCTCCTTTGACCCATCTAATCCGTTCACCTATGCTCCAGTTCCCGAATGTATCAGCAGCGGCAGCAGCAGCAGCAGCAGCAGCTGCTGCTGCTGCTGCTTTCTCAGCTGCAGGCGGCAAGAGGTCCTTTGAGCAGGCTTTCCCAAACGGCGCTCACTTCCAGCATCCCCTCACGAAGCGACCTTTGTTCCCGACCCTGAATCCTTTCTTCCCTACCCTATTCCCATCCATCCATCTCAATTGATCCTCTTCGTTTGTCGATGTCTGCACATTCCTGTTATAGTAGTGATACTTTTCAGTTCCATGACGAGAATTGTAGAGGCTCAGGTGTTGTATTTATTATTAATTTTGTGGGTTTTTTTCTTATATATATTAAATAATAAGGCTCTGCTCCCAGTAAATCGTGAAAGTAGGGACCAAGAGCATTACGCTTTGTATTTTTTTTTAAGGATTTAGTGAGATGTAATAGACATATTTTGTTGAGAAAAATTACATGTGTTATGTTTTGTAGAGAAATCAAATATGAAAAGTTTCCCAATATCTTGTACAGAATTGAACATTTTAATTTGAAGGATCTGAATTTTTGAGGCTTGTTTCTGCCCGTCTTTGTACTGCAAAAAGTTTTCATATCACGAGTTTTTCTATGGCAACTTGACGACAGAAATATGAGATTATTTTCAAAGGTTATAAGGGTTGCCATTATGGAGAGTCTATCCATCTTCCGTTTTGCAACTGTGATAGTGCTTGTGTCCACCAATTCCTTTTCTTTGTGGTCATCCGTCAGGCTGTCTCAGTCACTCGGAGATTGGGTTTCCTTTATAACCTTCCATTCGTTTCATCCTTTAACCCCGGGGTGATAGAGGCAATATGTCGGTGTGTTCACCCCCTTTTGCCTTTTTTGTACATTGGTTGTGTGGTGATCGCCAATAAATACTCTCACAGTATCGGTGGTTTTTTAGTCTTGTGGTGGTTGTGTGTGTGAGAGCATCTCTCTGGGAGCTTCTTGACTGGTATATGAAAGAATTTTTAAAAAAGATCACATGTCCCTCTTCCTCTCTGGTGACGGTCACTTTCGTCTGGCAAATGGGTCGTGTTTTTTTCTCCATGGAAGTTTCGCACTGCAGTCTTTGGGAATTGATATTTTTTTTGCACTTCCTGGACATCGTGCTTGGACTTGGTCTCCCAATGTATACCTAGTCGGTAGAATGCCGTAATCACATATGATGCCTGTCGACTGGCTGGCTTGCTCTCTGTGGAATCTTTGACCCTACTCGCTATTATGTCTGTGGGGACTGTACTGCATCTTCTACTCTGCAACCGACATGGCAATGGGCGACGGGGCATTTCATTTTTGGGAGAGGCAACATCAGCAAACATGTTGAAAAACGTATGAAAGAAATACCCATGAATAAACCGACAAACCCTGTGTCTCTCCCCGTTTGACCTATGTGTCACATGTAGCCGGGGGGTTGATCCCACACCCGTTCCCATACATGACAGCACCGACGACCCCGCTGATCCCAACACCGTTGACGGCTCGTCCGGCCTATGCCTACACGCCGACCGTCCTCTACTGGTCTCTTCCGAGTCCTCCTGTCAGTCCGACGGCTTACTATGGACCTACGGCGCCTCCAACGGGAACTTCCGCCTTGGTGAGTCTCCAAACATCCTAAGGGAGGCGGTCCCATCGTCATGCTGTCCTTCCGTTTGTATTCCGCCGGATATTACACGATTCTGCATCATGTATTACCATTAGAGAGCTATATCCTGCTGTCAGCGTTACATCACAGTCTTTAGCCGTGCCAATGTGTTTGTTTTCGCGTTGCAAGAGTGGAATCACGTGAAGTTTTCATGGGATCTGTTGTAGATTAGTCCCGGTGGAAACGAGGACAGCGAATTTCTTGAAAAGACTGCGAAATATTCTCTATATGGCATGCGTGTAGAACTATTTATGGCCTCTTAGGAAAAGAGAAGACGCTGACCAGTTTTCCAACAAATCTCATCGTTTGGCACAAATTTGTTTTACTTTATGTTTGTGTATGTTCCAGGAAGAAAAAAAAGATTTTATATCAGATTTAGGTATATTGCAAGGATAATGGCAACAAAGATCACAACAGTCTTCCATGAATTCGTGTTGTTATGAGTGTTGCAGAGAAAAACGTTGGCTGTGATGTTTATCGTTCATCTGACGATGAAAGCTTTCATTTTTACCTTGGATTGAGTGTGATGTGTAAATTATTTTCGGAGATCATGCTGAAGACCAGGTGGACGTATCGCGTGAAGCACGTTTTACTGTATTCCCGTCGGTGTCTTTGAGAAATGTGATAGATACGCTTGCAAATTTTCTCCATCTGCTGATTTTTTTCCCTGGTGTTCTTGTTGCAAGTTGTGGCCTCGATCTTCCCATTCTTATTGAAGATTCGTGCATACTACAGGAATGCAAAGTCCTTCCCATGAATGCTGAACGAAGATTTTTTTCCCCCTGACAAATTATTCTGTACATGAAATATTGAAATGAGAATTCTCTGAAGATCACATTGATCACTGCAAATCAGTTCGCTGGGAATTCCTCGCCTGAGATTCGCGAGTAGGGTTAATTCCTAGCATGAAAGCTTTCCCTGATGAGAAAAATATAGATCCCGGTTGTGCTTCTCTGGCTTTTGGTATGGCTTGTGATTCAGGAGTACAGTAAATCCTGGTCTTGTCCCGTTATTTTTTTTTGTTAGCTGGTCGAGGGATTGCTCTGGTCCCTTGCCGACTACCACCGTCGGTCTTCAATTCACCGAAGAGAAATCTCGAAAAATCCCCATTCAGCATTGACACTTGGGAAAGACTTGAGAATTGTATCTGTACGATTCTACTTCTAGAGAATATTGAGACACTTTTCCTTATTCCAAAATAAACTTCTTTGAAACGGATATATGACTTCATTTCCCACTTCATGACTCCCTCATTCATGGACTGCGACTGATTTTCTTGATTCTCCGGAGTGGAAAAAAAGGAACTCTTCAGCACCGTTATGGTCACGGTGTGCCCAATTGGGACATACCAATAAATCCGGTTTTTATCGGTTGGCGACACTCAACGTTCGCGAGACTCTTGGAATGCGGCACAGGAACCACTCCGGTAGAGAAACCAAATGGTAATTATGCTAACATAATGGCCGCATTTAGTAGACTGACCATACAAATTTTCGTGACTGAAATGATTTCGGTACGATATTCATCGGTTCCCTCCACTACTTGCTGCAGGATCATTCTCAGTGCTAAGTTATTTCAGTTAAATTCGCGTTTGGATTTAACTACACGTAGCACGATATGCTCCTCGTGTGTCTTGAAGGATGACCTCAAAGTAGTTATCAGTTTGGTTTTTTTTCATGCAATCTTGGGCTAATTGGGCATAAAGTCGGTAGGTAGGAAACTCTTTGGCTGCGATTAGTAGAGTCAGGAAGCCCTAATCGGATTTGTATTGTGTAATATTGGTTCAATGCGGCATCCGGGGTCTCGGATGTTAAGTGAACCGGGGACAGAATCGGTCTGGTGAAGGTAGAGTGAGAGGAAATGGAACATTCTTACCATGAACCTCGGTATCATCTGGTCCTTCAACCGTCGCCTTTTTCTTTCACTTTTATCGCCTATTTCTCTCCGAGAACAACTATCGAAACGACCAAAGTCTCCATCTAATTCGTTTTTCTGCCGTCACGACTGGGTGATTTCCTTCAGTGGATCATTTGACACGTGAAAGAGACACCAAAGGTAATTTTCCGGCTCCATCCAAAGTCGAGGTATCCGAATTCGACCTCATATGCTCATGAACTTTTTGAAAAGATGTTGCGTGGAAATCGTTTTTACCTTCTGCGTTATTCGGCCGAACAACGAAGGGCCATACGCAGCATGGGTTCGGTGAGTCGAGGCTTCTTTGCATTGAATCTAGCTTGGTCGCGGAGACCCCCCAACACTCGCCGTGGACGCCTGAGGATGAGATCTCGTCCTGTCTTCGATTGACATAAGGAGTTCATCGTCATCGTGAAGACGTCGTGTACCTCAGGGTACTGGCGTCGAGCCACCTTCACACTCCGCGAGACTTTGTACAAACAAACGAAAATGGCACCCGGAAACTCGAGATTGGGCATTTGTGATCCATGACGGAAGGTCACGAGACGCAGAGGCGTTGAGATTCGAGTCGAGATTAGAGTGCACGAGGGATGGCTTTCGCCACGGAGTCCATCTACCCATCTTTCCCCTTGGCGGCGTTCGTACGCATGAATGAACAAATAAAACTACTTATCGCAGGTATGGCTCCGATTTTCTGAGGCTAAAGAACTCTCGACACCTGCATGAAATTTTCGGAGACTCCAGGTGTGCCTACGCCACGTTTAATATCCTGTCACGCCCTACGGATTTTGCTGGCCTCGCGTGGCTGAAGGGCAAATACTTTCTCTCTCCCCTCCCCAGACGACGTAAATGAACGAACCTAGACAAACCTCGCATTTGGAAGGTAAAATGAGGACCAAATTAATCCTATGCATTTCTCCGGGGTGTCCAATGTGTAGTCCTGTTTCCAGCTGAGCGATTCCGAGATCCCAAGATTAGCATCTCCGAAACTCGATCGAGAAAGTATCTTCAAGGAAACAAGATGGCGAACTATGCGAAAGAGCCCAGCAGGCATAGCGAGACAAAGTGCTCCATGTTTTCCAAATATGCTTTCTTCAAACAGTTTATCTCTCACGAATGCTAATGCCACGTCGACAGGTGTTTTTCGTAGCAGGCCGACCCGAAAGGACGTTAAAAATACGCTGTCATCCCCCCTCACGCCTCCCTGTAAGGGTTTCCTGCCTGGAATCTCATAAATAATTTTCTTAGCTGTAATGACCGGTATTAATGAAAAGGTGGGATGACGAGAAGGAAGGCAGGTAGGCCCACCTGGGATGCGCGGAGACGAGTATCATACAAGTGGCCGCCAGATGGCGGGGTATGACAGGGAAGTTTTTTTCGCCGTGTCCGACAAGTATGGCGGAGATCGTTCGGTTCGAGCCGCCCCATTGCTACCTCACCTTCCTTATCTCCCATACTAAGAAATCCGACTCCAATGGTTCTGTGAATAGGCCAAGGTGTAGATGTTTTTGGTCCAAACTTCCTTTTGTGGCAAGGCCAGGTATCTGTAACTCCAGGATTTATATAAGGCTCAACTAAAGGCCTAGTTTGCTGTTGGCAATCTCTTTGCTGTTGCCCGGCACCTTCCTCGGCAGTGATCGGTCTTTCTACTGTTTTTTTAATTATTACTTTAATCAGACATTTTATCATTTAACTTCAACACTCATGCACGAGTGTCCAAGTCTAGTGAAACAGTGTCTGACTCAAATGAAAAACACAAGGTTAGAGCTTCACTCAAAGTTTTGCTGTCTTCCAGATTCCTGCGGTAAAGAACTTCAGATGTATTCCAGGGGAGGTATAACTGGCCCATGGGTATATCATTATCAACTGCTCCATATGACTCCATATTGCTGCCAGATAGGGTTGCCACCCATTCATAATTAGTATGGACAGTTCATATTTCAGATGCAATGTCCATACTGTAAACTTGTCTTAATATGGACACTACTTCATCCATACTTAAGATTTTTTAGTTAATAAAACTTAATAACAGCAAAAACCATTGTTTTCTTCGAGCCAGAGTAGTATGCCACACTCTTATAGCATCAATTGGTACTTTGGCTAAAGGTGACTAGGTATTTGCTGTAGAACCACAAATGCAAGTATACTTCATATATTTGTCCATATTTTGCTAATTTCAAAGGTGGCAACCCTACTGCCAGAAGAAAGATAAGGTGCATGGGAGGCAAAGTCAGGCTTAAATGTGCCTAAGGTAGATAAGTTGAAACCAGAAAATTTGGTTCAATTAAGGTGGGATTGCAATTGATGAAAATAATAGATAACCTCCTCAGAAGAGTTTAAATTCCAATTGTAGTTTATGATCATAGTCAATACAATTTTCCATGAAGATCATGATGTATACATAAGATACTGTACTTAATGGCAACTATGTAACCAGATAGCAATCCATCCGTTTCTGGTGGAGACAAGCACAAGAGAGCCACAATACACAATGAGGAGCATGATGGAATAAAAAACAATGAAGCAAAGTAATAGTGCTGGAAAAAGCACCATTACAATATATTTGGATTGATTTTGTACATCCCCATAGGAGTACTTCCATCTTTTGCAGGTAGTGGCACCTCTCAGATGGTTGGTTTCTTTAGTCATTTCTCCTATTACTGTTACTTAAGGGGTATGAATTCAATCTAAAAATTATGTACAATATGACCACCATTCAGATCTGCCGATGGTACACTTGCATGGACTGATGTGAAATAGTAACAAATATCTTCAGAGGAAATGCATCCACTATCTGCTGTATCCACAAACTTGAGATCTGAGAGCATTACACAGCTATCACAGTATACATGCATCGTCATGAAGCCCCATAACCAATAATCATTTTGATTGAGATTAGGGGATCTTGATGGGCTGCAATATAGTGGCATGATTTTGGGAGCTACACTGCACCCATTACTAATACAAACTTAATTGTTCCTCTAAATATTGTTGACCTAGGGTTAGGTCTGGGCAAGGCCTGACATACTGGGTGTTGACAAGTGATGCAATTATTAATTCAGTCCAGGCATCAAGGCATATATGTGGATGTCAGAGGCCAGAAACTTAAACCATTGCTTCTTGGAGATGTAACATTGAAAAAAATATTGATATTAAGCCTGTCAAATGACTTTTTTAATGCTTTTATAGGAATCAGTGCAGTTCTGTGAGGGATGATTTTATAATGCTCTGCAGTGCTGAAGTATTGCGGTGTTGATAAGGATCATATTGGATCATCTATCATATGAAATAAGGTTGTTCTCGGTGTTAGTGACTAATGTCAGCCATCAAGCAAGTCTTCAATGAAGCTGTTGAAAGAGGTAAGGACCCAAATTAAGCAGGTAATATTTTTGTGGGTATTTAAGTGGATAAGCTTTTTGCCACCATCCTTGCTATAACAAAAAAGTGGAATAATAACTAAACTTTAAGTATGTTTCTACAACGCTATGATGATTTTTAATGCAAGTTTTAATGACTCATTTACTATATAGATGCTAGTGGTACTTTTACCTTAGTTACTCATGACTTCCTGGAAAACTTCATTTTCTCTTGTTGCTCATTTGGTAGTCAAGTCACCTACTCCAGTTCGACTGCGAGACCTCGTCCGGAATATCCGTGCAGCCAGGACAGCTGCAGAAGAACGGGCAGTTGTGAACAAGGAGTGTGCTTACATTCGGTCCACTTTCAAAGAAGAAGATTCTATATGGAGATGCCGAAATTTGGCCAAACTGCTCTACATCCACATGCTAGGGTTTGTCACCTCTGACTGCATTGGATTTTCATATACAGAATTAATTGGATTTGATATTATTTTGCATGTCTCTTTTATCTTGTAAAACTGTAATTTCTTGGTTTGGTATAATTTTCCTCTAGCTATCCAGCTCATTTTGGGCAGTTGGAGTGCCTGAAGCTGATAGCATCACCACGTTTCACAGACAAGCGCATTGGGTATTTGGGTGCCATGTTGCTTCTAGATGAAAGGACAGATGTCCATTTGTTGATCACCAATTCCTTGAAGAAGTGAGTTTCCTTTTGCTCGTGTCAGTAAGCAAAATGAAAGTTTGCCTTTGCAGGAATCCAATAAGGTGCAGCACCTCTTTTGTCCTTCCAGTGACTTGAACAGTTCAGTGCAGTTCATTGTGGGTCTTGCACTTTGTACATTGGGAGCAATTGCATCACCAGAGATGTCAAGAGACTTGGCACCTGAAGTGGAGAAACTCCTCAAGTCTTCAAATGCTTATATAAAGAAAAAGGCTGCTCTATGTGCATTTCGCATCATCAGCAAAGTCCCAGATCTCATGGAGATCTTCATTCCTGCCACTCGTTCTCTACTATCAGAAAAGAATCATGGTTTGTTACAAATCTACATTCATTATCCTTCTAGAATGGTTTATTTATTTATGAGATGTCTTCTTTATTATGTACATGTAGGTGTCCTCATCACGGGTGTGATACTGGTGACTGAGATGTGTGAGAAAAGTCCAGATACGCTTCAGCACTTCAAGCGGGTATGCTAATTATATGATGCTCACCTATGTAGCTTTAGAATGATCTCTTTCATTCTTCATCCACAAGCATGTCAAAGTAAATGCATGATGGGTTCTTTAATGGGTTGGTAAAATTTGCTTTGTTAAATTTCAAAGGTATGAAGAATGCATATAGGTGAGACAAAAGTATTTCCCTTTACAGACTGGTGGGAAGGTGGGTTCAGATGACATGGTGGTGAGTCCTCAGTGAATGGAGGAACCCTGTTCGGGGTTCATTGCAATGCTGTTCTGCCAGTTTTGCAGACAAAATAGTTTTTCATTATTATTATGCATTTTTGGCTCAGTTGCAAACACATGCCTTGTGAATGCTTTCATTCTTGAGTTTGCATGGTTTGAGCTAAAATGTTGTAGAACCTAGGCAAGTTGAACAGGACCTATAGTGACTTATTTGAGTTTCCTGTTTCAAAAATACATTTCTGTTCTAATATCCAATGAAGGAGGAGTTGAACTATAAGTACAAACACTGCTTGGAAAACCCATTGCAAATTATTGGCTCAGAAAATGTTGATGCAGAAAATGGTAGGTACACTTCATTAGACCCTGTCTGTTCGCTCCATTTGCTTGGGGAACTGTATGTATTGGCCTTGCATGTATCTCAGGTGTGTAAACTTGTTCCTGTCTTCTTTTAGTTGGTTCCAAACCTGGTGAGAATCTTGAAGAACCTCATAATGTCTGGTTACTCTCCAGAGCACGATGTTTCCGGTGTCAGTGACCCTTTCCTTCAGGTGAGATGGGTTTCCTTTGACTGATGACACAACTCCACAAGTTATAGGGCTGTTGCTGGAAATATCACATGTCTTTCCAATTGTCTTTTTTTCCACTCAGGTCAAAATTCTTAGACTATTGCGACTCCTGGGTCACAATGATGCAGAATCTAGTGAAGCCATGAACGACATCCTGGCTCAGGTTGCAACAAATACAGAGCAGAGCAAGAATGTAGGATATTCAATTCTCTATGAGACTGTGATGACCATCATGCACATCCAGTCTGAGAGTGGACTTCGGGTGAGAGAGCTATTAAGGATCATGTGATGTAAAATTAATATGTGGGTGATACAAATGAGCATTTCACACCTTGTTAGGTCCTGGCCATAAACATTTTGGGGAGGTTCCTACTGAAGGATGACAAGAACATACGTTATGTAGCCCTCAACACACTGCTCAAGTGTGTTCATCATGACAACTATGCTGTTCAGAGGCATCGGGGGACAATTCTTGAATGCCTTAAGGTTTATACTCCCCTTTTACTGTTTTGCATTGCTCTTTGACTGATGCTAACTGGTATTGTTTGGAAATAGGATCCAGACATTTCTATTCGTCGGAGAGCAATGGAATTGTGCTTTGCTCTCCTCAATGCAAGCAATATCAGAAGCATGGTGAAGGAGCTGCTGACCTTCCTGGAAGCAGCAGATCCAGATTTCAAGGGTCCCTGCTCCTCCAATATTGTGTTGGCTGCAGAGAAATATGCCCCTGACAAGCAGTGGCTCATCAATACGCTTCTTCGAGTACTGGGTGCTGTGAGTATGAGAACCTGGATGTTGCATAGCTGTGTATTACTTTTATTGATGATGTAGGGTTATGATAATAGCAAGTGCATTGGTAAAGTATGCTGCTATCACTTTTCTACTGTTCTGATTGAGATCATTGTGGTGCTGCCAGCACAAAACTGTTATGATATCCAAATCTACTTGGAAAAATGGATTTACTAGTACCAACTTAGATGCATCCCTAGTGGTAAATGAAACTGGATCCAGTCTGGTTTTCAACTAAAATTTTTTATTTGGATAGAGAATGATTTTAACTATTTCCTTCTGGAGTCCATCTATGGAAACAGCTGAAAACAACTAATAAAACTAGCTGCTTCTCAACTAGAATTTTAAACTGGAAGTTGGCCTATTTGTTGCCAGAAAGTGAAGAGGTGCAGAAGATTAGTTTCCTGTTGTAATCAAGGGATGGGCTTTATTTGTTGTGCTGGCCAATGCTATCTGTAATCTGAGAAAGTAACCTGGGAGTAGAAGTATAGACCATTGGGTAGCATTGATACAGTGAAATGGATTTATTGTGAAGCTGGTGCAAGATGATTTGATCATTCAAAAAGCTAGTTTCTGTGTGTGAGATAAGCCAACATAAACTAGTTGAAGCTGGAAGGTATTGAGTTAGCCTTGTTGTGTACTTGTCTTAATTTGATGTGGATCATCCTGTTTCTAGGCAGGGAATAATATTCGAGATGATGTGATAGCCATCACGATCCAGTTAATTAGTGAGAACTCTGACCATCAGATGTATGTGGTAAAGAACTTATGGCTTGCCATGAGCAATTATTCTGAGCAAGAACCCCTTGTTCAAGTTTCATTATGGTGCTTTGGAGAATATGCAGAGAATGTCCTTGCTCCTTCTGATGATACACAAGAGCAGGTAAAGTAAAACTTGATGATGACTGTATTGTTGAAGTAACTGAAGTCACAAGTTTAATCTTTGATCTCATTGTATTTTATTAGGTGACAGAAGAAGAACTGTTGACCTTCTACCAAAGGATTCTGTTTGGTCAGTATAGCATAGCCACAAAAGAGTACGCTTTGAATTCCCTCATGAAACTGAGTGCAAGATGCAGCCTTACAAATATCAAGTAAGTGATTTTCTAGATTTTTAAAATGCTTTTTTATGCTATACATTTCCACCAGGACTTAATTTTTTTTCTACTTAGCTTGCACTCTTCCAGTTATGATTTGTAGCCTGAGAGTTTTGAGTGGACTAGGTACTTCATTCCTGATAATGAACATATGAGATTTCATGTTCCTTAGAATGTTAATATAGATGTGAGTATTGTCTCCTCTATTTTCAAAAATTATCAAGGAAAGGCCAATTTGGCTCCTGTCAGCTATGAATGATTAAGCTTATTGATATATAGGGCCTGCCTCAAGAATGAGATATATTTCAAAGTGTTTTAACTTCTTTCATTTCTTGATTGATTTGAACAAAACAAGACTCAAGATGTTTGATGTAAATATAATGACACTCAAATGACTCTAGTGGAACTTTGGATAATATAGGCAACATGCTTGATATGTCTGCACAACTCTCAGATCCTGACCTTGAAGTTATAGATCACATGTCATCAGGTGTCATGTGCAACCTCATGAATTACTTATATGATGGCCATCTTGAGGCTGATGCAGGTTATTGGTCTGTCCTCACAGTGTCCCCACAAAAAATAATCCAGTGGGATTGAGATCTTGTAAATCAGGAGCCCACTTCAAATCCATCTCCATTCACTTGATATCAACCCCTTGGATAATTTTCTTTGTTTCATTCGTTAGATTCTCATTATATTTACATGAAAATGTCAAGAGAATTGTCTTGCTTTTTGTTCTATTCAATCAGGAAATGCATAAATTATAGCACCTTGAAATATCTTTTACTTTTGGCAGACCTTGCGTACAAGATTATGTAGAGGAAATGTTCAATTCTGTGTGTTTCAGCAAAGTCAAGGAACTGATGAGCTCATTTGCTTGCCACATGCATATTGAGCTGCAGCAGCGAGGTGTGGAATTCTCTCAGTTGTTCCGCTTTCATGATCACCTCCGTGGTCCCCTCTTTGAGAAAATCCCTATCCTTGAGAAATCTACTTCTTCCACACGGGAAACTAGCAGCCCAGTTACAGAGAAGGCGTCAGAGGAAGTCTCCTTACCAATACAAATTGAATCTGTATGGAAAAAGCAGAATTTTTGTAGCCTTTTTTACAGGGTGGAAAATTAGCATGAATTGTTGATAAATGAGATTAATTTATTGTAGAATGCCTTGCTGGATTTGATGGGAGGTATGGAAACGGGCCATGAGGACATAGTACTCCCAAAGCCAAAGGCAACTATCCCTACAATTAACTCTAAACCTATGAACAACGACATAATGGATTTGCTGGGAGGCCTTGGATCAGCACCTGAAGAACCACCACAGTCATCTCTTATTGAAGATTTTGCCCTTATCACTAATTCGCAGCCCCTTGGTACGCATGAATACCTTTTTTTTAATTATCTGTCTGACATTGAGTTTGTACTTTTTGAAATGATATTATTGTGACCAACTACAGGCTTTTGTTTTAAACCAATCTGAAAAGTTTTAACTCAATTTAAAAAGTGTGATATGAAACTGAAAAAGATGTGAAGTCAATCTGAACTCACCATATTTTCATTGTATGGCTTGCTGCCAGTGTCCATGCTTTGGGTATCAAAAATAAGTTTCTTTATGCCACTACCCTAATAACACTTGCCATTGCCATTCTTATAGGAAAAATCTCTGGAATCACAGCCTTCAGCAAAGACAGCCTTTCCATACATTTCAACTTTGAACGATCACCTGAGAAGCCAAACATCTTGAGTATTAAGATGACTGCCACCAATGAGGGTCCCATCCCAATGACAGACTTCCTCTTCCAAGCTGCTGTTCCCAAGGTAATGTAGAAATTGCAATTCTGTGCTCACACAGCCTGCTGGTACAAATATATATTCTTATCCTGCCTTTTTGTCTTTTCAGACATTCCAGTTGGAAATGCTGAACCCTTCAGGGAATGTTATTCCTCCTTCCAACTCGGATGTTGTGAGTCAGTCCATCAGGATTGTAAATCCAAACAAGGCAATCAATCATCTTCATCCCATTCTTGAGTATTTGTTCAAAGGCATCCTGTAGATTGACATGTCATCACATCTTTGCAGGCTCAGTTGAAGATGCGAATCAAGGTCTCCTACAAAGTCAACAATGAAGATGTGATGCACCAGGCAGAGGTCAATCACTTCCCACCTGCATCATGGCAGTAATTTTGCAAGCATCAAGTCATCTCCCACCTGCAGTATTTCAAGGCATGTGTTGTGTGGGGAGCAGGTGACAGACTCTAAGTGCCTCATCTCCAAAACAAACAAGCAGGAAAGAAAAAGACTCCTCTTGCCTGCTTAAGTTTAAATTCAAGAAACCTGATTGTTGAAGAAGTTTTATTTATGTAAAAGCACACCTTTTTGAAGTTCACAGAAGTCCACAGTATGTGCCAGAGACTTGTAGCATCAAGTCTAATGAGTTCTTTTGTGGTTGTGGTGTACTGGCAGGAGATGCATCATTGCCCTGTTAGTCATCTTGATTGAAGGTGAAAGAAACCTGGTCTGCTGGAACCTTTTTGACTTCTGCACTAAGTCATACATCCTGCTTTAGAATTGTGTTCAACTTAATAGCTGCGCACTTCAAAGGCTTTGGAGACCAAGATGGTTTGGTTTTACTCTGGTTGTGTGGCATTTAATGATTTGACAGGGATGAAAAATCATGAGATTGTGTTTTCTGAAACTGCAGAGAGCATTCTCATTTCTGTCCAGCACAATGTGATCAAATCTGCCTTCCACTACCCCACTTGATCTCAGAAGAGGAATAGTTGAAGGCTAATGAAAATCTGTTTGGTGTGTTGACAAGTTGATGCTGCTGAGATGACTTTTGTTATTCTATCTTGCCTTGGTGGCTCAAATTACTTCAATATCACTCTCATAGACCATGAGAATTAAGTTGCTGCAGAAGAAAGGGGTCTTGCCTTTGGCAAATTTTTTTTTCTTGAAAGGTATCCAGATTGGAAATAAAAAGCCAATGAGTATCACATACTATATATTGCATTTGATGTTGTTTCATTTATTTCATAATTATTGGAGTCTGAAAATGTATAATCTGTTATAAGTCTGAAAAATAGCTGATTATTTGTCAAGCTGTTCTCACGTGAAGAAAGATTCATTATAAGCATTTGAAATTTGAAATTTACCCAATGTTCAGGAACTGATTTTGATGTGAAAGCGGACTGGTAATTTCCTTTCAAAAGTCAAAATTTGACGAAAGTATCATCAACCATATTAAAAAGTCATTATAGTGGTCTATGCCAATACTTGAAAGCCAGCATCTGTAAGTTCTGACCCACTTCAATATAGAGAACTAGCCCCCCAAAACACCTACAAAGAGCCTTTTTGAACCAAACTTCATCCCCTTTTATTCAGTACTCTGTTGATTGATTTATCAGTTGTCATCTTTGTCAAAAAAAAGTATATTGTCACCAAAAAATATCCATTTTCACAACTTTGAACTTTAAAAATCTCTGGGATCCGGTGGAATGATTTGCCACTTGGCACATTTGTATGTTTCATTTATGTTAAAAGTGAATCAACTACCACCCTAGCCAATCACTGTGCTTAGTTGTACAATTTGTGCAGACCAAGGGGATAATGACAGGACCTCACTCTTGAGACAGAGACCCGATTGCATTGTCATTGTCCGTCTGATTCCAGCTGCTAGAAGCTGGCTCAATTCGTCGACTTTAATTTTAGTTCTGCTTGATTGATTTAGCCATGCTAACAACAACCAAGAAGTTACTTGATATTCTAGTGAAACTGGACGAGATGTCACTTATTGACATCCTTGTGCTTATCTCAGATTTTGCTCTCGGTGCAATGGCTTTCAACTTGCAAATGGCCAAATCGAATGGAGTGAACAGGTAAATAATATTTTAAATGCCATGTGCAGCCTGATGGGCGTACTCAACCCTGGTTGTAACCTACTTCCCTCCTATCCGGTCGTCCAAACTGAGATTTAGTTCTCGTTCATGGAACCATCGATACAAGATGATTTTTAACCCGTTTAGACGACGTCTCCAGAGCTCGTCGCATGCTAAGACCTCGTTGTCTAAGAAGGAAGTGACTGGAATCGGGCTACGGTATCTTGAGCTTTGCATCCACAGTCGGGCTCGCTTGGGCGGTCAGAGATTTTCCTCCCTGGCTTAGTGAAAAGCTGGCTTGAAAGAAAGCAGCAAATAATAACGAATTGGCCGGATCTTATATTCGCGTGAGCGCCTGCCTCACCGACTACCATCCCGGTCTCTTTGTTTCACTCAGTTATAATAGGTGTCTAGTCACAATCAAATCACTATGTTGTGTCATAAATCATGTTTTTTACCGTTCAAGCGTTGCTGTCATCCTTTACAGATTGCATGACTCCAATGAAATTTCAAATTGGTGATCAGACTCACGATGAAGCTTCTAGAGAGACTGGACAGCAGAGAACTGATCCACCTCCTTTCCCAGCTTGAAAGCCTTGGTCGGGGCGAGGACGGGCTCGACTAGGGACGTACCGCCAGCCAAGTCGCTCGAGCAGAACGAAATATCAATTCGGGATGGATTTATTGAAAGTAAGGAAATTCTCAATTCTTTCTTGGAAGAATCAGCTTTGTTTATTTCTGGACTGCACCTATTTTCCACCTAAAACCGAATGATCTGCATGGAGACGAGAGCGCCGTTTCTTCTTCAGCGTAGAGGCACGTGCCACAAGGTTTCTGATTTTGCACCTAAGCTGAATTGTGCTTCTAGTGCCCTCTGGGAACACGTTTTAGGTCGTTTTTTATTTTGTATTTTGGATCTCCTTGGAAACGCATCTCCCGTCTCTCGTTGGTTTTACGCAAAGGCTCGTCCTCAGTTATCTCGGGTTAAGGGGGGGGAGCAAAGGGGCTGTTGCCTCGGGTCTCACTTTTCCAGGGGCCCCCGAAGGAAATTTTAAAAATGTTAAGTATTTGCGTTAAGTAGCAGACGTTAAAAATTAAAATTTGCAACACCAGCGCTCGACTGTGTGGCTCCTCTAGGCTACATGCACCACCAGGTAAAATTGTCTTGGGGTGAAGGGGGGGGGGGGGCAAGAAACCGTTTGCTCCGGGCCTCGCAACTGCTTAATCCGACTCTGCTCTGCACGGACTTTAAATCAGCTGCTTCCTCCCCAATGGTGTCCTGAAAGAGAGCCGTTGAGCCCAGGAATTTTTTACAGCAGGAAAACAAATCGTGGGAGTATTGCATGAGGAAACCCATGCTGGTTTCGATAAGCGAACTCATAAGCGAGCATGACGCACCTCCAATCCGATCAGGTTCCACGTTGCCAATTGATTACAGGGCTCCGTGCCCTCGCTTCAATTCACCTCATTCCAAAGGGGGTGTGAATGCAATAGAAAAGCATCGTATCGGTATCGGTCGTTGGTCTCATTCAGGGGGTTTAACATCGATCCCTGCTGGTATAACTGGATGCTCGTTAAAATGTGTACGTGTAAATTGTGTCTAGAAAAAAAAAGAAGATATATCGGGGGAGTTTTCGGGCCTACAGCACACATACCCACACCTTCGAACGTAAATGGCAAAGTCTTGTTGAGCCTGAACTTGATGGTCATCATGCATAATTCTCAAGAAATCGTCGACACTTCAATAGGAGGCATTGTACCACTTTAAAGGATTGACTACTTGCTTTCATGGGGGGGGGGGGGGGGGGGGGGAAACA